CGGTCAATTTCAAATTTAATTTCTTGTTGTTTTCGTTCCATCTCAATCAAATGCTGTTGCTCTTCGATGATGGCTTCCTGTTGTTTCAGTCTTAAGGTTGCTTCATGTTGTTTTTCCAACTCTTCTCGCTTCATCTTCGCTAGGAGCAGCTCTTTGCGGCGCTCACTGGGGGTCAATGATTTCATTGAGCTTTGCTTACTCGACCCGGATTTTGCCGATTTTGATGAAACTTTTGATCGACTAGTTTCACTGACGCAGACCTCTGAAGCTTGATTAGATTCCATATGAGCGCGAGCCTTACCAGTTACTTCATCGTTAACTTTAACTATCCTATCCCACCATGCAGCCAACTCCGTTAATAATTTGCTATGGTTATCGGTTTTATTAGCTAATATCACAAGTTCATCATTTTTAGCTAATGCTTTTTCGAGAATACTCTTGCAAGATTCAATTAAGGCGTTTATTTTTGTTTTCCGAATTGGTCCCTCTAAACTCTCAGTTATGCGACTGTGAACTACGGAAAGCTCATTTTCTAGTGATGTTCGACCATTCATCAATCGACGATATTTTAACTCAATTTGTTCTGTCATTTTGATTACTTTTAAACTTGTTCACTTCTACTCAACCGCTCAACTGCTCAGTTTGAGAGAAAAAAAAAGGCAATAATTAATTTAAGACCTTATATTTAGTATTGATAAATTATATTCTGACTCATTAAACAATATCACACCTTAGAGAAGCAATTTATTTATTTCCTAGTGCTGCTCAGCATTTCTTCTGTTTCGATTAGCTTGCCGCTTGCGTTTTCCTGGCTTAGGAGTATTTTTCTTGGAAATAATATACTTCAAATTCTTGCTATAACGCCTAAGGATCGTAAACGTTTTCAGTTCTAGAGAGGGATCCTGGTGTAGTTCTAAGTATTTTTGTCCTAACTCAGTGAGGTTCTGCTTCCTTCTAGATATCAGGTCTGTTACTATGTTAATAACTAATATACCTGACTCTTTCAACTTACTATATATATCTTCCGTGCCTACACGTTTACAGTAAACGATTGCATAAATATTACGTTTATAGTTTAAAAGAACCTTCTTAAGCACGTTAGGAGTTAGTGCGTTAAAGTTATTACTACGGTGTCGACTAATAGAGTTATTAACAGCGTCGTGCCAAATAACAATGTCGGTTCGGTTTAAGAGATAGTGATCAAGTTGATACTGACAAGTTTTACGAACGTTCACTGCGTTATGGTTGAAACTTAACCCGGGAATGGCTAAGCACGATTGAGATACACGCTTTTGCGAAGCGGGGGACAGTTTTTTCAAAGCGTGGTGCAGCGAGCTAGCAGCTAGTATGAACATTTAGTGATTTAAATCAACTTAAGAGGGAGGGAATCAAGCAAACCGCGACCTGACCTCCCGCAACACCCTGAGCTAACAAGGTTGTAGCAAAAGGTAAGACGATTTGCTTAATAATACGCTACGGGTCTGGACTACGGCTAATTTTATCCAATTGAACTAGTTTAGTTAGCTGCACCACGTTTCAAGAATAAACCCGGCGTTTTTTCAGATTTTTTTTTTTTCGAAAATTTCGGATTTTTTTCGAAAATTTTCCAAAATTTTTTTTTTTTTTTCGAATTTTTTTTTTTTCGAAAATTTTTTTTTTTCCACGTTTTCACCCAACGGTTCAAGTTCCAACAATAACCTGATGCGTTTGCGAAATTTTGATTTTTTTTTTTTTTAAGTCCAACACTTGGGGCAAAAAAACTCGAGTCGGTCGTTTAAATTAAATTATTATGAAACTAGGCGCTTTGCTGAATAATTTGCAAAACTTTAAAATTTTTGGAAAAAAAAAAATCAAAAATTTTCAATTTTTTTTTTTCAAAATTTTTGCCCTTTTTTTTTCGATACGGTGTTGAGCTTAGAAACACGGTGTTAGGATAACGTAATTAAGGTTTATGAGGCCGGTTTTTTCCTAAACCCACAAAAAATTTTCTGATCGGGTTTTGGTATAGAGAAAAATTGGGGGCTACGATTTTGCCATCAAAAAACCTCGCATCAGAATTTAAAGCATCAAATCAGCAAGTTAGCACAAATGGATAAAGTTTTGGTTTTTTAGTCTTACAAGTTTTGTAGAGGCGTTCACCGGTAGAATCCAAATTCCACAGAAAACTTCGAGTGTCGAGAAAAAATGGGTGTCCACAATCCACAATCAGGATAACTGAAGGGCCACTTTCGGCTATTGCACAATTTCTGCCAATTGGGTCAAGTTTGGACAAATGTCGACTAATTGGACAATTTTTGCCAATTCGGATACTTCAGGGCAACTTTCGGCTAATTGCACAATTTCGGCCAATTGGGTCGTGTTTGGACAAATATCGGATAATTGGACATTTTCGGCCACTTGGGATACTTTAGGGCAACTTTCAGCTAATTGCACAATTTCGGCCAATCGCGTCGTTTTTTTGGACAAATTTCGGCTAATTGCACAATTTCGGCCAATTGGGTCGTGTTTGAACAATTTTCGGCTAATTGCACAATTTCGGCCAATTGGGTCGTCTCTGGAAAAATTTCGGCTAATTGGTCACTTTCGGCCAATTGGGTCGTCTCTGGAAAAATTTCGGCTAATTGGTCACTTTCGGCCAATTGGGTCGTCTCTGGAAAAATTTCGGCTAATTGGTCACTTTCGGCCAATTGGGTCGTCTCTGGAAAAATTTCGGCTAATTGGTCACTTTCGGCCAATTGGGTCGTCTCTGGAAAAATTTCGGCTAATTGGTCACTTTCGGCCAATTGGGTCGTACTGTCCAGAATATCGTCCTGAAAATCCTCTGGAATATCGTCCGGAATATCGGGTCCGGGTCGGCGGACCAAAATGTGCCGCACTCTCGTATCCTGTAAGATCTACAAAAACCTGCTTCAAAATCTGTAAATTATCGGCAACTTAACAGATAATATGAAGAGTAAGTAATATATGACAACAATCAGTTTTCCATTTTCGGTTAGCATTTTAGCAATACGGTTTTCAACAATCTCAAAAATCTATAAACATTTTGATGGCAAACTGACCTTAATCGGACAAACCAGTAGTTTTTCAAGGCCTTTTGTCTAAGCAAATCTAATTTTAGCTTTTTCACTTTCGCGCTATAATGACGTCATTAATTTAAGCGCGAACAATTTCTGTATAGGGTGTAAAAGTTTAGTGGCTTAGTCATTTCATATTGTTCGTTTAACAGTGAAATAAATTTTTGTTAATGTACATGTGTGTATAGGTGCAATAGATTTCCGCTGCTTAAAATGTTTGATAGCTCAGGGTTTTTATGACATTTTTTTCGGCCCAACTGGTTTTGCCGAAATATTTCCGAATTAGTTACCGCTTCGTAAGTTTTTTCGTCGCCAATATCATTGGTAGTTGTCTCAATTGTCCTGTTTTCCTCAAAATGAGCCTATGCCAATTGAAACAAACGTATGGATATGGTGGTATTCTTTTCTCCATGTTTAAAAAATGGGTTTCGCGTCTTTTTTTGTCGGGTAGCTTGCTGTCTCTTGTGGCGGGAAGCTCCGTTTTTGTGTTTTAAGAACAAAGTAATATAACGTAGATTTTTTGACTTTATTGCTCATTTTTAAGCTGAGCGAGCTGCTTCTAACCATGATATCTGGAGGTTTCAGAAAGCTTTCGAAGGACCGTATACAGAGTACTAACGCAAAACCATCAATTCCGATTTTTTCACTTGCGAGCAGGGCATATCAAAATACTATTGCAATATTATTGCTTTCCGAGTTTTTTGGCAATAAAATATTGTTTTTTTTCACATTTGCAATATAATATTGCAATATATTGCAATACTTCCGAGAAGAAAAATGCAAAAAACAATGAATTGGAAACAACTATTAAAAATTGTTTTTGTCAACACATTCTTTCACGGTATTAATGTCCCAAAATTTATGATTGTAATGAAGAAAAAGTTGCGTTTCCAGATTAGCAGGCAGCATATTTTTCCGATAATCATTATAAATGGCGGGAAAATTACGTGCATTTAACCTAAACGCTGCTTGAGTCATCAATTTAAGTATTGCAAAATATTGCAATATATTGCAGGATAAATATCAATATATTGCTTATGATAATTTTTCAAAATAGAATATTGCAATATACAAATTGCAATATATTGCAATAGCAATAGTATTTTGATATGCCCTGCTTGCGAGAAAGAAATTAGCCTTACTTTCTATGGAACCACAAAGATTTTCAGGAACCTTCTCACTCGGTATAGAGGTAAAGTGTACGCCTTCAGAACATAATGTTCAGGGCTTGAGTCCGAGCCGGACCTTGTTTTTCTTCGAAATGTATTGAAACTGTTTTTTTTTGGGGAAGCTTTGAATTGTGGGACCACCGTTGGTCTTTTGTTTTTGATGGTGTTGGGAGTTCCAGGTTGAATGGGCCGCAAAATTCCAAATTTTATAGCTCTAAGTTGCCTATGACAGCATTTTGTTTTTTTGCATAACTGGCGTCTACCCAAGTATTGTTGGCTTAGTTGCCGCTTGTTCAGTGATTTTGAATGATTATTGAACGATAGTGAAATGTGCTTCTTGACGATTCTTGTGTTTCTTGACATGTTTTCCTCAAATTAAACATCCTTCGAAACAAATTTATGAGTTGTTTGAATTTTTATCTTGATTTCTATCGGATAGTTACTATTCTTTGTTTGTGTTGTAACGCAAGTGCTGAGAAGCTCGCCTTCGCTTCTATTTCAAATTTTTTTCTAGTAGTTTTGACCGTTTTTCAACTAAAAAAAAATTTTGACAATACGATCGAGTTACGATCAACTGGCAATTGTTGTTTTGGAGTCACATATGCATTTCGTTACACCATGGAATGAGATTTTTTTCACCGTATTGTGATTTCACTTCGTATAATTGCACCTAGGCTAGGTTTGTTTTAGATATAGTTAAATATTTGAGCTATGGGTAGTTTTGCTACTAAATTTACGACAAATGAGTTTTTTTTAGCCCGGCAGTGCGCAGCTGTGATGACAAAAAGATGTCAGTAGTGAGCTGCAGTAATCACCCTTTTCTTCTGAGCACCTCGAGTGTAGATGGATCTGTACACGTGTGGAACTGCTGTGCAGTGCCCAAACTCTACTTCAATTTTTCTGTGGACACTGGGGATGAGCTGATTGCGAACATGTTTGCTCCCAAAATCACCTCGGGAGGAGGAGGAGCAACACATGGAACTACAAGTAAGGATGGACAAACGATAAAAACTAGGATAAACAAGAAACAACGTATCTGTACAAACGCCGCTAAAATTTCGAAATGGGCGTCGAATTTGTGAACGAAAATTAAAAATTACGACATATGCAGAAAAATATTTGAGGGTGGTTCCAATTAATTGAAAAAAAGTAGATCGGTAAAAAATATACTTACATAATCTGTTATTACAGCCAATGCAGACCATTGGGGAACTTCAGTCAGCCTACCCTCATTCTTCATGGAAGAGGTAACGACAGACACAAATGCTATTTCTACTTTACTAAACACACAAGGAGGTGAATCGACGCAATCGGCAAAGGGCAAACAAAGCCACACAATCACAATTGTGGATTCATCAGACACGCCAACAGTCACTTTCCCTCCTGAAGATTCATTTCAAACTGGCAAACAGCAGGCACCAGTTCAAGTGACATCCTTAGCGCTTTCTGGCTTTGGAGGAAACAACCCGTCTCCGTTTGGATGCCTGGTGGTTGTCGGGTGTAAAGTTTGGGATCCAAAGAATAGTTCGGTTGCGGACTTCTGGAGTAACAACGGAGTTAATAATGAGACTTGTCTGCTGGTGTATAAAGTGGACGTGACCGATATGCGAGCGGCAAAGAATGCCTTGTTCCAGATGCATCCGGACCACACTAACTTGTTGGTTAGTATGCAGTGCTCTGAATTGTTTCTTATTGTAATTTGCCGAAGTTTCGCCGAGGAGTCCACTAACTAGGTATTTATCCAGCTGTCAGAGGTATTTGGTTGTGTTTAAAGTCAAAATGGTTACCTTAAGAGACCTTAAAAAGGATATTCATTTAAAATTTTTCTGCGATTGGTGTATGATTATTTTAACGTTGTTCAATAAATATTCGTAATTTGTTTGTTGTATAAAACTATCTGAACTGTTTTATGATCTCAGGTGATGGACGACAAGTACTCAAACTTCGCCTCTGAGATCGCCTCTGCGTCCTCGGCCACCCACCCTATGCACTCAACAATAACAGAGGAGATGATGATGTTTGGGGAACTGAATGACGATGGTGCCAATGGCATCCAGATGGAGATAGAACTGGCTCAGAGTCCGGAGATGATGGACGCAGATATGGGAGGACCAGCGGATCATCTCAACTACGCAGGTGGGTACTCATGTTGTATTATAAAAATGAAATAGGATATATAGCTGATCGGGTTCTTTCGCGAGTAATAGCTAGATAGCTGCTAATCGATTAATTGGAAACGTGGCGTGCTTTTGACCTAAATGCGGCTGGTACTGTCAAGCGTAGATATACAAACATTTCAAGCTTATTATTCGAGTCTTCGGTTTGATAACCATGGGCTATTCAATATCTCCGTTGGTTCTTGTCATATTTTTTCTCAACCTTTGCTTAGATTTCTTAGCGAACCTGAACACAGCAAATGTCTACGACGCAGAAGCATTGAGTTCTGCCAATGAGCAGTCAGGAGCACCGAACAAGCTCTACAATTTACTGGATGCCCGTCTCATGCAAGCGTTTCCGATACAATACGGATCAACAATCACTCATATTCTACTGGAGCTGCATGGAAATGAACCCTATCTATACGTCATTGCTTCAAAGGAAACATATTCGACAGTTTACGTGTTTGTTTTGGAAAAAGTTTTCAACTCGTTTCATTTTCGAGGAAGTATGAGCACGGCACAAAAGCATCAGAATGTTCTAAAAATGCAATGCAATCAACAGTTCACGCAAGGAGTGATTAAACATGCATTGTTATTGCCAGTATGGAGTCTGAATATAGGCGAGAGTCCAATCTTCTCGACACAGCAGTCGAATAACGTTGTTTCATCTGTGCTGCTCTGCGTTTCGGAGACTAATGATATTCTGTTGTACAAACTGCCCCAATTGGAGTGTGTAGTGTTGCAGAAGGAAGAAGACAAAGGGCTTTTTGGAGGCCATAAAATCAAGTCGGTGACTTTCGACTGTGGAAGTGATTCGTTGTGTGTTTTGACCAGTGAGGGAAGTGTGCACTTTATTGAACTGAGGAAGTTGCTCGGAGATCAGGATGAAAAGGACGAACAAAGTGTGAAAAGTCACTTGAGGATGATGGAGGGCGTGAATGAAGGCGATGAAGTGGATGCGAGCATTACTGGAAGTGCTTCTCAGGTCGGGGGATTATAGTATTAGATGAAGCGGGGCTCATATGAAACCACATCTTTGATTCTTAATTATTAAAGTATTATTGCAAGGGTATTGCAATTGGGTACTAGACTTTTTTCCCGTAAACAACTTTGTCCTCAAAAATCATTTAACTGGTTGTACTTTGGCTCATAATGAATTCAAAATTTGTAGTGCCTCTTGTACGCTTAGCCTGGTTGTAACGAATACGCCTGAGATGGCAAAGGTCCTGGATTCGAATCTGACCGGGACCATTTTTTTTTCAAACGGTAATTGTTCCGGTTCAAAAAATTTTGACCTATTATTTGTCTGCTTATGCTTTGTCGGCTTTAGTTGCCACATCTAAGAATAGTTTATATTAGCTAAAAGCAATTTTAACTGCAGTTGTTGCAGCATTTTAGAAATCCGGCCGAATCAAAAATTTGTTTTTCACATTGCTTGTAATTTAGCCAGCTCGATTTGTTCAAATTTCGCTTTTCGTATTTTTTATCGGCTTAATAAATTTAGGTCTAATTAATATCGACTTAGTGGACTCTTATTGCGTCGTTACGGCCGAAAAAAATTAGTGCGCGTGTGTGTGCTCTGACGGAAAAAGGGACTTCACATTTATTTTTAAATTTAGAATTTTTTCTGAATTTTTTTCGACATGAAGGGTTTCTGCTCAGATTTTTTCGGCTTTTGTACCGCTTGGTTATTTTAAAATCCAAATTCAATCAACAATCCGGCGTATCTGGCGTAAAGGTAAAAACAACTGCTTGACATGGCAAAGCTTTGCGTTTCGAATCCGGTCGGGTTCTTTTTTTGCAAACTAGCTATTTTGTGCTTTTTCGGATTATCGCCGTCTGTTTGTCGGCTTAGTTCCCGAGAGCTCGATGGTTTAGCTATATTTCAAGTTGCTGTAATACCCATGCTTGAGACGACAACAATTTTGCTTGAGACGACAACATGAAAAAGTCTTGAAATATATTCACGAACAAATTTGATTTTAAGCGGCTTCATTTGTTGTTATAGAGTTCAATCGCTATAAAATCTAATTTAGTAAGCCACGTGGTTGTGAAAAAACGTTTGCTGATATTTTAATCAGCAGGATGGATCTAAATTGATCGACAAATATCTTTTCCATAGTTGGCATGACATTATGTCAGAAACCTTTTTTGTTCTTTAAGCTATAAAAAAATAAACTGTTGAGGCTGAAATTGACCATATTCCCAAAACGAACAGGTTTTGTTTTGATGAACCGATCAGGTTGATTTGGCCGCCACCTTATGTTTCATTAAATAAGGGCGAAATGCTACGAGCCAATTGAGAATTTTCATGCTCGGGAAAATGTGTAATTTTGGTTTGTGTAATTTGTAAGCAGAGAGCATAATTTGTCAAATTTTTGTACGATATCAGTTGGAATTATTCTTTATGCTTGCAATTAGCAAGCGTTATCGAACAGGAATATAGACTTTTTCGGGTCAACAACTTGTTTAACAGAATCACTTGTATATGATTCATAATGAATTCAAAATTCTATGCTTTCCCGGCCGGTTTAGCCTGGAGGTAACGAATATGGCTGGGATGGCAAAGGTCCTGGGTTCGAATCTGACCATCACGTTTTTTTTTCAAACAGGAAATATTCTGTCTCAAATAAAATAGTCGGCCAATTATTTTGTCTGCTTATCCGTTGTCGGCTTAGTTGTCACATCTTGGAATAGTTTTGTTGCTGAACGAATGTTTCTTTAATGTTATTTTGAGTGTTTGATTTACTCATACAATTTGTAACTTTACTTGCCTTGACTTTGTATTTCTTTGTAAATTTCTTTGGTTCGCTTAATAAAATTCCTCAGTCCAATTTATTTCGGCCGATTTTTTATTGGCATGGTGACCTTATTTTTGATCGTTCAAGGGAAACACAGTTTTAACACTCCCGTCCAACTTTTCAAGTTGGTAGTATGTTTACCAATCGGTTCATTGAATTTTCTTGTTTTTTTTTTCGTTATGGAAAATTAGTTCCAAATTTATTGGAAAAATTTCAGTTTTTCTGAGGAACTTCACCGATTTTTAAAAGGGTATCAAATGCAAGAGCGACTACTCTCCTGCTTGCCTGCATACCTCTAGAGTCTCTTTTTACTTAACCCCTCGGTCTATAGCCTTCGCAAAAGTCTCTGGGGGAAAGTTTCACCAATATTTTTGATTTTTTAAAAAAATTTTCTCGAAAACTACCCCTCTCAAATCGAGTTTTTGATTTCAATGAATAGAAGATTTGAAAAGTTCCCTGCATGAGAGGCTACGCCCAAATTTTTCCCTGCATAAGAGGCTACACCTAAATTTTTGATTTTTTTGAACCGTTTTTCAACTTTTGAATATTCTCGAAAACTTACCTGTCGTATCTGAGATTTTAGATTCAATTTAAAGAACCAGTTGTCTAAACAACGGTTTGTCTCATTTGGTTATGCGACTACGCTCAATTTTTTCTGAAACCAAAAGTTATGAGCCTCGGAAAAGTCAAAACTTTGATTTTCTGACCGTTTTTTTTGAAAGTTTTTATTTTCTCGAGAACTACCCTCCCAAATCTGAAATTTTGGGTTCAATCGAAAAAACAGGTTGCGTGAAACAGTTCTGAATAAAAGGCTACGCCCTTTTTTTCACACAAAAAATTATGATTCACGGAATTAACAATTTTTTGATTTGTTGACCGTTTTTTGGACTTTTTTCGCTAAATATCCTGCCAAAGCTAATATCCTACAGAAGTCGCGACTGCTTAATTCTTTGTAAGAGAAATGTTATATCCTTGGGAAAATGCATTATCTCATTTTAAAAAATACTTTTCTCACTTATTTTAGTAGAGAAACAGCTGAGGTTTTGGCCAAGTTCAATTTTTGAAATCACATTTTTCGTGCCGCATCTCTATAGGAAGTTATCAAACACATACCTCCAGCTTCAGCTGCGCCGCTAGTTATTTTTTATCGAGACATGCTAAAATTTTTGTTCATCTTTTTTTTAACATTGAATTTTTTTTCGACTCATGTTTTTTTATGTTTGTTTTGTATCGCAAGTAGTGCTAAGCTCCGCTTTGCTTCTGTGTGAAAAAATGGGATCACCATTAATATTCTCACTGTTGAGCCTTGTTAAGCTTCAATGAACGTGGTAAAGACACTTTAGTTCTGGTTGAAATTTGTTTGTTTGTTTGTTAGAAAAAAGTCTTGAAAGCTGTTAACTTTCTATTTTGATTATTAAGAATTGATGTGAGTAGTTTGGACTCTTATATAGGTGGCCCTGATTTTTTCAGGAAAAGTCTCAAATTTTGTTCAGGCTCAAATTTGATTTTTCGTGGTGTGATTTTTGATGTCTTTTCAAGTTCAGTTCATTTCCTTTGTTAAAAAGGAATGCAAACTCAACTATCAAACAGTGAAAGCGTAAAGATCTGGGAAGACGTGATCGATATCTCGTTTCGAAAATTTCCCTGCGAACTAAAAATTATACTTATTGATCCAGTTTTCTCAAATTGGTTTAGTTTAATCAAAAAAGTGTCAATCATAAATTGTTTCAAAGAGTTTTAAGGGCATCTATTTTTTTTTTTTGAAATTCGAAAGTTGGGATTTTTTCAAAAAAGTGTCAGTTTTTTTCTGTTTACTTGCGTTCATTGACTCTTTTCCAACTGCCTGTTGGCTATGTTTGTTTTTCTGTTGTAGTTTTGCTTTCATTGTTCAATTCAAAATCAAATGCCAAATGGAAGGCACGTCAACCAATGTGCAAATGGCGGGAAAACACCATGAACGCTTCAAACACCATGACCGCTTCAAGTTTCAGAATTTTTAACGGAATAGAGAAATATTGTAGCAGAAAAATTATCTATTGATCCACTTTTCTATGCGAGGTTACCGTCAATGCGTGGAACGAAAATGATTCAAAGTTATTCTCGACCTTTTTTGTTTGTCGGATTAGCTGCCAAAGCATTTTTTTCTTTTTGCCATAATCAAATCGTTAGAAATCATCATTTAATGTGATAGAATTTTTTTTTTACAAAACGTTCAATATCTCATGATTTTCAGTAATGATTACGCCGTTTGGTTTGAGTTTTTTCCAAATGTGTATTGCAATTTGGATCAGGTGCATGTGGCCGAGTTTTTAATTAGACGAAAGGGATATTTTAATTTGCCTTACAAATCAAGTGGTTTCCGATATTATTTGAAAATTTAGGCTAATTTGTTTTTAGGTCTCAATTACAGCTAGCGTTATCAAATTGGAATATAGTTTTTTGGGTTAAGAACTAGTTAATCGGAATCACTCGGGGGAGCACATCTGTTCTGGTGGGATGTCTACAGATATTTTGTGAGGCTGTCTGTATTTTAAATAGTCGTTTTGTTTGGTCGTTTTTCAAAATTGTTGTATGTAAACCAACTTTTTACGTGATTTTTTTTTGCTTATTATTTTTTTTCGCTTTAAGTTTTTTCGGCTGAAATAGTTTCTGCTGCTGTTATATGTTTAGTTACCTCATAGTTTGTTAAATTCTTTTGTACTCCGGGCTCAAATTATTTTTGACGATATTTGTTTTCGTCACATTGGTCGTCTACCGGAGACTTGTCTACTTAGTTACCGCTGACAACTTCTCAGTATCTTTCTTCAAATTGAACAGCATTCGATACAAACGTTAAAAAATTAATAGATGTTTTTTTTCGATTCAGTGGCTTTTGGCCTGATTTTTGGTATTTTTTGTGTTATATCGCAAATAATGCAAAGCTTCGCTTCGCCTTTTTGTAAAAAATCAACGTTTGTTAAAGAGACGAGTGTGGTTTTCCTTATTTTGGTTGTTTGTTTTTTTTTGCCCAGGAAAAGTTTTGAGAATGTGTTGTTTTTAAATGCACCATTAACAACCTGCCATTTCTAGCTCTCGGTGCAGTTTTGTGGTCCCAGCTGTAGTAGCACCAGAAGTGGAGGCATGTCGTCTACCGCGAGTGGAGTGAGTTTGCCGAGTAAGTTCGAGTACCTCGTGGATCCCCAAACTGGGCTGACTCCGGAACTAAATACGGCCACTCTGGACTGGATCAGCCAGCTTAGCGAGTGTGTTCCTCTCACTCCCAGGTATTTTTCAATCACCATTCATCGCTAGTTTTCATTAATGAAATGTATATTAGTGATCAAATACAAGTATCGCTCCTTATTGTCAAAACTTTTTCTCGAATGAGCTTGGTTTTACTTTTATCTCCAATCATACCAGGAGGCCTCCATTTGCAGATAAAAATTAATTTGTAACAAATCAAGTCGAGAACCTCTTCATAATAACAGACTTGCATTATTTATCGAAATATCCAGAAAGTGTTTTTTTTGTGCTAAGACTTTATTAGTGGCTTAGCTTTGCTCGACTAGGCTGAATCTAAACTTGTTCTTTGTCCAGGTACAATACTGGAATAATTCCGAGTGGATGGGTAGAGGTGGAGCAAGAACAACAGCAGCGCAAGATGTCCGAACACCTGCCCAGTTCAGGAGGCAGTTCCGTCAACCACACCCGAACTTTCCGCGTCAACAAGGAGAGCGCTAGCGGATACACAGTCATAGAGCTCACCCTTCCACATGCTGTCGTGCTAGGTTAGTCAAAATATCACTTTTGATTGTCATCCAGTGTAAAAAAAAAACGTGTATAACAGTATGTTATGACAAGCCTCGTATCAATTATTTGAAACAGCCATTAGTATGTTGCTTGCAGGCCAAGTGGATGTGAAAATTCAACTGAGAAAAGCGGCAAGTGCCTGTAATTTAACGGCCACACTTTCGGCACCAGCTCCCGAATTGTCGCAGGACACGTTTGCTTCTTCTAACAAGAAAATCATAGGACCAGTTGCATTAGATCTTTTCACATTCGGACAACAGGGAACATCTATCAATGTGTCTCTGACTGGACCTAATTTGTACTTGACGAAACATCGCGTCATTTTCTTGGAGATTGGAACTAAAGAAGGTACTTGAATTAAATCAGTTTCATGTTTTTCTTTAAATTATGATTTATTTGTGCGACAGAAGCTTTACGGAACGTAACGTGCTGTGCGTTTTTTAATTTGTTTTGATTTTGAATGAGGTTTTTGAAATCCCCACCAAAACATAAATCCATTTTCAATGAAGTTTTACGGAACGTAACGTGCTGTGCGTTTTTTAATTTGTTTTGATTTTGAATGAGGTTTTCGAAATCCCCACCAAAACATAAATCCATTTTCAATGAAGTTTTACGGAACGTAACGTGCTGTGCGTTTTTTAATTTGTTTTGATTTTGAATGAGGTTTTCGAAATCCCCACCAAAACATAAATCCATTTTCAATGAAGTTTTACGGAACGTAACGTGCTGTGCGTTTTTTAATTTGTTTTGATTTTGAATGAGGTTTTTGAAATCCCCACCAAAACATAAATCCATTTTCAATGAAGTTTTACGGAACGTAACGTGCTGTGCGTTTTTTAATTTGTTTTGATTTTAAATGAGGTTTTCGAAATCCCCACCAAAACATAAATCCATTTTCAATGAAGTTTTACGGAACGTAACGTGCTGTGCGTTTTTTAATTTGTTTTGATTTTGAATGAGGTTTTCGAAATCCCCACCAAAACATAAATCCATTTTCAATGAAGTTTTACGGAACGTAACGTGCTGTGCGTTTTTTAATTTGTTTTGATTTTGAATGAGGTTTTCGAAATCCCCACCAAAACATAAATCCATTTTCAATGAAGTTTTACGGAACGTAACGTGCTGTGCGTTTTTTAATTTGTTTTGATTTTGAATGAGGTTTTCGAAATCCCCACCAAAACATAAATCCATTTTCAATGAAGTTTTACGGAACGTAACGTGCTGTGCGTTTTTTAATTTGTTTTGATTTTGAATGAGGTTTTTGAAATCCCCACCAAAACATAAATCCATTTTCAATGAAGTTTTACGGAACGTAACGTGCTGTGCGTTTTTTAATTTGTTTTGATTTTGAATGAGGTTTTCGAAATCCCCACCAAAACATAAATCCATTTTCAATGAAGTTTTACGGAACGTAACGTGCTGTGCGTTTTTTAATTTGTTTTGATTTTGAATGAGGTTTTCGAAATCCCCACCAAAACATAAATCCATTTTCAATGAAGTTTTACGGAACGTAACGTGCTGTGCGTTTTTTAATTTGTTTTGATTTTGAATGAGGTTTTTGAAATCCCCACCAAAACATAAATCCATTTTCAATGAAGTTTTACGGAACGTAACGTGCTGTGCGTTTTTTAATTTGTTTTGATTTTGAATGAGGTTTTCGAAATCCCCACCAAAACATAAATCCATTTTCAATGAAGTTTTACGGAACGTAACGTGCTGTGCGTTTTTTAATTTGTTTTGATTTTGAATGAGGTTTTCGAAATCCCCACCAAAACATAAATCCATTTTCAATGAAGTTTTACGGAACGTAACGTGCTGTGCGTTTTTTAATTTGTTTTGATTTTGAATGAGGTTTTCGAAATCCCCACCAAAACATAAATCCATTTTCAATGAAGTTTTACGGAACGTAACGTGCTGTGCGTTTTTTAATTTGTTTTGATTTTGAATGAGGTTTTCGAAATCCCCACCAAAACATATATCCATTTTCAATGAAGTTTTACGGAACGTAACGTGCTGTGCGTTTTTTAATTTGTTTTGATTTTGAATGAGGTTTTCGAAATCCCCACCAAAACATAAATCCATTTTCAATGAAGTTTTACGGAACGTAACGTGCTGTGCGTTTTTTAATTTGTTTTGATTTTGAATGAGGTTTTCGAAATCCCCACCAAAACATAAATCCATTTTCAATGAAGTTTTACGGAACGTAACGTGCTGTGCGTTTTTTAATTTGTTTTGATTTTGAATGAGGTTTTCGAAATCCCCACCAAAACATAAATCCATTTTCAATGAAGTTTTACGGAACGTAACGTGCTGTGCGTTTTTTAATTTGTTTTGATTTTGAATGAGGTTTTCGAAATCCCCACCAAAACATAAATCCATTTTCAATGAAGTTTTACGGAACTTAACGTGCTGTGCGTTTTTTAATGTTTTGATTTTGAATGAGGTTTTTGAAATCCCCACCAAAACATAAATCCATTTTCAATGAAGTTTTACGGAACGTAACGTGCTGTGCGTTTTTTAATTTGTTTTGATTTTGAATGAGGTTTTCGAAATCCCCACCAAAACATAAATCCATTTTCAATGAAGTTTTACGGAACGTAACGTGCTGTGCGTTTTTTAATTTGTTTTGATTTTGAATGAGGTTTTTGAAATCCCCACCAAAACATAAATCCATTTTCAATGAAGTTTTACGGAACGTAACGTGCTGTGCGTTTTTAAATTTGTTTTGATTTTGAATGAGGTTTTCGAAATCCCCACCAAAACATAAATCCATTTTCAATGAAGTTTTACGGAACGTAACGTGCTGTGCGTTTTTTAATTTGTTTTGATTTTGAATGAGGTTTTCGAAATCCCCACCAAAACATAAATCCATTTTCAATGAAGTTTTACGGAACGTAACGTGCTGTGCGTTTTTTAATTTGTTTTGATTTTGAATGAGGTTTTCGAAATCCCCACCAAAACATAAATCCATTTTCAATGAAGTTTTACGGAACGTAACGTGCTGTGCGTTTTTTAATTTGTTTTGATTTTGAATGAGGTTTTCGAAATCCCCACCAAAACATAAATCCATTTTCAATGAAGTTTTACGGAACGTAACGTGCTGTGCGTTTTTTAATTTGTTTTGATTTTGAATGAGGTTTTCGAAATCCCCACCAAAACATAAATCCATTTTCAATGAAGTTTTACGGAACTTAACGTGCTGTGCGTTTTTTAATTTGTTTTGATTTTGAATGAGGTTTTTGAAATCCCCACCAAAACATAAATCCATTTTCAATGAAGTTTTACGGAACGTAACGTGCTGTGCGTTTTTTAATTTGTTTTGATTTTGAATGAGGTTTTCGAAATCCCCACCAAAACATAAATCCATTTTCAATGAAGTTTTACGGAACGTAACGTGCTGTGCGTTTTTTAATTTGTTTTGATTTTGAATGAGGTTTTCGAAATCCCCACCAAAACATAAATCCATTTTCAATGAAGTTTTACGGAACGTAACGTGCTGTGCGTTTTTTAATTTGTTTTGATTTTGAATGAGGTTTTTGAAATCCCCACCAAAACATAAATCCATTTTCAATGAAGTTTTACGGAACGTAACGTGCTGTGCGTTTTTTAATTTGTTTTGATTTTGAATGAGGTTTTCGAAATCCCCACCAAAACATAAATCCATTTTCAATGAAGTTTTACGGAACGTAACGTGCTGTGCGTTTTTTAATTTGTTTTGATTTTGAATGAGGTTTTCGAAATCCCCACCAAAACATAAATCCATTTTCAATGAAGTTTTACGGAACGTAACGTGCTGTGCGTTTTTTAATTTGTTTTGATTTTGAATGAGGTTTTCGAAATCCCCACCAAAACATAAATCCATTTTCAATGAAGTTTTACGGAACGTAACGTGCTGTGCGTTTTTTAATTTGTTTTGATTTTGAATGAGGTTTTTGAAATCCCCACCAAAACATAAATCTATTTTCAATGAAGTTTTACGGAACGTAACGTGCTGTGCGTTTTTTAATTTGTTTTGATTTTGAATGAGGTTTTTGAAATCCCCACCAAAACATAAATCCATTTTCAATGAAGTTTTACGGAACGTAACGTGATGTGCGTTTTTAAATTTGTTTTGATTTTGAATGAGGTTTTCGAAATCCCCACCAAAACATAAATCCATTTTCAATGAAGTTTTACGGAACGTAACGTGCTGTGCGTTTTTTAATTTGTTTTGATTTTGAATGAGGTTTTTGAAATCCCCACCACAACAGAAATCCATTTTTCAATGCACACTACAACAGATATTGATGCAGTTTTCTTAAGTTGAGTTCACAAAACTTGCGCTTATTTGATTTTACAAAGCAACCTTTTAAGAGTCAATGGATGTAGTTCAGGCTCTTATATAGGTCACGATGAACTCCTATATTGAACAGCGAAAGTGTAAAGGTCACGAAAAACGTGATTGACTTCTAATTTGGAAATTGGATTTAAATGATCAGATTTCGTAGCGAAATAAAAGTTTTAGTTATTGATACAGTTTTCTCCAATTGGGTTAATTTTATCTAAAAAGTATCAGATATAATTGTTCTAGAAATTCAAAGCGCTTTAAGGGCATCTATTTTTGTCTTGGAAAATCGAAAAATGAGATTTTTTCAAGAAATACAACTCAGTTTTTTTTTCCGTTTTTGACTTTTCCAAATGTCTGTTGACTATGTTACTCACTTTTTTTTCTTAAGAGTAGTTCAGTCTGTTGTATAAGTCGTGATGATTTTCATTGTTTTTTTTGTTTCAGGAAAAGTCTTTATTTGTTCACACTGAAATTTATTTTTTTTTGCTGTATAACTTTAGAATTTTTTCAAGTTCACATCACCTCTTTTGTTAAAAAGAAGGCAGATTCGACGTTTGAACAATCAAAGTGTAAAGGTCGTGAAAATGTGATCGACTTCTAATTTCTAAAATAGAATTTGATTTTCAGATTTCCAAGCGAAATAAAACTTTTACTTTTTTGATCCAGTTTTCTCAAATTGGGTTAAATTTATCAAAAAAGTGCCAGTCTTAAATTGTTTTAAAACTTCAGAGAGTTTTATGGGAATCTGGTTTCTGAAATTCGAAAGATATCTAAGAAAAAAGTCAGTATTTTTGTTCTGTTTTTCTTGCGTTCCTTGACTCTTTTCTAACTTTCGGTTGACTATGTTATTCAAAACTAGTAGAATATTACATTCCAGCTTAAAGCTTTAAGGTGTTTCATAACGTAACCAAAATGAATTGCCACTTTTTTTCAAGGAGCAAATCTGCGAAATTTTTTCGAGACTTAGCCGCCATTGTTTGCTATCAACTTTGCAGTTAATGTTAAGAAAGAAAGAATTTATTTCCTCCAAATTATGTATTGCACATCATCATCAAAGATTTATATGAGAAAAGCATTGACTAAGGGGAGGATAGACAAAGAGCAAAAGTAAATACCCTCTGAGAGTCTACCCATGAAATTAAAGATTTTAAAAATTTCAATCAACTTTTTTTTAGTTTCCTGGTTATTCTAATTTTTTTTGGCTAGTTTCAAGCTATAGCCTTTGAAGGATTTGGGAACTCGCCCTCACAAAAAAAATCGGCATTGGGTGTATCTAAAAGATCTGGCGGTGTCGAGATTGCTTAACATACTTACTGTATAAGGGCAGATTCTTGGCGTAATCTCAATTTGTCAACAAATATTTTTTTATTACAACACTTGGTCCTTTTATTGCCAGACAAACGGCTGATCGCTTGTTTATTGACTCTTTGACTGATGTTTACTAAGGATACTCATCCACACATCTACACGAGGTGTCCATCACCCTGCGTAAGATGAAGAGACAGCCTTCAGTGCGGACTGTGGCCCAGCTGCAGACAGTGGTGGAGGACACTCAGTTGGTGGAAAAGCTACTCCGAGCAGTTACCAACCCAGACAGTGTGCAGTCTGTGGGAGATGCGAAAGAGTTCTTCATGAGTCAACCCACGGTATCTTCTATATATTAAACAAATCACATGTTTCGTACTCATAAGGCACGATGGTTAAGATGCGGCTATCGAGCGCAACGCTTAGGAAATTGGTATAAGCCAAGCTTGGTAAGTGTTTTCTAGAATTTCGTAGGTCAGTGCTTCAGACAATATCAACTCGATCCAATTTCAAGACTAGACAATATTGTCTCAAGAATTTCGTGAACATTTTCAACTATGAGATGAGCGAACTAAAAAGAACGAGCTTCTCCTTTTTGTTAGAGAATAGCCAAACCTAGCTTAAGATCTTAGTAATTGTTTCACAAGAGCTGTTCGAAAGAAACTTTTTGACTTGTATTTTTCTATATATCATTACTTAACGAGCTTGCTTGAGAAAACCTCAAGTTTTTAAAAACCGGTTTGCTCTGTGAATTAACTATAAAATTTCAAAGTTTCATCTCTTGATAAACTTGCTATGACAGTTTGCGCGATAAAAAAAACTTGAATTTTTCAAAATTTCGCCGCTTGATTAGATTTTCTTAGCAAATTTTTGCGAACCGATTCACGCCGAAAAAACTGGGAAGGTTTCATAGGTTTATCGCTTGATGAGCTTGCGTTAGAAAACTCCACCTTCTTGCGAACTGATTCGTGCTAACTAAAAACTTGAAATATATAAATGCTTCATTGTTCTATGAGCTCGCTTAAAGAAAACTTCAATTTCTTTCAGAATGATTCGCCCCCTGAAACATGAATCTATTATTAAATTGTTTGATAATTTTATCGCCCGGTGGGATTCTTGGAAAAACTTTTTGCGAACCTATTCGTCTCATGAAATAGCTAAAAACATTTCAAAGTTTCATAGCACGATGACTTTGCTTCGGAAAACTTAGGCACTTCTTGGAAGATTTTTTGGCAATACCAATTTTTTTTGCTATCAACTTTGCAAAAGTATTAGATTCGAAAAAATGTCTTTAATCTGTTTTTTTTTTGTCTCAGATACGACAGACCGCTCTGACAACTCTGACCTGGCTGCTGTACACCCACGCAACAGATTGTGGCTCCTCCCTTTCTTCTTCTTTGTCTGCTGATGAGCAGACCCAGTGTCAACAATACATGGCCCAGTTCTACTCCAAGTGCGCATCCTCATCTCTGTTGAGACAAAGCATCACTGTATGTCTAATTCAGGGGGACAGAAGTGTGGCACATCTGTTTGCACGTTTCCTCGCTGTCCTACTCAAGTAAGTTAAAAGTTGCTAAGTTTACTCACGACCAGTGTTTAGGCCAATTATTATTGTGTCAAGAAGTAACAGTACTGTTTAAGCTGAATAGATCTTGTACATGTATGTTGAAAAGTTTAAAACTGTATTATGAGTTGATGAGCAAAGCATGGACATTCGTGAACCTAAAAGAACCAAAAGAAGACACATCATAGGTTGTCATTTTTTGTTGACTGCTCTTCAAAAAAAGGTCATAAAAGTTGTTCCTGCTTAAATTTGATATATGCGCGGTTTGATTTTGTCGCTGTCCGATAACACAAGCAAATGGCGCGAAAAACATGAAAGACATGATTGTTCAACCACTAGTTTTTTTCACCGTTAAATGTTGGACTAACAATAGCCTTATCTATTCCCACGCCATAAGTCGCAGTTTTTGTGATGAAAGTACGATTTGATTGGCTTAAAATACAAAGCCCGAAGATCTTTAAATTTAGCATGTGAATGTAACACGGTTCTTTTTGCTTTGAATGAATTGTAATCCCTGGGTCTTTCTTCACAGGAGGCAGTTCCGTCAACCACACCCGAACTTTCCGCGTCAACAAGGAGAGCGCTAGCGGATACACAGTCATAGAGCTCACCCTTCCACATGCTGTCGTGCTAGGTTAGTCAAAATATCACTTTTGATTGTCATCCAGTGTAAAAAAAAACGTGTATGACAGTATGTTATGACAAGCCTCGTATCAATTATTTGAAACAGCCATTAGTATGTTGCTTGCAGGCCAAGTGGATGTGAAAATTCAACTGAGAAAAGCGGCAAGTGCCTGTAATTTAACGGCCACACTTTCGGCACCAGCTCCCGAGTTGTCGCAGGACACGTTTGCTTCTTCTAACAAGAAAATCATAGGACCAGTTGCATTAGATCTTTTCACATTCGGACAACAGGGAACATCTATCAATGTGTCTCTGACTGGACCTAATTTGTACTTGACGAAACATCGCGTCATTTTCTTGGAGATTGGAACTAAAGAAGGTACTTGAATTAAATCAGTTTCATGTTTTTCTTTAAATTATGATTTATTTGTGCGACAGAAGCTTTACGGAACGTAACGTGCTGTGCGTTTTTTAATTTGTTTTGATTTTGAATGAGGTTTTTGAAATCCCCACCAAAACATAAATCCATTTTCAATGAAGTTTTACGGAACGTAACGTGCTGTGCGTTTTTTAATTTGTTTTGATTTTGAATGAGGTTTTCGAAATCCCCACCAAAACATAAATCCATTTTCAATGAAGTTTTACGGAACGTAACGTGCTGTGCGTTTTTTAATTTGTTTTGATTTTGAATGAGGTTTTCGAAATCCCCACCAAAACATAAATCCATTTTCAATGAAGTTTTACGGAACGTAACGTGCTGTGCGTTTTTTAATTTGTTTTGATTTTGAATGAGGTTTTTGAAATCCCCACCAAAACATAAATCCATTTTCAATGAAGTTTTACGGAACGTAACGTGCTGTGCGTTTTTTAATTTGTTTTGATTTTAAATGAGGTTTTCGAAATCCCCACCAAAACATAAATCCATTTTCAATGAAGTTTTACGGAACGTAACGTGCTGTGCGTTTTTTAATTTGTTTTGATTTTGAATGAGGTTTTCGAAATCCCCACCAAAACATAAATCCATTTTCAATGAAGTTTTACGGAACGTAACGTGCTGTGCGTTTTTTAATTTGTTTTGATTTTGAATGAGGTTTTCGAAATCCCCACCAAAACATAAATCCATTTTCAATGAAGTTTTACGGAACGTAACGTGCTGTGCGTTTTTTAATTTGTTTTGATTTTGAATGAGGTTTTCGAAATCCCCACCAAAACATAAATCCATTTTCAATGAAGTTTTACGGAACGTAACGTGCTGTGCGTTTTTTAATTTGTTTTGATTTTGAATGAGGTTTTTGAAATCCCCACCAAAACATAAATCCATTTTCAATGAAGTTTTACGGAACGTAACGTGCTGTGCGTTTTTTAATTTGTTTTGATTTTGAATGAGGTTTTCGAAATCCCCACCAAAACATAAATCCATTTTCAATGAAGTTTTACGGAACGTAACGTGCTGTGCGTTTTTTAATTTGTTTTGATTTTGAATGAGGTTTTCGAAATCCCCACCAAAACATAAATCCATTTTCAATGAAGTTTTACGGAACGTAACGTGCTGTGCGTTTTTTAATTTGTTTTGATTTTGAATGAGGTTTTTGAAATCCCCACCAAAACATAAATCCATTTTCAATGAAGTTTTACGGAACGTAACGTGCTGTGCGTTTTTAATTTGTTTTGATTTTGAATGAGGTTTTCGAAATCCCCACCAAAACATAAATCCATTTTCAATGAAGTTTTACGGAACGTAACGTGCTGTGCGTTTTTTAATTTGTTTTGATTTTGAATGAGGTTTTCGAAATCCCCACCAAAACATAAATCCATTTTCAATGAAGTTTTACGGAACGTAACGTGCTGTGCGTTTTTTAATTTGTTTTGATTTTGAATGAGGTTTTCGAAATCCCCACCAAAACATAAATCCATTTTCAATGAAGTTTTACGGAACGTAACGTGCTGTGCGTTTTTTAATTTGTTTTGATTTTGAATGAGGTTTTCGAAATCCCCACCAAAACATAAATCCATTTTCAATGAAGTTTTACGGAACGTAACGTGCTGTGCGTTTTTTAATTTGTTTTGATTTTGAATGAGGTTTTCGAAATCCCCACCAAAACATAAATCCATTTTCAATGAAGTTTTACGGAACGTAACGTGCTGTGCGTTTTTTAATTTGTTTTGATTTTGAATGAGGTTTTCGAAATCCCCACCAAAACATAAATCCATTTTCAATGAAGTTTTACGGAACGTAACGTGCTGTGCGTTTTTTAATTTGTTTTGATTTTGAATGAGGTTTTCGAAATCCCCACCAAAACATAAATCCATTTTCAATGAAGTTTTACGGAACGTAACGTGCTGTGCGTTTTTTAATTTGTTTTGATTTTGAATGAGGTTTTCGAAATCCCCACCAAAACATAAATCCATTTTCAATGAAGTTTTACGGAACTTAACGTGCTGTGCGTTTTTTAATTTGTTTTGATTTTGAATGAGGTTTTTGAAATCCCCACCAAAACATAAATCCATTTTCAATGAAGTTTTACGGAACGTAACGTGCTGTGCGTTTTTTAATTTGTTTTGATTTTGAATGAGGTTTTCGAAATCCCCACCAAAACATAAATCCATTTTCAATGAAGTTTTACGGAACGTAACGTGCTGTGCGTTTTTTAATTTGTTTTGATTTTGAATGAGGTTTTTGAAATCCCCACCAAAACATAAATCCATTTTCAATGAAGTTTTACGGAACGTAACGTGCTGTGCGTTTTTAAATTTGTTTTGATTTTGAATGAGGTTTTCGAAATCCCCACCAAAACATAAATCCATTTTCAATGAAGTTTTACGGAACGTAACGTGCTGTGCGTTTTTTAATTTGTTTTGATTTTGAATGAGGTTTTCGAAATCCCCACCAAAACATAAATCCATTTTCAATGAAGTTTTACGGAACGTAACGTGCTGTGCGTTTTTTAATTTGTTTTGATTTTGAATGAGGTTTTCGAAATCCCCACCAAAACATAAATCCATTTTCAATGAAGTTTTACGGAACGTAACGTGCTGTGCGTTTTTTAATTTGTTTTGATTTTGAATGAGGTTTTCGAAATCCCCACCAAAACATAAATCCATTTTCAATGAAGTTTTACGGAACGTAACGTGCTGTGCGTTTTTTAATTTGTTTTGATTTTGAATGAGGTTTTCGAAATCCCCACCAAAACATAAATCCATTTTCAATGAAGTTTTACGGAACTTAACGTGCTGTGCGTTTTTTAATTTGTTTTGATTTTGAATGAGGTTTTTGAAATCCCCACCAAAACATAAATCCATTTTCAATGAAGTTTTACGGAACGTAACGTGCTGTGCGTTTTTTAATTTGTTTTGATTTTGAATGAGGTTTTCGAAATCCCCACCAAAACATAAATCCATTTTCAATGAAGTTTTACGGAACGTAACGTGCTGTGCGTTTTTTAATTTGTTTTGATTTTGAATGAGGTTTTCGAAATCCCCACCAAAACATAAATCCATTTTCAATGAAGTTTTACGGAACGTAACGTGCTGTGCGTTTTTTAATTTGTTTTGATTTTGAATGAGGTTTTTGAAATCCCCACCAAAACATAAATCCATTTTCAATGAAGTTTTACGGAACGTAACGTGCTGTGCGTTTTTTAATTTGTTTTGATTTTGAATGAGGTTTTCGAAATCCCCACCAAAACATAAATCCATTTTCAATGAAGTTTTACGGAACGTAACGTGCTGTGCGTTTTTTAATTTGTTTTGATTTTGAATGAGGTTTTCGAAATCCCCACCAAAACATAAATCCATTTTCAATGAAGTTTTACGGAACGTAACGTGCTGTGCGTTTTTTAATTTGTTTTGATTTTGAATGAGGTTTTCGAAATCCCCACCAAAACATAAATCCATTTTCAATGAAGTTTTACGGAACGTAACGTGCTGTGCGTTTTTTAATTTGTTTTGATTTTGAATGAGGTTTTTGAAATCCCCACCAAAACATAAATCTATTTTCAATGAAGTTTTACGGAACGTAACGTGCTGTGCGTTTTTTAATTTGTTTTGATTTTGAATGAGGTTTTTGAAATCCCCACCAAAACATAAATCCATTTTCAATGAAGTTTTACGGAACGTAACGTGCTGTGCGTTTTTAAATTTGTTTTGATTTTGAATGAGGTTTTCGAAATCCCCACCAAAACATAAATCCATTTTCAATGAAGTTTTACGGAACGTAACGTGCTGTGCGTTTTTTAATTTGTTTTGATTTTGAATGAGGTTTTTGAAATCCCCACCACAACAGAAATCCATTTTTCAATGCACACTACAACAGATATTGATGCAGTTTTCTTAAGTTGAGTTCACAAAACTTGCGCTTATTTGATTTTACAAAGCAACCTTTTAAGAGTCAATGGATGTAGTTCAGGCTCTTATATAGGTCACGATGAACTCCTATATTGAACAGCGAAAGTGTAAAGGTCACGAAAAACGTGATTGACTTCTAATTTGGAAATTGGATTTAAATGATCAGATTTCGTAGCGAAATAAAAGTTTTAGTTATTGATACAGTTTTCTCCAATTGGGTTAATTTTATCTAAAAAGTATCAGATATAATTGTTCTAGAAATTCAAAGCGCTTTAAGGGCATCTATTTTTGTCTTGGAAAATCGAAAAATGAGATTTTTTCAAGAAATACAACTCAGTTTTTTTTTCCGTTTTTGACTTTTCCAAATGTCTGTTGACTATGTTACTCACTTTTTTTTCTTAAGAGTAGTTCAGTCTGTTGTATAAGTCGTGATGATTTTCATTGTTTTTTTTGTTTCAGGAAAAGTCTTTATTTGTTCACACTGAAATTTATTTTTTTTTGCTGTATAACTTTAGAATTTTTTCAAGTTCACATCACCTCTTTTGTTAAAAAGAAGGCAGATTCGACGTTTGAACAATCAAAGTGTAAAGGTCGTGAAAATGTGATCGACTTCTAATTTCTAAAATAGAATTTGATTTTCAGATTTCCAAGCGAAATAAAACTTTTACTTTTTTGATCCAGTTTTCTCAAATTGGGTTAAATTTATCAAAAAAGTGCCAGTCTTAAATTGTTTTAAAACTTCAGAGAGTTTTATGGGAATCTGGTTTCTGAAATTCGAAAGATATCTAAGAAAAAAGTCAGTATTTTTGTTCTGTTTTTCTTGCGTTCCTTGACTCTTTTCTAACTTTCGGTTGACTATGTTATTCAAAACTAGTAGAATATTACATTCCAGCTTAAAGCTTTAAGGTGTTTCATAACGTAACCAAAATGAATTGCCACTTTTTTTCAAGGAGCAAATCTGCGAAATTTTTTCGAGACTTAGCCGCCATTGTTTGCTATCAACTTTGCAGTTAATGTTAAGAAAGAAAGAATTTATTTCCTCCAAATTATGTATTGCACATCATCATCAAAGATTTATATGAGAAAAGCATTGACTAAGGGGAGGATAGACAAAGAGCAAAAGTAAATACCCTCTGAGAGTCTACCCATGAAATTAAAGATTTTAAAAATTTCAATCAACTTTTTTTTAGTTTCCTGGTTATTCTAATTTTTTTTGGCTAGTTTCAAGCTATAGCCTTTGAAGGATTTGGGAACTCGCCCTCACAAAAAAAATCGGCATTGGGTGTATCTAAAAGATCTGGCGGTGTCGAGATTGCTTAACATACTTACTGTATAAGGGCAGATTCTTGGCGTAATCTCAATTTGTCAACAAATATTTTTTTATTACAACACTTGGTCCTTTTATTGCCAGACAAACGGCTGATCGCTTGTTTATTGACTCTTTGACTGATGTTTACTAAGGATACTCATCCACACATCTACACGAGGTGTCCATCACCCTGCGTAAGATGAAGAGACAGCCTTCAGTGCGGACTGTGGCCCAGCTGCAGACAGTGGTGGAGGACACTCAGTTGGTGGAAAAGCTACTCCGAGCAGTTACCAACCCAGACAGTGTGCAGTCTGTGGGAGATGCGAAAGAGTTCTTCATGAGTCAACCCACGGTATCTTCTATATATTAAACAAATCACATGTTTCGTACTCATAAGGCACGATGGTTAAGATGCGGCTATCGAGCGCAACGCTTAGGAAATTGGTATAAGCCAAGCTTGGTAAGTGTTTTCTAGAATTTCGTAGGTCAGTGCTTCAGACAATATCAACTCGATCCAATTTCAAGACTAGACAATATTGTCTCAAGAATTTCGTGAACATTTTCAACTATGAGATGAGCGAACTAAAAAGAACGAGCTTCTCCTTTTTGTTAGAGAATAGCCAAACCTAGCTTAAGATCTTAGTAATTGTTTCACAAGAGCTGTTCGAAAGAAACTTTTTTACTTGTATTTTTCTATATATCATTACTTAACGAGCTTGCTTGAGAAAACCTCAAGTTTTTAAAAACCGGTTTGCTCTGTGAATTAACTATAAAATTTCAAAGTTTCATCTCTTGATAAACTTGCTATGACAGTTTGCGCGATAAAAAAAACTTGAATTTTTCAAAATTTCGCCGCTTGATTAGATTTTCTTAGCAAATTTTTGCGAACCGATTCACGCCAAAAAAACTGGGAAGGTTTCATAGGTTTATCGCTTGATGAGCTTGCGTTAGAAAACTCCACCTTCTTGCGAACTGATTCGTGCTAACTAAAAACTTGAAATATATAAATGCTTCATTGTTCTATGAGCTCGCTTAAAGAAAACTTCAATTTCTTTCAGAATGATTCGCCCCCTGAAACATGAATCTATTATTAAATTGTTTGATAATTTTATCGCCCGGTGGGATTCTTGGAAAAACTTTTTGCGAACCTATTCGTCTCATGAAATAGCTAAAAACATTTCAAAGTTTCATAGCACGATGACTTTGCTTCGGAAAACTTAGGCACTTCTTGGAAGATTTTTTGGCAATACCAATTTTTTTTGCTATCAACTTTGCAAAAGTATTAGATTCGAAAAAATGTCTTTAATCTGTTTTTTTTTTGTCTCAGATACGACAGACCGCTCTGACAACTCTGACCTGGCTGCTGTACACCCACGCAACAGATTGTGGCTCCTCCCTTTCTTCTTCTTTGTCTGCTGATGAGCAGACCCAGTGTCAACAATACATGGCCCAGTTCTACTCCAAGTGCGCATCCTCATCTCTGTTGAGACAAAGCATCACTGTATGTCTAATTCAGGGGGACAGAAGTGTGGCACATCTGTTTGCACGTTTCCTCGCTGTCCTACTCAAGTAAGTTAAAAGTTGCTAAGTTTACTCACGACCAGTGTTTAGGCCAATTATTATTGTGTCAAGAAGTAACAGTACTGTTTAAGCTGAATAGATCTTGTACATGTATGTTGAAAAGTTTAAAACTGTATTATGAGTTGATGAGCAAAGCATGGACATTCGTGAACCTAAAAGAACCAAAAGAAGACACATCATAGGTTGTCATTTTTTGTTGACTGCTCTTCAAAAAAAGGTCATAAAAGTTGTTCCTGCTTAAATTTGATATATGCGCGGTTTGATTTTGTCGCTGTCCGATAACACAAGCAAATGGCGCGAAAAACATGAAAGACATGATTGTTCAACCACTAGTTTTTTTCACCGTTAAATGTTGGACTAACAATAGCCTTATCTATTCCCACGCCATAAGTCGCAGTTTTTGTGATGAAAGTACGATTTGATTGGCTTAAAATACAAAGCCCGAAGATCTTTAAATTTAGCATGTGAATGTAACACGGTTCTTTTTGCTTTGAATGAATTGTAATCCCTGGGTCTTTCTTCACACTAGCGAGCTTGCGAGCGTTAGGGTATTAGTACGAACCTTCTTTTTTTCTAACCTAACTCGCAAATAATAGTTTTCATTGAAAGTGTTCACTTATATGGAAGTTTCTCTGTAGCTTTGGAAATTGCATAGCATCTGTTTTCTGCTTCATTTATGGCCAGTGTTTGTGATTAATTAAGCGTCAGTGGCTGAGTGGCTAGTGCGCGAGACACGTAATCTTTAGGTCGCAGTAGGTCGTACGTTCGAATCCGAGACGTAGCCGAGTTTTTACTAAATCGAGGCTTATTTCTGCGGTTTCTCATAGCACTTTATAGAGGCGCTTCGCCATTGTATTTATACCGGTTTGGGCACTCACGGATGTCGCTTATGACTTAAGCATACTATTTAATTTTCTAATAAACGAATGAATAGAAAAACAAGGATAGCCGGTTATTGTGCAAGTAGCACAGAATGTTCGACCAGTCTAAAAATATACAACAAAATAATTTTTCAAATTTGTAACGTTTTTTCACCTTGGTGTGATAAAGGAATCTGAGCGAAAAGGTAGAGCCGAGGCATTTTTGTCTGTCATTGTAAAATATGCAAATTGCAAAACAATTTTTGAACAAGAAAACCAATAACAAAAAAAAAACAATTTTTTTCTGTTTTTTTGAAGTTTTTGATTCCTAAGATGAAGCTGAAAACTCCAAAAACTAACCTTATTAGAGTAAAACTGATTTTTCAAGGCTTAAATTAAGCGTAAATACGCTATATAAGCCTGATCACTCGCACAAAATTAGACGAAAAATTAAAATTTCAAACCGGTTTTTCTTGACGCTGGGAAAACACGACTCAAAGGGCTTTAATATGATATATCACTCAACGCAGTTTTGATGATTATTTTGGTAGCTAATTTTTCGTGGAAAACAAAAAAAGCCTGCTCGCTTGCTTTTTTCGCTCGAATTAGGACAAAAAATCAAAATTTCACCAAAATCAAAATCTTATCATGATTTTGGAAAAGCAATTAATCTAGGCCGTTGAAGCCAGCCTGCTTTTATAAACGCAAATTCTGCAAAAAATTATAGCAGGTCTCCAGCAAGATTAAAGTGAAAATAAGTTTTAGCTTTTTAAGTGTCTTCTTGACTTACGAATATGCGTAATAGTAAAGGCATTCTTCTTTATAAGATCAACCCGTTCAAGTATCTTCTGATTTTTGAAACGCACCGCAGCAAATTGTATATACAGAAAGTTTTTTCTTTACTATTTTAGGAGGGAGCCAAGCCAATTTACGAATGGCAAAGATTGCTGGAATCAATTCAAGTTCAATGAATTTAATTTAAAAAATAAATTATTTCGACAGAATACCGCTGCAAATTTGTGCACTACCTGTGAAAAACTCTTTTTCAATTTACTATTCAAAAGTGCTTAACACGTATCAAAACTGGGTTGTTTTCTTGTGTTTAGCAGTGGAATACAAAAAATTGATTTCCAACTGTCTGTTGACTATTTTATAGGTTTGCGGGCAGCTGCAACCAGTCAGAAGCAAAAATATTCGAGACGAGTCTGAAGCAAACTTTGCTTGATCTGCTACCGAGTAGTGTCACTTGCAAGTCGCATGGAGGCATGCACTGGTTCCAGCTATTCTTCTACAACGTCGTGTTGGCTCCAGATAGTAAACTGGCTCTGGATGCTGGATTGAACAAGCCGGGACAACAGATGAGTCATGTCAGTAGATATAGCTCGGAAAACGCATTCTCAGTATGTCTTGACTTGTTGGATCATTTGGTCTCCTGCTCCGAGAATTTACAGGTAAGGTATAGCGATTGTAAGAAGCAAGATGCTTTAGTTAAAAATTAGTTTGGCACTCAATCTACACTGTGTTAATGGGAACACTTGGACCATGTCCCGTAGATAGTTTTGTCGCAACTGCAATTAACACTGCAATGCTGCTGTAGTTCATATAGATCAATTTTTTTTACATTATATCTCGATGATTTGGTATGTAAAAATGCTAAATTTATTGTAGGACTTGTACACGAAAACACTGCAAACGAAATTCAGATTGTTCTGCAACCCGTTCGAGCAACAGCTGCTCACCTTCCCCATGCAGACCATCATAGCCCATGACACTTCACATAGCAACAACAGACATCCTCCGCCAGGTAAGATTATGGAGCTTTTTAATTATCTGAAACCTTGCAAAGTACGTGTGTACTTGTTGGGTTAGTCCTTTATATGGAGGAGGAGGGATAATCGTTTTTGGTCTTTTTCAGTGTAAAAGTAAAAGTGAATTTCACTTATCATAGATCTTAATGATTTTTTTTCGCGGCTTGACTTCTGATTTCTTTTTAATTTCAGTTCATTTCGTTTGTTAAAAGGAAGGCAAAGTGCACTATCGAACAGCAAAATTGTAAAGGCCACGAAAACCGGAATGACATCTAGGTACAAAAATGGGCTTTAATTCTCTGAATTCCCAGCGGAATAGCGAGATAACCTTGTGATCCTGTTTTCTTTAAATGGGATATCGTTAGGAAAGAATTTCCATCAATAACACTTCTCATATATCAAAGTGTTTTATGTGATATTTTTATGTTGTTCTTGTTTCATATTATTATTGTTTCATATTATTATAATCGAAAGTTGAAAAATGTTTTAAAATTTCTTTCAATCAACTTTTTTGTGTGTGTTTTGAGGGTACTTGTGTGTGTTTTGAAGCAAGTGTACTTGCATGTTTGGTGAGAAGTTCCAGTTCACCATGAAAAATTCCAGTTTTGGTGAAAAGTTCGAGTATCTTGGGTTTTAGAATTTCTTTTGAACAAGAATTCTACAGGTTCGTCAACTACCGCAATTTTAACGATTTCCCTGCTCTAAGCTAGATAATTGCTTGATTGAAATGACCGCTGTAAATTAGCCTATATTTCCACCTCTGGGCCGAGAAGCTGGTCAATTTCACTCCAATGATCCGTCCTCATTGCTTGAAGGCGAAGTAATTTTTACCATCAACAAAAAATAATGGAAAAAATACTCCGTTTTTAACCAAAGAGCTGAAAAGCTCGGATGTTGGTCCCTTCCCTCCTAAATAAATGGTCTGAATTTTAATGTTTTTTAATTATGCAAATCAATTTTGTTTATGTTATGGTAATTTGTTCGATTTTTAAAGGAGTATACCATCATAGCTATGGGGGAGGAACTCACCCCCCGCCACCGCCTGGCATGGGTGGGAAGTGGTACATGCCCGGAGGAGGTGGAGGCGGGGTACCTTATATCCATGAGGCAGGAGCTCCATCGGGCAGTCAATCACTGGAATTGGTGAAGAACATGATACAGGTGATTATCATTATTTCAGTGGTTGCAATTGACCGATATGAAACAAGTGTTTTTATACGAGCGACATTTACCTTAATAGAATAAATGGTTTCTTTCAGTTAATTTAGCATGCTATATATGCGATGATCTTTGTTTTAAACAGTTGATGAACGCATTTCAGACTCTTAAATAGGTCGTGGTGATTTTTTAAAGTTTTATTTTTCAAGAAAGTTCGTAAATTTTATTCAGGCTCAAATTTACTTTTTAGCGGTTTGACTTTGATTTCTTTTTAAGTTCATTTCATTTCCTTTTTTAAAAGGAAGGCAAACTCCTTGATCAAACAGCAACATTGTAAAGATCACGAGAAACGTGAACGACTTCTAGTTTCGAAAGTGAACGTATAATTTAATTTTCAGATTTCTTAGTGAAATGAAAATGAAAAATTTACTGATGATCCAGTTTTCTCAAATTTAGTGAATTTTATCGAAAAAGTGGCAATCATAAATTGTTGCAGAAACTCAAAGGGATTTAAAGGCATCTATTTTTTCTTTGAAATTTCAAACTTCGATATTTGAGATTTTAAAAAAAACAAGACCGATTTTTTGTTGTTTACTTGCGTTCATTGGAACATCTCCTACGGTCTATTGGCTATATTTGAAAATTAAACCTGCTTGCTTTTGAAAGCTGTTTTGTAATTTCTAAAACTTTGGCTTTGAACAGTTTTATTTATTGTTTTTTCTATCAGCTTGTTTCGGTTGATGTTATATTGGCGTAGTCATCTTATATTGTACCTTTTCGAAAGCAAAAAGTTTTAAGTTTTTTTTTGGGATTCAGGGGGTGGGGATGGTTTCTAAACACATTGAGTTTGAAAACATAAGCTTAAATGTTCTTCTGACAATATTTTTTTTGGCTTATCGTGGTTCGATCCAATACCCTGTTTTCTTAAAAATGATTTTTTTTCTCCCTAAAATGAGTTTTTCTTTAAATGAGTTAGATTTTAACAAAAGTTCCTGCCACGAGCAGTTCTTGAAATAAGTGTTCAATAAAAATAAGTATGATGAAAATGTATGGGATTTAGGGATTTTATCTGAGATTTTGGATCTTATTATAGAAATCCACAGTTAGGGATTTTATCTGAGATTTTGGATCTTATTATAAAGAAATAGGGACAAGTTATGGCCCTAGGAAAAATCAAATTTTTGATTTTTATGACAGGTTTTTAAATTTTTTGACAGGTTTTTGATTTTTTAAACTACTCTCCTATTTCTGAAATTTTGATTTCATTCGAAAGGACGGGCTTTAATTTTATTACACGAAAAGTTATGGTGCCCGGAAAAATCAAATTTTTGATTTTTTGCATGGTTTTTTATTTGAAGACTTTTCTCGAAATTTACGCTCCCAACTCTGAGATGCTGACTTCAATCGAAAGGACAGCTTAAGATAAGCCCCCCTCCTGTTTGGAAGGCTGTTCCCAAATTTGTTTACAAAAAGTTATGACCATGGAAATGTCAAATTTTTGATTTTATATTCAATTTTTGAACTTTTTCGGTTTGACTTATGATTTCTTTTCACGTTCAATTCATTTCTTATTTATTCTTATCACCATCGAACAGCAAAAATATAATGGTCACGAAAAACATGATTGACTTCTAATTGGGAAAACGGAACTTATATATCAGATTTCCCAGCGAAATAAAAATTTAACGTTGTGATCCAGTTTTCTCAAATTGGGTTATTTTTATCAAAAAAATTTCAATCTTAAATTGTTCCAGAAATTCAAAAATTTACTGATTCCTCTTCCTAAGTTTACTGATTCCTCTTGCACTAAGTTTGTACTCCAAACTGAAAAGAACAAACTATGATTATAAATCTTTAAAAAATATATGTTTATCCTTGTCATCTTTATTGAGAATTCTTTTAATACTTGAAAGATATCCAGTTTATTAGTTTTTTTGTTAGTTATAAAATCAGTAAAAACCAACTAGAAAACTGTGACATTTTCCTATCCTGTTCAGCTTCGGCCACTTTTCCACCCTGTTCATTTTTAAACTGCAACCCAACTTTATCATTATCCTCGTTGTTGAGTAGTTTTTTGGGTAGTTTAGAAAATGAATTATTTCCTCCAGTTTTCTGAGATCGTCATACACACCCAAAGTTTAGTCGCTGTATACAAATCTTTCTGTATCTCAGTAGAAAGATTTCGAGAAAAGTCTTCAAATAAAAAACCATGCAAAAAATCAAAAATTTAATTTTTCCGGGTTTTCGTGTAATAAAATTAAAGCCCGTCCTTTCGAATGAAATCAAAATTTCAGAATTAGGAGAGTAGTTTAAAAAAACCAAAAACCTGTCAAAAAATTTCAAAACTTGTCATAAAAATCAAAAATTTGATTTTGTTAAGGCCATTTATTTTTTTTGTATTTCGAAAATTGAATTCCAAAAACAAATCAGTATTCTTTTCTCTAACTTGCGTTCATTAGCTCTTTTCCAACTCTGTTGGCTATGCTATGTTTGTTTTATCTCAAGTGTTGCGAAGCTCCGCTTGCCTCTGTGTATGAATCTATATCAAGCTGTTTTTAGGTACAGTCATCGAGAAAAAGCAGCGGTGGTAATGCAACCGATTCAAGCATCTCCGCAAATGAGTTGAGCTCACAGTCTTTCATAGACCTATTTGTGCCTCTGAACTTCGTCGGGTTTACCCTAGACAATCAACTCATTGGGTTTCTGGAAGCAGAGCCTCTCCGATTCTCTTGTGTGGAAGCAAGTGACGGGGTCAAAATGCAGGAAGTCTCCTCGGGGAATGAGATAGTGGGAGGGCACACACAGACTCTGGTTGATTACGAGGATACCTTGAATGAACCGGGAATGACGCCGACTCTGGTTCAACTAATTAATGTGGCAGCCAATGTGAACCAAGCGGCTTCTTCGGGTGCTGCGTACAACTCGATGTTTGCAGGAGGATGGTCTGTCAACCCTCCCACAGGTATAGTGAAGTTCTGGTCTATCAAAATTACCATTATAACCTAGGTCTTTCTAAAATAAGTGATTCATGAAAATGTTTCGACTTTTTCTCAAAGCGTTCATTTTTTACTCACTTAATAGAATGTCTGTATAATGATGTTCATAAGTCTATATAACCATGTTCAGACTCTTAAATAGGTCGTGATGATTTTTTCAGGAAAAGTTTCAAAAATTGTTCAGGCTCAGATTTACTTTTTCGCTGTTTCATCTTTGATTTCTATTGAGTTCAGTTCAGTTCCTTTATTAAAAGAAGGCAAACTTGACTATCGAAGAGTGAAAATGGAAGGGTCGACAAAAAACTGATCCACCACTAGTTTCGAAAGTGGAATTTATTTTCCAGATTTCCCAGCGAAATATAAATTTTAGTTTTTGATCCATTTTTCTAAAAAAACGGCCCCAATCATAAATTGTTCTATAAATAAATTCTATAAGAGCTTAATGGGCATCTATTTTTTTCTTTGAAATTCGAAGTTGGGATTTTTTGATGTTTTTTTTTCATGTTTACTTGCGTTCATTACTCTTTTCCGATCTTCGATTGGCTATGTTTCTATAAACAAGTCAGTATTTTTTGTTTGTTTGCGTTCATTGACCCTTCTTCTACTGTCTGTTGGTTATGTTTCAAATTTGAACCGTGTTAATATAATTGAAAGTTGTTTTTGTAAATCTGACTTTTTTGTATATTGCAGTTTCACAGGCAAAAATTTTGTTTTGTTTTGGGGTTCAGGGGGGGGGGGGGGGGGTGTAGTTTGTGAAAACTTCGAATTTCAAAACTTCATAGCGTAAAATTTTATATGACAAAGTTATGTTTTCGGCTTAACGTGGCTCGACTTAATAATGTGGCCCATCCTGTTTTATTAAAATGGTTTGGGTTACAAAAAATGCCAGCCATGAGTTTTAATATAACTTTTTAATAAATTTTTGTAAATTAATGTTTAATAAAAGTAGGTTTAATGAAAATGTATGGGATTTGGCGTTGAAATTCATGTGTATTTTTTTAGACTCTTTGGAAAAATTATGCATTTTTTTTTCAAAAAATTCAAATTCTGACAAAAGCCATTTTATCTATTTTTGAAAAAGTTTTTTTTTTGTGCCTGCACATTCCTCAGTTTCTGTTTTTCCATAACGCACGTTCTGCAGCTTTCGAAAAATTCATTGGGGGAATATTTGACCCAAATGTTTTTGAATTTTTCTCTTAAAAACTACCCTGCTAAATCTGATATTTTGGGTCGCATTCCAATTGAAAGAACAGTTTGTAGAAAATTCTCCTGCGTCGTCGATTATACCCATTTTTTCACGCAAAAATTTATGGTCGTACCTGAGGTCGTTCTAAAATAACTGCTTCTTAAAAATGATTCGATTGGTTCTCAAAGCGTTTATCTTTTACTCCTTTAATATAATGTCTGTTCAATGATGTCCTCAAATGTTTTTAACATAGTTCACGCCCAATTTTGATTTTTCGCGATTTGACTTGTGATTTTTTTTCAAGTTCAGTGCATTTCTATTGTTAAAAGGGAGGCAAACTCAACTATCGAACAGCAAAAGTGTAAAGGTCGCGAAAAACGTGATCGACTTCTAATTTCGAAAATGGAAATTAATTATCAGGTTCCCAGCGAAATAAAAGTTTTGGCTTTTGATCAAATTTTCTCAAATTGGGTTAATTTTAACAAAGAAGTGTCCATGATAAATTGTTCTACAAATTCAAAGAGCTTTAAAGCCATCTATTTTTTTTACATCGAAAATCAAAAGTTGAAGGTTATTGAAAAAAAACAGTCCGTTTTTTTTCAGTTTCCTTGCGTTCATTACTCTTTTCCCAATCTTCGATTGGCTATGTTTTTTTTTCCGGAATAGTCTTAAGTTTTGTTCAGGCTCAGTTTTACTTTTTTTTGCGGTTTGACTTTGTGTTTCTTAAGCTCAATTCACTTCCTTTGTTAAAATTAAGGCAAACAAGGCAAAAGGCTTATTGATAACATGTGATTTGACATTCGAATAGTTATAAGTTTACACAGTTGATGCATTTTTGATTCATCAAGTGAACCGAAAAAAGCTATTTGTTTCAAACAGCATAACAATTATAAAATCTTGTTTCAGTAATTTTCTAGCTCAAGATATCTCGCAATTTTTTGAAATGCTAAATTTATACATAATGTGGCTTTATGATTCAGAAATTTATTACATGCAAAATTGAATCTTTTTGTATTGGGTGTTACCTTTGCTGCGTCGAATTGGCAATTTGATAGCATATGTAGCTGCGTTATTGGTGGCTAGTTTTTGGGGATTTTAAGCATCCGTGGATGAATGGTTAGTGCGTGAGACTCAAATTTGCTAGGTCACAGATTTTTACCATTTCGAGTTTTTGCAAATTCGAGGCTTATTTCTACTTTTTCTTGTGTCACTTGGTAGAGCTGCTTTTTGGTCGTGTTCGCGCAAGTGTTTGCGAAGCGTAGCTTTGCCTCTGTGTCTCAAATTGGATTAATGTTATTTAAAAAATGTCAATCATGAATTGTTCTAGAATTTCAAAGAGCTTTGAGGCCATCTATTTTTTTTCTGAATTTTGAAAGTTGAAATTTTTTGATAAAAGTAAGTCAGTATTTTTTTAATTGCGTTCATTGACTCTTTTTAAATTTTTTTGTGGGCTATATTTTGAGGATAGTGACCATTTTCATTTAAAATTGTCAGACTAATGGATCTACGTGTTATTGGATTAGGTGGAAAGTCATCTTTCGGAAATCAGCTTCAAGCGCAAATGGCTCCAAGTCCTGGGGCATTCGGACCTGTTGGAAGTTTGAAACAAATGAGCTACGCAGATGCAATGAAAACTCATGGTAGTATGGGCTCATCTGTGGGGCAAAACAGAGGAGGTGCTCCAATCAGTGACGCAATTGTCGGATCTATCGGAGGATCACTGACGCATACGCCACAGCCACAATACATGCTCATTGACAATCTTCATCCAGGTCAATAATGCGAGATTAAGATAGTAGTTAATTTTGATATATTTTTTATCTGAAGACAAGCGTAATTTTTTGGAATAGCACTGTGGAAACTCGTGCCTAGAAGCTGGAGGGTTCGAATAGTATAACGTATAATAACTTGTTCTCCTCGCAGCATCCTATTTTTACGCGTAAATGAACGAAGTGAAGACATTTATTTAGGTCGCGTGGTCTTTCTTCGTTTTTTCTGGAAAATTATTACGCTCAAATTTGATTTTTTTTTTGCATTTTTACTTCAGATTTTCTAAGTTCTTTTCAAATTAATTTGATAAAAGGAACGCAAATTGTACTCTACAGTTACGAAATCATTTCGCGAAAAAACGTGACTGAGTTTTTGTTTTAAATGTGGATTTAGTTTTTAGATTTTCCAGCGGCATAAAAAATGCTAATTTACTCAGTTTTCTTTATTTGGGTTAATTTTCTTCAATAATCAATCAAAACTGTCATCAAAACCGTTTTTTTTTTGTTTCCTGGAGTCTGTTGGCTCTGTTTTTGCTTGTGTAATTGAAATGGGTTTATCTAAGTTTTATTGAAGGATATTAAGTTTATCACGCCAGTCAGTGTTTGTATCCACAGTAGGGCAAAAGATGAAGATTGACTTTTTCATATAAGCTCTTTGAGTATTTCAAATTTATTTAATCCAGGTGTGCGTAAATTCGTGGTTCTTGACTTTGGTCGCACTATCGTACTCTCGGATGTGTTCATTGGACCCTGTGTAGATTTGGCTTCTCTCACTCTGGACTGCTGGGTGAAGGGAGAGGCACTGGACTCAATGCGAGTGGCGACTTCACTCGATATCAGCACAGATGCACTGGCTCTGACAGACATTCAGCCATCCTTGCACTGTCGGTCAGTAGTCAGCTTTTAACCTATACATGTCGTCTGATTATGCACATATGGATTTGTTATGCATATATGACAGCGCACATGTGGTTGTTCCCTTGAAGCCAGGGGGCGGATCTACGCTTTTCGCAAGGGGTGCATTTCTTTAGATCGACCAAATGAATTTCCTGAGTGCTCCAAAATTGCTAATAAATGCTTAATTTGAGCAAACGTTTGCTGAATTAAGTCATTGACATTTTCGGCTACTTTTGAAAGGTTTTTACCAATTTTTTTGTGGTTTTGCCGGTGTGCTTGCCTTCACATCTTCCCTCAATATTAGGGCTAAAAGTTAAGTGGTTGATCGTTCAAAATTGGATTTTTTAAAAAGTATCAAAGGGCAACCTTAGGGGTGGTCAGGGTATTGAATTCCTGAAGAGGGTATTGAGTTCAGCAACCCAACGCACACACACTGAAATCGACCCTAGTCTCCTGAAATTATTTAGAAACTAACAACATGAAAATGATTTTCAAATCTTTTGCTAACTCTCATAGCCCACCATCCTTCCAACAAGAAGTTATAGCCTCGGTCGGAGCAGTGAACTTTGTTTTTTTTCCAGGCAGTGAGCTTGGGTTGCAGCAAAAATAACGATTTTTTTACAGGCATGTTTTCAAATGAAAGTTTTCAAGCAAAAACTTGTAGGTACCTGAAGTTGACGGTGAGTGGTAAATACGGGTCTGCCTCGTCCGCGGTCAGTGCGCATGGACATCACAGCAGTCATGGTCAGAACAAAGTGCTACTACCCATCAACACTCTCTATGGACACACTGTGGACTGCGAGTACGAGGCCATGCCCCGAGAGGCCAAGGTACTATAGTAAAGTTTCGCATATTGGTATCATTTTTACACTAGCCAGCTACGAGGGTTGTGTTTTAGTGTGAATCTACTTTTTTTCTACGTAACTCGAATAAAAGTGCTCATTTGCTATAAGCACGATATGTTGCATTGGAAATTTCATAGCATCTGTTGTATTTGTGGCTTGTGTTTGCCGATAGTTAAGCATCCCTGGCTGAGAGGGAAGGATGTGAGACTCCAGGAAGGTCCCAGTTTAGAATCTGACACATAGTAAAGTTTTACTAATTTGAGGTTTTTTTCTTTTTTTTTTAAATCGAGCTGCTTTTTTGTCGTTTTCTTGTTAGTGTTTGCCAAGAGCAGCTTCGCCCTTGTGTAAAACATGTAATAAATTGGTATCCTTTTGCATTAAAAAATGCGAATTCGTATATGCGTGCTCAAATATCTCGCATGTTTTTTTTTTGTAGATAAAGAATGTTCAGGAACTTCAGGAGAAACATCTGAAGACGTTGGCAATAGTACACGACGATCTACTCTGCAGGTATTTTTACCTAATTTCCATGCGTTTCATTTTTCAAGGTTCAGGGAAGCTATTTGGAAACGTATTGTTATCATTGCGAATCTTTAGTAGCATCCATCAAATCAGATTTTTCTCGATTTTCAGCTCAGAACTTAAATTATTCAGTCATTACTCGCAGGTATGTAGCTAAGAACCGTTGTTGCAGATACAGCCTGGCCTCGAACCATCTGAAATCTCTGATCAGTCCCCACGCAGCCGCCCTTTCCACTCCACTGGCCAGCAACAGTAGCATCTCTGAGCAGAAGAGATATGTGTCGGAGGTGTGTTCCAACTGCAGAGTATTGCAGAGACAGTTGAATGTGGTGACTAGAGTGATTGAAAGAGTGAAGAACTACTTCAGTAGCAGCAGTAGTGCTACACCCAATATATCCAATACTAGTGAAGGTAATTTGTGCATTTGCAATTGTGAAAATGTTCACAATATGTCTAGTATAAAGGGAAACAATGTTCAGACTGTTCATTCAGCTCTTTACGAAGACCGCTTTCATGCTCTCGATTGATTTCTAAAACGAAAACTCCTTCCAAAAGTGTATTTGCTTCTAAAACGTTTTTTTTCTCAATAAACTAAGACAAAAATATCATTTTGCAGGCGACGGATTATCAGCGGACTGCAACCAGACCGCGTTATCATCTGCATCTACAACCCACGTATCTCATGCAACCAGATTCACTCTGTTGTCCATGTTGCAACTGGCAGTCAACTCACCAGAAGAAGTGCCAATGCTAGCAACGGATCAAGCGCCAGTTAGCGGAGACAACGAATCACAGCAAACCGAAGGTCGGTCACAAATGACTATTGTTAACAATGGCAAAAAACACATCTGAAAAGTCTTGGGATGAATCGAGAAAACTTCAACAGCGTTTTTAGGCTGACGATTAATTTGATATAAGGATAGCATGAAACAAGGAGTGCCGTTTGCTTGTGCAAGTAGCACAGAATATTCCGACCGCACTGATTTAGGAAAAAAAATCAAAAACAAGAAAATTGTTTTTCAAAAAAAAGTGAGAAAAAGAATATCTTTTCTGACTGCACTTCCTGTAATTAATTTTGCTAGTGATTTTGATAAAAATGCAAGAGTTGTTGGTTATAACAGCTTAAAGAGCATTTGAAAAATGACTGAAAAACACGCCCTACGACCTTTGAAGTGGTCGGAACAAAAAAAATCGTTGAAATAACTGCGAATTAAATGGGTGGTTTTTTTGTTTTAAGCTCAACCTTCAGACTGTGCCGTAAGTGAGGAGCAGTGTTTCCACTTCATGAGGCAGCTGTGCATCAGGGGAGTGCCCAACAACGGTATTCTAGCACTGACTCTATTGCATAGAGTGTGCCACAGACAGCAGTGGTGGGCGGGATTCGTGGCCTCCTCCTTCGTCAAGTTCTTCTCGGAGTCAACCAACTCAGAGATTCAACTACATGTTGTAAGTTTTTAAGAGTCATGAACGTATTGAATTCTCATATATATGTCTCGGTGATTTTTTTTGGTTTTTTCGGGATAAAGTAAAAAAAAAGATTAGGCAAAATCCACTATGGAATAGCGACAGTGTAAAGGCACGAAAAGCGTGATTAACTTCTAATTTCAAAAATGGATTTTGATTATCAGATTTTTGGAATACAATTGAATTGATTTTATCTTTAATTAAGTTGTTCTTGAAGTTTAAACATATTCAAGGCCATATATATTTTTTAAAATTCGAAAGTTTTTGCCAAAAACAAATCAGTGATTTTGTTGTTTAGTTGCGTTCATTGGCTCTTGCTCAATGTCTGTTGGCTCTGTTTTTTTTTTGAATTCTTGAAAAAAAGATGTTACTGTTTGAATGTCCTTGTCGAGCTATGGAATTTGCTACAATTTAAAAACGGTTCTTCTTGTTTTTGCCGGTATTCGGCTTAAAGTATGCAAGCTTAGAATGTCGCATGCTGTAATTGATTTTTTTTTGTGTCAGAAAATGGTCGCATGATTGTTCGAAAGGGCTAGGCGATGGCGTAATTTGCCCAAAAGAGCGTGAATGTGGGATATTATCGTATTTACAAGACATAACTTGTCCTTTTCAAAGAAAAAGACATCTATTGGTCCAAGGAGTAATTGATCAACCATGAACATAATTTCAGGTTAAAGTATACATCACTATTCTGCACCTGGCAAAACAGGACGAAATAATCGATGATGTCATCCTTAGCTTCGTCAACTTGTTACTCTGTGGAACACCATCTTCGTCTTTAAGTGCAACACCAAATAGCCATCCAACAGACAACAGTACTACTACAGGCAGTGTTCCAATTGTACCCCCTGTGAATGCGAATGGCAACAGTATGGCATCTGGCTCTTGGGTCGGCGGCGTGTCAATGTCAGGAAACTGCAACTGGTCTCAGCTGTCGGCAATCTTGATGATAATTTCGCAAGGTAGAAAGGTGTCAGTTTTGCTCTTAGCAGCACGTGACGGATGATGATGAGAACAAAAGGGTTTAACAAAAACGTCAAAAAAATGGTCTCTATCAGATTCAGATCCAGATTTTTTCTCAAAATGTGGTTTTTGTGAAAAAAGGAAAAGTTTCGTCGATTTCTTCTTATATCAACAAAAAAGATTTTCCAAGCTCTTCGAAACTCCAAAAAGACTCGATATTGTTTCCCTTGCGATTTGACAAGAGTATGATTGCTGCCGTGTACTAGTTTTTCCCCCGTTGAAATATTTGTTCACAAGATGACTGAAATTGGTCATCTCCAATTTTAGACATGGTAGTATTTTGACATCTTATTTTGTTCATACATGCATTATGCTTTTTTCCAGAGATAAATTTGCAAAAAAAGTTTTTTTTTCAAATGTAAACTGTTTTAAGTAGGTCTTTGCATTTAAGAGTCTATGAATATAGTTAAGGCTCTTATATAAAATATAGGTCGCGATGATTTTTTTTTTGGGAAGCTTAAAGTTCGTTCATGCTCAAATTCACTTTTTGCGTGTTGACTTATGATTTCTTTTTATGTTCAGCTCATTTCCTTTGTTAAAAGGAAGGCAAAATTGAACAGAGAAAGTCTAAAGATCACGAAAAACGTGACTGACTTCTAATTTCAAAAACGGAATTTAATTATCAGATTTCCCAGCGAAATAGAAAATTTACATATTGATCAATCGTTCTCAAATCGGTTCAGTCTTATCAACAAATCGTCAATAATAAATTGTTCTAGAAATTCAAAGCGCTTTATCAAAAAATCGTCACTAATTAATTGTTCTAGAAATCCAAAGCGATTTGTCTTATCAACAAATCGTCAATAATAAATTGTTCTAGGAATTCACAGCGCTTTAAGGCCATCTAATTTTTTCTTTGAAATTTGAAAGTTCGGATTTTTTTTAAAAAAAATTAGGTCAGTATTGTTTTTCTGTTTACTTGCGGTCGTTGACTACGCGTTTATCCCTTTCACAGGTTTTGTCAGCTTGCTAGCCGGGTATTCAAATGAACTAACTTTTCTTCTTTTCATTTAAATTTTGAGCTTCGAGAATATATTTTAATAGGTTCTTTTTTTTATACACGCTAGAAATATCTGACAGTGATGAAAAAATTTGAACTAGATGTCAGTTGTTGCAGCTTTATGGCTTTTGATTTTTTTAAAGGCGCTTCGCCTAGTTTTCAGTAGTTTAACCTCTGTCTTGTCTTAGATTGGGGTAATTTATTTTAAGTCGATTCAAGGTTATGTTGAAGCAAATTAATTAAATTTTGCTACTTTAGTAAAATATCCTTTATTAAAGTTTTTTTCATATAATTTAGGATGACTGGTTTTGCTCTCAAACGGATTGTGCAATTATCTCCTTGAAAAGGTTCTTGTTTTTGGTATAGTTTTTCATATGTCTAGAATCATGTTAACTTTCCGAGTTTTTTACGCAAGCAGCTCGTAGTGTAATAATACGATGGAACTGTGTTTCGGACCTATAGAGCAATCAAATGTGCTCATTCAGCGACACTCATTTGTTTTATAGGCAATTGAAAACCATCTCTTGCTGCGTTTTTGGGGTGACTATTGTTAGTTTCTGTTTGTTAAAATGTTTGGCATTAGGTTATATTTTAATTATCGTAATTGTTTTGCGACTGCCTAAAAAAAATTAACCGTATAGTTTTGAGACCAAGGCTTCAATCGGGAGAACATTTTTTGAGTATCTGCGCAGCATAAGCTGTTACGCCCTAGTTTTGATAGACAAAAAGATGGCCTCAAAAAGCCTATTTTTGATATTTAGGTAGTTTAGAAAAAGTGTTTTTCGAAAACTTCAGATTTTGCTCATAAACTACCCTGCCAAATTTGAGATTACGAGTTCAATCAAAGTTAAATCAAATTGTGTGTAAATTCGCTGCGCAAGCGCAAGTGATTATGACCTACTTTTGAAAAGTTATTGCGACAGAAAATGTTTAGTTTTTGAAATTTGCCTTTTTCACTTTTCTCTAAAACTACGCTGCCAATTTCGATTTGATTGTTCGATCCATCGAAAGAAAATGTTACACAGATCTTCCCTGCATAAACGATTTTATCTTTGTTTTATAAAACAGCAGGCATGGATTTAAGAAAAAACTGTTTCTTGATTTTTCTAGCTTTTTTGGCAATTCCTTTCTCTTAAATTACCCTGCTATAGCTGATTGTAAGGCTTTAGTCGCAAGACCAGTTTGTGCCATTTTTCTCTGCTATGTTGTTATTCGCATACTTAAGTGTAGAAATTATTATGGATTTAGGAAAAGTCAATTCTTTTGACGTTCTTTGAAATTTTTCGCTTTTCTCGTAAACTACTCGGTCAATTCTAAGATAAAGAACTCAATGGAAAGAACGAGTAGTGAAAATCTCCTCTAAATAAGAGGCTAATCCCCAATTTGTTTGGAGAAGTCATGACCGTCCGATTTTTTGACATTTACGCATTTCCTCCCTCCTTAGTGCAAGGTTGTTACAACCGGGTACTAGACTTCCCCGTAAAAATTTTGTTCACAGAACGGATGAAATAGATATCGTTATCAACTGCTCAATATAAGCTGCTGAGTCATTAGCATGGTCAGTGTATTGGTTTTTTTTGTGGTTTGGGTGCGTCATTAAGTGTTCTGGCAAAGAAAATTTTTCAGAGCGAAAATTTTTCTGTAGATTTTCGGTGCCTCATTTTTTTCGGCTTATTTTCCTTGTTTTTTTTTCTTTTAAATTGTTGATTTCATATGGCAAAAATTATACTCTTGCAAGAAACAGGTTCAAAAATTTAAGTCAACCTCCCAGACCCTCCTCGATTGAATATCAAAAAAAATGAATCTGAATAAATTTACTACGATTTTTTAGTTTCTTGAACAACAGCTTGAAACCTTTTTTTAAAATTTTCGTTGCGACTGGATGTTTTTGTCAAGATTTTTCTGGCGCACGTAAATGATTTTATGATTTTTTACCTAGATTATTGTATGTTTTTTGTGTATCAAGTTTTTCGTCAACAGCTGATTGTTTTTTTGTTTTCATTGCTTGCTAACCTAATTGTTTTGGGAAGGTAACCGTTTTATTTAATGTGCCTGGAATTAAGACAGATAGAAGTGTTATTGAACCCGCACAAAGTTCCAAAAAAGGACTTTTGTATTTTGAAATGACATCTTGAGTTTATTTGAGCTATTTTTCCTAAATAATTGTTATATTTTTATGATTTTGCTTAACTTAGGTTTTTTAAAATAAGGTACCAATATCATTTTTGTGCTCATCTTGTTTCTAGTTTTTTCTGAGTACTTCATTGAAACAATCAAAAATTAGTTTCTATTTTTGGCATTTATTATTTTAATTCAAGTTTGGGTTTAATTTTTTTCAGTTCAATTGTCTTTGAGCTTATTTTTTGGTACTATTAAAAGATCTGAATAGGCTCAACAATTATAAATCTTCCTCTGGCTTGAAAAAAAACTGAAAAGTTTGCTTGTGTGATATACCAAAGGTTTCATTGCTTTTACTTGAGAAATTCAATGCCGTGCAGCAAAGTGCAAATTTTCAGTTGGAGTTTAAATGAAATTTTTGCTTGTTGTTCCGACCTTTTGAAAATGGGGAGGAACTTTGTATTCGGGTGCGTTTTAGTTTTAGTCTTTTTTTTTGTTTTCCACGCAAAAACAAGTACCACAAATAGTTGAGGCTGATTCATTTCCGTTATGTTTGAAAAATACTTCCGTAATATTTTTTCTACTTTTTACGACGAATTTTTAATGTAAAATATAGCACATAATTAAAAAATTTTGTTCATAAGAACTAAAGATTTAATTAATATGATAGCGAGTGTTTGCAACGGAATTCATCAAATCTGCTATACTTTGAATAGTTCGACTGAGTTCAATTAAAAAAAACAAGGCTCTTTAGATTAAAAAGTTTTTTTGAACTTCGGAATAATTTCTTTTAATCGCAATTTCTTTTTAATCGTCTCTGTGTCGAAAATGCTACTAAGTAAAGTACGATTGATTTTTTTCCAAGGACCATCGAGCATAATTTTTTCTGCCATTAATTGTACACAATACTCAAACTAGTTCTTCAGCCTTTGCCATAATGCACTAATCATGTTTTGGCCTTTCGCAAGAAAGCACTAGTCAAAAATTTACTACTCAGAGAAAGTGTAGGCTGGTACGAATTGGTATTGCCAATTATCTTAGATTTCGTCAGCGTGTTTAGCCATAACAAGCATACAAAAATTTATGATTTCGTTTTTTTTGTGTGTTAGGAATGTGCGAAAGAAGCACCAACTCAGATGTGTACAGCGGTAGTGGTGGGTCGATCGGAAGTTACGGGGGTTCATTCAAGTGGGACTTCTTCCCTAGCATCCTCAATGCTGATTTCCTCCGCCAGGGGCTTGCTACCGGCAATGCAGCTGACAAGAGTGGAGCAGGTACCAGTTTTTGTGCAAAAGTGTTTCCTATAAAAAGCATATAAGAAAAGTTGGCACGATTTCTTTTGTATATGTTTCAGTCAAGGGCCAAAAGCAGATCTCCAGGAAGACGATAGGCGTCGGAGGCACTGCCCTTACAAAGTCCAAGAAAATCATGGGACTGTTTGCTCCAAAGACTACTCATAATCAGGGCACTAGTGCCACTGGTTCTGGATTGCAGGGAAGCAGTCAGGCACACTCGAACAAGAGTGAAAAGGTAGAATTTAAAAATCAAAATAACGGAGACCTTGAAAGTAAATTTTAAATAGAAAGCAATGCAATGGAAAATATTTTCCATCCATATAAAGTAGTGAGTGAAATAAAATTAAATCACCAGAATGCATCTCGTTCCGTTGTTAGTAGGCTTATTTTTTTAGGAGAAGAAACCGAAACAATCTTCATCGTCCATGGACGCACCTCCAAAGATGTTCCAGACACCAATCAATGATGTTTCACTCCCACCCGAAACAACTCAAGAACTCATGCGAAGACTTCTGTGCCTGTTGCCGGAGCTGATTCGATCTCAAGCGACCGACTTGGTGATGCTCTTATGCAGAGTGGTTTCTTTACTGAGCAGTGCCTGCAGAAACCAGAATGATTTAAAGGCTGATGTCCACTCTGTTGATGGCTCTAATGGAAGCGTTTCCGGTCAAAGGGCAAACACTATCAGGATCGTGAATTTGTTTCCTGAAAACCTTCTTTCTCATATACTGTTGAACGCGTTTGTGCTCACGACGAATCAACTTATAACTTACGCTGTGCAGAGTCTTATTTTGGACATCATGCAAGGTTTGAATGACAAAAAAGGGTTCTAATTTTTTGCTTTGCCCAGCTGATACATTTTATTCTGCTGAAATAATTGAACTGGTAAATCCGACAATTGGCGGTTTTAGTAGGAAGAGTTGTTTCAATTCGCACAGTTCGCGAATAAACGTAACTTTAGGTCTCCATAAGTATGTATAAAATGTGTTGGTTTAGCTGAACTGGGAAAACCAAATGCAGATAACCAGCAAAAAACGAGAAGTGCTCAATCGGGTAGCGGGTGCAATTCAGAGGGGCCATTCAAGGCGAAATCTAGGGCTGCGTCGTCCTCATCAGCATCTTCAAATCCATTCGTAAACTTGGTGGACTCAAACTTTCCATCATCTTCTAGTGGTAAGAAGAGTTGAGTGTTGATTGTGTTAGGAATGAAATGAGTTCTCATTGATTTGGGTTGTGTTTTTTTTTTCACCCGTCAGTTTATTTTTTGCTAGTTTGACTTCGATATCAAAGTGATCAAATTCATTTGCAAAATGTAAGGAAATTAAAATATCCAATGACAGAATTGCAAAGGGAGGGAAAAAAGGCTCTCGACTATTACTTTCAAAGTGGTATTAAATGAACAAAGTGTTTTATCTTTCAAATAGGTCTGTTCCAGGAAAAATATTTAAGTTTGATTAGTTTTAATTATGATTTTTCGCGTTTTGATTTATGTTTTCCTTTCAAGTTTAATTCAAATTCATTCGCTAAAAGAAAGGCAAAGTACGCTCACCAACGAAAGTGCAACTGGCGCTAAAAAAAATCGAAAGGTGGTGGTAATTTAAGCAAAATTAAAGATTTCTCATTGGCTCATTTTTTCTAATTAATTTTTTTTTGTGAAAAAAGTATCAGTCATGAAAGATTCTTGATATTTAAATAGTTTTAACTTTGTACATTTTTCTCGGAAATTTGAAAAATAATCAAAAAAAAGTGAATGGTGTATCTTTTTTGGTTTCTTTGAGTTTGTGTACACGTTTCCACTGCCTGTTAACTATTTTTGTAGTGTTCAAGTGTCACGCACGCTCAAATAACCTTGCACTGTTTTTTTTCACGGTGTAATTTGTGATTTTTCTTATAGTTAGCAATTTAAGTTCATTTGGTGAAACGAAGGCACATTACGCTCTTAGTTACAAAAATTCAAATAGTGCGAAACATGTATGTTTATATGATGTATTTGCATGTATTTTGGTTTAAAAAAAAAGAGTTTCTAATGGAATAAAAATTTGACTACTTATTTATATCTGGATAAAAAGTGATTGTTCGTGTTTTAATAAATCAGCTCGGCTGGTAGTGTAAAAGGTTGAAAGTCCAAACTTTTTAATCGCTCAAAATTGTTTATGAGAACAATTTTCTCTGACATTTTTTGTTTTCGGATTAATTGGCGTCTAACTACCAGTTGCCGGCCTAGTGAACGCTTGAAAATTGCTAAAATCTGGTTTTTATGCTAGTTGCTTTGTTTCTCGTCTGTTTTTAGAGGTTGAATTTTTCATATTTTCAGAAAAATTATACTAAAGCGGAAAATACTAAAATTTTGCTTTTTGCTAGTGGTTGTGTTTGTCTTCTGTTTTCGTGAGATTGAATTTTTCGTATTTCCAAAAATATAGTTGATTTTTATAACAATTTCCTTTGCCATGTTTGCCATAACTTTTTGGATTAGTGACGCTCGGAAAATACTAAAAGCGAGCTTGTTCCTTGTGTTTGTGTTTCTCGTCTGTTTTTCTGTGATCGAATCTTTGGTGTTTCCAGTTTTTTCCTTTTAGTTTTTTCCATCTCACTGACCATTTTGTTGCTTGCAGTGGTATGCTTTCTATGTATCGGAAGTGATGCGAAGCTCCGCTTCGTCTGTGTGAAAAAAATTGTCAATCATAAATTGTGCTAGAAATTCAAAGAGGTTTATGGCCATCTATTTTTTTCTTTGAAATTCGAGAGTTGTGATTTTTTTTTCTGCTTCTTTGCGTTCATTTGTCGTTTCCAACTGTCAGATGGCTAGGTTTGAGTTTATTTCTGACTATTTTTTGTTGATGTTTTCAGAAAAAAATTTAAGATTGTTTGCTCAGAACTTTATAGTTTCGCGTTTTTCTTTTCTAGATACCTAGTCATTTCAAAGGAAAAGTAATGTAACTTAATGAAGAAACCTGTTGACTAAAAAAGTTTTCATAAGTCGACTTAACTCAAACCAGGTTGCTTTTTAAAAAATATTTCAACGAGAAAGTTTTGGTGGAATGCAAAAAGGTTCAAGGTTCCCTTGAATTGTTCGATATTTGTCCTTTGGCTGTGTTTTTTTTTTATTTCTAATAACCAATTATTTTGCGATTAGGGTATTACAATTAGATATTTGATTAAAAGTAGTGGAAAAAAATTGGCCGAAAAGTTTAAAATAGTGACTCAATTTGTAGTTTTATTCGATGGTTCGTCTACCAATAGAAAAAATAGAGCACGAATTGGGAGGGATTGCTGTGTTTTAATCAAACTAGTTACCCTAAAGACACTTATTCGATGTTGATGTTAAAAAGTTTTGAAGAGCATTCAGTCATGGTTTGGACTTCTATGGAAAACTCCGAAACCGTTCTTTCGGTGTCGAGAGAATTCGTTTTGGTTAATTTAGTTTGCTAAGTTTTGACAATTGATTGATCTCTCTTTACTTTATTTTAAGTAGGTTCAGAACGTAAGTGTTTCATTATCTTTACGTTAATAAAGCTTCTGATTCTTGTTTAATTGCCCTTACGATAAGCGAGGGTATTGCAATCGGGTACTTGTCTTTTTTTTCGTTAACAACTTTCTCCTCAGGACTCATCTCGGTGTACTTCTGGACTCATCTCTAGTAGTATCTTCTGAGCGTTCCTGGTCCACTTATCCTGCAGGTGATAAATTCGCCTGGTACGGCAAAGGTCGTGGGTTCGAATCTGACCGGGACATTTTTTTTGAAACGGGAAATATTCCGTCTCGAAAAAAAATTGCCGGTTCATTATTTTTCTGCTTGTTTTGTCGACCTTGTTGCCACTTCGTAGAATTTTTTTTTGCTATGCGCAATTTACATTGTAGTTGCTCTTAGTGTTTTGATTTACTTCTGTTGTTTGTAATTTCTTGACTTATTCATTTTTTCTGTCCAAATGATTTCGGCTTTTATTTTATCGGCTTATTAACCTAATTTTGAGTCGTTTCAAGTGAAGCTTTTGTTTTTATGCTCACCTTTAGATCGTATTTTTTGCTAGAATCTGACAGTTCACGTTTTTCAAGTTGACTTTGTTTGTTTCGGCATTTTGTTTTCTTTTTTTCGCCTCATTGCTTTCAACCTATATTGTATCGGTTTAATTGACTCATATTGCGTCTGTCGACCAGCAAAAAAAGAATCATTTTTCTTCAATTTTAAAATGATTGATTTTTTTTCGGTTTTTTTCTTTTCCTTTTTTATCGTCTTAGTTGGTTTCGGCTTTTTTTATATCGGCTTAGTGGCCTTATATTGGTGCATTTGACGAGAATTTATGTTTGTGTGTGCTGAGGGCGAGATGGGCTTGTTAACTTTTTATAAGTCTTAATTCTCGTTGATTTTTTTTGGCTTGAAGGGTTTGTGCTAAGGTATTTTCGGCTTTGCTACCGCTTGGTAAATTTTTCTTCCGATGCTAAATTCACATTCTATTGCCTTGCCTATTGATGTATCGCAAGTGGTGCAAAGCTCAGCTTAACCTCAGTATTTAATTTTTTTTTGTCATTTGATTCTTTGGTTCTAACGCTTTTCTGAAGGTAGACATTTGATTTGAAAAATGAAGACCAATCAAGGCTGAAGTCCTATAGAATCAGAATGAAATCAACTCTATAAAATTTTCGGTAATTTTGTTTCCACCAGCAAAGCTTCTGTTATAGTATGAACTATATTTTTGTCTAATCTAAGTCACAAATATTGTTGCGACGCAAATGTTGTTAGGACAAAATGTGTTCATTTTGATGAATAACCAGCTATTAATTACAGCCAATGCTAAGGATATTAACACAGAATATTGTATTACAAATAGCACTTTAGCTTCAAAGTATCATGGATCTGTAGCGTAGAGCTAGGGGAGGAGACCAGCAACAAAATAAGAGGGTTCGAACCTGGACAGGGTCGGATCTTTTTAATAACTGTTTCTTATGCTAGTTTAAATGCGTCCGCTCTATAAACTGAGGCAAGTTAGTTGGATTTTTTTTTTTCAAATTGACTGGTACTGCTAATGCGTCATAATGGCATTGCGTCACTTGGCAATTGTGTGGACTCTTAATTGGCGTGCGTCACTTAAGAAGTTTTGTTGGTTCAAAGTTTTACTCATTCAGTTTTTCCAAGCGTTATCAGTCATGTTTTTGCTTGTGTATGCGAAGTGCAACTTCGCCTCTGTGTCAAAATTGCTTGACACATATGTTGCTTTTACTCTGCTACTTTTCCTAATTAACTTTTGTATGCCGCTAATCAGTTACTTTTCTTGATTAACTTTTTGTATGCCGCTAGTTTAACGTAGTTCCAATGTGTCAAAATTGTATCAAAATAAATGTTTAGTTATAAGCTTTTTCGTTCTCAATTTAAAAAAACGGTTTTTTTAAAATTGTATTTCATTTCAAGATAATATTGATACGACGTTTCCGGCGTCATTAATTTTTTAAACTCAAAAAACGTTTAAAACGTCAGTTGGAGGCAGACTGATTTTGTTGCTTGTTTAATTTTCAAAAATGTTTTCCAATGTTTTTCCTATCTGATTTTTATGAATTTTTCTAGACATACATTTTTTTCCATCGAGAGTGGTGCGAAGCTCTGCTTCGCCTCTGTGATTGTATAGCTCCTCTCGAGTTTTCTGAGTCGGCTATTCTCCTTTTTGTCAGTTTTTGAAGCTCTATTCATTGTCAATTTTACGTTTTTAGCGTTCGGATCTTCGATCAACAACGTCAACCTGCAATACAGCGATCCCTTGGACCAATCCTCTCTTCACTCCTCAAATCTCAACCTGAATAAACTTTTATCTGGAGAACTCAGTAACGCTTCGATTGATAACCAAATGGAATTCATTCACGAAGTACTGGGAAACCCACCCCCTCCACCTTACGGTACTACGGGTTCTATTTTTGGACCGACTGCTCATAGCTACAAGAAAAACAGCAGTCAAGCTCAAAATCAACAGAAGACTTCAAGAGAAAACAACGTGCAATCGCAACGCAACGGCGACTGTCTTGACGCTCGACTTGAAAGTGGAATCTTACATCACTCTGAAAGATGGTTGAACCAACTGCAGTCCGCGTATACAGCAAGTGTGTACAAGAATCTAGCGTGCTTGAACTTTAACCCGCCTAAAAAGACGATACTAAAAAGTGCCGAAAGTGAACTCCATGTAAATGCTAGTCAGCCTGCAGGACCTGATATTACTGGGACTCAAAACATGGATCATTCAGGGCAACCGACTTTTGAAGATACACGAAAAATGCTGCACGGAGTCTTCGATGAGCTTCTTTCTCCACGAAATTTACCATATCTTGATCTTAAAGAAGTGTTGCTTTGCTGGTACCATATTTCCAACCTGAAATCAGACGGCGAGAGCAGGAACATCATTGCTCTTAGTTCAGATAACATTGGCCAAATTTTCAATAAACTCACAGTCGAAAATACGTCAGATTCGGTGGTATGGTCTCTGCTTTTCCAATGTTTGATTGCGCTGTGTGCCACCGAGAACAATCTGAACAAATCAACAAACGCAAAATCGGATGTGAGTCAGACATCGTCTGTTCTTCCACAAGGTATAAAGATACATCCTGGCTCGACCTCCCAAAGTGGAAAAGATAATGGGAATCAAAAGTTTGAGTCTGCGCCGACTGTAGTGATAAAAAACCTGATAAACTACCCAGTTTTGGACACCTTTTTATCCGGAAGCTGGAGTCCAGGAGGAACAAGGAGTGAGCAATGTCGAGGACCTGGTGTGACTCAAGTTTTTGGATCATTTCTGGATACTTTAAACAAATACAACGAGGACAAATATCTAATGGGGCAACTTCTGATGAAGCTTCTCAAGTCAATGTGCGAGTTTAGTGGAGCAGTCAAGCAAGGTTATGGACCAGTGGATTGTCAAGTTGAACTTGTGAATAAAATGTTAGATTTCTCATTGCTCACACATGATCCAAAAATTATGTGCTCATTGGTCAATGTAATATGCAAGCTGGGATATGAATACGTATCGAGATACAGAAGTTCGGTAACAATGACGGCCAATACTGCACAAAATAAAAATTTGCAGAATCTGCCAAACATTTGCTTAACAGTATTTGGAGTGGGGACTATTTCAAAAGACGGAACGAAACTCAGAGCCAAAACAAATTCAACTTGCACTGTCAACAGTAGAGAAAATTTACTGAAACAGTTGTTTAAATTGGCGCAAAAGTTAGTTAAAATTCAAGGAGCGGTATCGCAATTTGGAACGATGGGAGCGGACAGAACAGTGGCCGATTGCATAGTGTGCGATGATCAAAACTCTGTAATCAGCACTCTTTTGGTTACATTGAGCGCGTGCATTCTACCGACGTTTGGTTCCTCTGAAGCCATGACCAGTGACTCATGGACTCTGAAACAACTAGAAAGTTTTGTGCAAGACTTTTCGAGTGCGAGTTCTTCAAGTGAGAAGGATGATTCGCTGTTAGAAAATAAAACACTCGGAGATTTCATTCTACAATTGCTTATTTGTTTGGAGATGTCGACAAGAGAAAGGAAAGTGTTGCATCAGCGGTTGGTCCAATCGCTTAATTCGTCAGCCGGGGCATTCCCCTTGCCCACTTTGTCACACCCTGTACTTTGCTTCTTCATGCATCTGCTGAGGAATATAGACGAAGTGAAAATGTTCTCAAGTGTGGGTGAGTAATGTGTTCAGTTTCTGATATTCACGAATGATAGTTCGTGAAGTATTTAAAGTCGAAATGTCCATAGGCTTCTCGCATCCATTAAAAAGATTTAAACATAAGTGACAATGATTACTTCATCTTTTTTGGTAGTTTTTTTGTTAGTTTTAAGCCCCTACTGGACTTGACTCTTAAAATTGTGTCTCGAAATGTTTTCCTTAAATTGAAATTGACAAACGTATGAAGTTTTTGTAGTTGCAGTTCTTTGACTTTCTTTGAGATCGCATCCGCGAGGTTCCAATGGGGTTTGTATGGAGTAAGTGTTAGGATAATTAGTCTTTGGGCAAAATTAGTTTGGGTGCGCTGAAGTAGCAGGTGTGTTTTGAAGGCGGAGTGCAGGTGTTGGTGAACAAGATAGTGTGTGACAGTGAGACTGGGCCTGGGTTCTCATTCTCATTCGCCTCCCAGCCACTCCTCACTCTCCAACAGCTGACCAAGTGTTTCGAAGTGGACTCTCTAGACCTACAGCTTCAGCTCAACGACACTCCCAAAAACATAGGACCCAAGGGTAGGTGAAACTACTAACACTATCCAGACGTTTGTAAACTTACTTGAAGCTCTTATGATGCCACGGTCCAACAATTAAAGTACACGCTGGTTCTACTCTCTCTTTGATGTCTGATCAATTCGTGTCAAATTCATAACAGTAAAAAACTAATAAACAGGAATTTTTTGCCCAGAAGAGTTTTATGATGTCATTTGTTAAATTTCAGATTTTTACGTCAGTTGAAATTTACATCAGTGGGAGAGTTTGTGTCTCAGAAGAATAAAAGGACAAATTAAATCAAAATTATAGAAGAAAGGCTCACGCTTTAAAGGGCAGTTCGATTTGATTGGATGCTTGGCTCTTGTTTCAGCTGCAATCACCTGCTCAAGTGACCCACAGGCTCAGCTCCCAGACGTGTTGCTTCAGGAAAACCCCCCGCACAAAAGGGCCAGATCAGCAGCGTGGACTTACCACTTCCCTGCAGACCAGAGTGGGGGCACTGAGCAGGCCTCCTGTTCGCTTACCATCACCCTTCCCACTCTGTCTATTGTGCACTATGTGGAGATTAAGTTACAGACTCCTGCCATGGGAATCAGTCACAGTGAGTCCAAACGGCTAAATCTTTTGTTTGAAATCATGGCCGGCTGTCTTCGGTGTCTGTGTTTCATAGTTTACGGAAAAAAACTTAAAATCACGTTTCAACTGCGATTTCGAGACTATTTCCCCGATAGGCTGAGTATTTCGAATTTAAAGATGACTTAGAAACTAATACATGCACCTGGCCATTCATTAGATTTGATCAAGTCTTTTCTGACTGTTTTAATGTGAAGGAGTCAATTCATAGTTTACACGTAATGATGGACAAATTGGTCAGAGCTGGCGTTGCACACTTTTCTCGCCACTGTATAGTTGCTGGTTAACTTTAGACCTTCCGTCATCTGTGAGTCTGGAAGTGTTTCCCAGCCGGGACTCTGTCTTGGATCCGCCCAGCTGTGTGACTGCGCCTCTCATTGTCAGCAGAGCCAGTGGAGGTAGCAGCTCATGCATACAACTGAGACCACACGAGCCACAGCTGTGTGGCAGACTGCTGTTGAACTTCTACCCACCACCCGAGTGTAGTAGCATAGGACTCAGTCACATTGCAGTTTACGCGAGACCAGTGTTGTCTGATATGACTCAGCCGTCTAACTCCACCGACCATATCCTCACCAGGTCAGTTTCAAAAGAATGCTGGAACAGAATCTATATTTTTATCTCAGCTGGCATCGTTGTCTTGAATTTAGTGATCATCTTTTCTGTTGACCAGATTTCATTCAAAGTTTGGTAACTTATTTTTACACCGGATTCAGTCACGTTTTAGTCGAAATGATAAAAAAGCAAGAAAGATTTCACGGTCAATTCTGTTCTAGCTTGCACGCATTTAAACTGATCGAGTACTGCATGGAGACACAACTGGATACTCTCTCCAAAAAACAATCATCGCTATCTTTCGCTCCCAACGTGTCGCCTCCTTCCGACTCGGAACTACTGGGATCCCTTTTCTCGGAGTCATTCACTGCTCCCCTAAGAGACAGATTGCTGAGTGCGTGTCTGTCCCTGCTGACTCAGAGTTCTGCTCAGCTCTTCTTTCCCTGTCTTAAGAGAACAGTGCTTTGTCTGGCCAATTTGCAGCTGCCTGGTTAGTAAACAAAAATTAAGCGAGTAAATAGCATTTTTTGCATCGCATATGGCATATAATGGCAAGATGTAATAAAGCGGTGATAACTTTTTAAATGAATTAAACTTATCGCTTCTTTTAGTTTTTAGCGTCCAAAATTTGGTGCTTGGCTTTTCATTTTTGGTGGGAAAAAAAAAGAAATATGCAAACATACTTCGCGTTTTAGACACTTTTGTTTCAGAAGTGGCCCAAAATATGTCGGCGGTGGAAAGGGACCACGTGACATCATCGGAAGTTAGTCAGAGTCAGACACAGGCAGAGACAGTTCAACATGTGGTGGTGATAGTGCTGGACAGTTTCGTGTCCTCTGCTCAGCCCCTCACAGCAGTTTACGTGGATGAAGTGCTAGACTTGCTGTTCTCTCTGTGTACCAAAACTGCTACTCAGCAGGTGTTGCTCAACAGGTTATATGATATACATTGCTCTTTCCAATTTACTCGGTATTTACACCAGCGTCGGCTTAGTGTATTATTACGAACCTTCTTTTTTTTCCAACCTAAGTCGCAAATAGTGATGCGGCACTTTTACGTGTGGCACCCCAATAATGGTGGGGCCAACCTTACAGCTTTTTGATAGCATTTGCTTTGACATTCGAATACTTATAAATTAACACAGTCGATGCATTTTTAATTCATCAAATGATCCGAAAAAAGCTATTTGTTTCAAACAATATCACAATAATAAAAACTCGATTTCAGAAATTATCCAAATCAATTTATCTTGCAATTTTTTGAAATGCCTACTTTATACATAATGTGGCTTTATGATTTGCAATTTATCACATGCAAAATTAGCGTAGATGCCTTCAGTTTGCTATATTCGAAGTTATTACTTGTAAAGTTGTGTCTATTTGTATGTTTGTGTCTTTTGCTGAATCGCAATCGAATTTATTAGCATATGTACCTGCTTTATTCGTGGCTACTGTTTGTCGGTGGTTAAGCTTGTGTTGTTGAGTGGTTAGTTCGTGAGACTCAAAAATTCTAGATTTTAGTTGGGCTAAAATCGAATACTAGACCTAGCCGAATTTTTGCTAATTCGAGTCTTTTTTCTATTTTTTATTGTACTTTCTAGAGTGGTAATGGCACAGAAAAAAGCGACCGGAGTCTTAATTCGAATGTGGATTTTGTTTCAGATTTCTCAGCGGAATAGAAACCTTGCCTATTGATCCAGCTTTTTCAAATTGAGTTTTTTTATCAAGAAAATTTCATTCACAAACTGTTAAAGACATATATTTTCTGTTTCCTTACTTTCCTTGACTCTTTTGCAATTGTCTCTTGCTATGTTTTTTTGTTTTGTTGACTTTCATTTTTTGTGATTTGACTTTGGTTTATACTCGAGGTTTCAATCATTCTACGTGAAGCGTTTTCTTAAGAATAATTCGGAAGAGGATAGTTTCGAGAACGGATTTTCAAATTTCAGACTTCCCAGCGAAATAAAAAATTTACCCGTTGATTTATTTTTCTCCAATTGGATTAATTTTGAAATGGGTCAATCATGAATTGTTCTTGGAAATTCAAAGAGCTTTAAGGCCGTATTTTTTTTCGATAGTTCAATTTTTTCAAAAAGAAGTCAGTATATCTGTTTCGTTGTGTTCCTTAACTCTTTTCCTTTTTTGTCGGATTTATTTTTAATACAGCATTTGCTCATGAAATTAGTAAAAGATTGCAGTTGCAAATTTCGAGAGTGAAACTCTTACCTGTGCTTCAACAATTGGACCCTTGTTCTGATTTTTTTGGCCGCGGTGAAGATATTTTTGACAAAATAGTTTTTTTCAGTATTTTGATAGAGCTCTTAAGATTAATTTGATTAATAGTCAATGAACGTAATTCAGACTCTTAAATAGGTCGCGATGGTTTTTGTTTATTTCTCCAGGAAAAGTTTTAAAATTTGTTCAGGCTCTTAATTACTTTTTCGCTGTTTGACTTTAGATTTTTAGTTAGTTTCCTTTGTTAAAAGGAAGGCAAACTCCACTACTGAACAGCCAAAGGGTAAAGATCACGAAAATTGTGATCGACTTCTAGTTTACTAAGTGAAATTACCTTATCAAATTTCTATCAAATTTCTTAGCGAAATAAAAAAATTTACGATTTGTCCAGTTGTCTCAAATTTGTTATTTTATTGAAACAGTGTCAATCAGTGTGTGTGTGTGCGCGCGCGCGTGTGCGTGAACTTTTTTAAAATGTTTTTAGGCTTAATAGATTTTTTGGGCTTAGGCTCAAATTTCCTGGCGAAAAAAGATTTTACCTATTGATCCAGTTGTCTCAAATTTGTTCTTAATTGAAACAGTTTCAATCAGTGTGTGTGTGTGTGTGTGTGCGTGTGTGTGTGTGTGTGTGTTTATGTGTTTTGATGGCGAGGGGACCTTAATGAAATCTTATTAGTCTCAACTTTTTTTCAACTGTTTTAATGTTTTTCTCTTTTTTAGGCTTAATAGGTTTCGGGCTATATTATATCATTTTAGGTGTCTCTTATTTTTTCATTCCACGAGCAAGTAATGATTTTTGAGTGTTTTGAGGGCGAGGGTGACTTTCCTTATTCGAATGTGGATTTTGTTTCAGATTTCTCAGCGGAATAGAAACCTTGCCTATTGATCCAGCTTTTTCAAATTGAGTTTTTTATCAAGAAAATTTCATTCACAAACTGTTAAAGACATATATTTTCTGTTTCCTTGCTTTCCTTGACTCTTTTGCAATTGTCTCTTGCTATGTTTTTTTGTTTTGTTGACTTTCATTTTTTGTGATTTGACTTTGGTTTATACTCGAGGTTTCAATCATTCTACGTGAAGCGTTTTCTTAAGAATAATTCGGAAGAGGATAGTTTCGAGAACGGATTTTCAAATTTCAGACTTCCCAGCGAAATAAAAAATTTACCCGTTGATTTATTTTTCTCCAATTGGATTAATTTTGAAATGTGTCAATCATGAATTGTTCTTGGAAATTCAAAGAGCTTTAAGGCCGTATTTTTTTTCGATAGTTCAATTTTTTCAAAAAGAAGTCAGTATATCTGTTTCGTTGTGTTCCTTAACTCTTTTCCTTTTTTGTCGGATTTATTTTTAATACAGCATTTGCTCATGAAATTAGTAAAAGATTGCAGTTGCAAATTTCGAGAGTGAAACTCTTACCTGTGCTTCAACAATTGGACCCTTGTTCTGATTTTTTTGGCCGCGGTGAAGATATTTTTGACAAAATAGTTTTTTCAGTGTTTTGATAGAGCTCTTAAGATTAATTTGATTAATAGTCAATGAACGTAATTCAGACTCTTAAATAGGTCGCGATGGTTTTTGTTTATTTTTCCAGGAAAAGTTTTAAAATTTGTTCAGGCTCTTAATTACTTTTTCGCTGTTTGACTTTAGATTTTTAGTTAGTTTCCTTTGTTAAAAGGAAGGCAAACTCCACTACTGAACAGCCAAAGGGTAAAGATCACGAAAATTGTGATCGACTTCTAGTTTACTAAGTGAAATTACCTTATCAAATTTCTATCAAATTTCTTAGCGAAATAAAAAAATTTACGATTTGTCCAGTTGTCTCAAATTTGTTATTTTATTGAAACAGTGTCAATCAGTGTGTGTGTGTAAGCGCGCGCGTGTGCGTGAACTTTTTAAAAATGTTTTTAGGCTTAATAGATTTTTTGGGCTTAGGCTCAAATTTCCTGGCGAAAAAAGATTTTACCTATTGATCCAGTTGTCTCAAATTTGTTCTTAAGTGAAACAGTTTCAATCAGTGTGTGTGTGTGTGTGTGTGTGCGTGTGTGTGTGTGTGTTTATGTGTTTTGATGGCGAGGGGACCTTAATGACTTCTTATTAGTCTCAACTTTTTTTCAACAGTTTTAATGTTTTTCTCTTTTTTAGGCTTAATAGGTTTCGGGCTATATTATATCATTTTAGGTGTCTCTTATTTTTTCATTCCACGAGTAAGTAATGATTTTTGAGTGTTTTGAGGGCGAGGGGGACTTTTCATAAGTCTTAAGTCTTGTTGATTTTTTTTGGCTGAAAACGTTTCTGCCAAGGTATTTGTTACCGCTTGTTAAATTATATTCCGATGCTAGTTTCACATTCTATTGTCTCGGCATGATTTTGTTTCAAAACTAGCCTTATGCATAATGATAGATCAAGTTTTTTTTTGCCATTTTCGATTTTTTTTTTCATTTTGTGTTGTATTACAAGTGGTGCGAAGCTCAGCTTCGTCTCTGTGTAATTTCCTTGCAAACCCCTCCCGCCACCCCTTTAAGTCCGATAAGGGTGTCAATACTGAGTCTGCTGAGCTGTAGCAGCCAAATAAAAAATTACAAAAACCAATATTATTTTAGATTTAAATTTTGAATCATTTTGAAAAGCTAAACAAAGTTAAGAATCTTTAGATTTCCGTTTAATGACATTCATGTTTTTTTCAAGTGAATAAATATTTGTATTTTAGAATTTCTACTCTGGTATCCTGGCTTGAAGCGAATTTGTTCACTATCTCCCAGTGCACTAGACAGTCCAGCTCATGCATTGCTCACTTAGTGCATGCAATAGCTTCAATTCTTTGGCAAGTGCATGCACAGTACATGTACTCGACTCAAGCGAACACTAATCAATCCGGAACTAGCAGTAGCACAATGCCGCCTGTAGTCTCAATTCAACATTTCTCTAATGTTTGCCGACATGTTTTGGACGGTGGGCTCATATCGGAAAATATTCTAACTTCAACATCGTCTGTCCTGAAGACTGCGTTCGATTGGCTCCTTTGCTCATACGTCCACATGTATCCTTCGTTCTTGAAGACCCTTTTGAGACTCCTAGGATGTCCGGATCTGAGAATGTCACCGGATTCATCGACATCTGGACCTATGAGTCCGCCTTCTCCGATTCCCATGTTTGGAGCTAATGATGATTCTAAGCAGCAAAAGAGCTATCTGTCTAAGCAGTGGTGGGCAACATTATCTCGAAATCAGCTAGCAACACTTCATCATTGTCTATTAGACGCAAAAGCATTAGACGTTTTCAGAAACTTTGCTCCTGTTGCTGAAATGTTTTCACTCTTAATTGACTTGTCTCTGAATGACGAGTCTAGCGAAATCAGTAGAAATAGTGACATGAATGTTAAAACCTTAATAAGGCTGCTCGAATTCCTAACTAACATGAGCGAAAATAACCCCCAGGCAAAACGATGGCTTGGACTTTCTGAGAAAACAAGATTCTGGTCTCCGCTTCTGACCTCACTTTGCTACGACAGGTCACGGCAACAATGTCTTAATTTAACAGACGCCGCTTTGAAGTTCTTCGAAACTGTCGTGGAAGACAACACAACAAACCAGCGCAATTTAGCCGAAATTGTCAGCCAGTTGATATCACAGAAAACTGATGCTCTGAATAGTTTTGTTAAGCAGCTGATTCTGAATGTATTCTTGAAGGAAGAAAGAATCACAGTGGTTGTCAATTCGAATCAGGTAAAAGCTTTTGTATGTTCATTACCGCAACAAGCCGGAGAGGCTCATTATAAAAATCCAAGTAGACTTGAATTGCTCCAAGTGTAACTAAGGATCTTAAATTCACAGGACTTGAGTTCAAATTACTCATTTTTTGTTTTTAGGACAAACTTTTGAAATGGCCATCCGCAGGGGCGAGATCTCTGGGACACCCGAAGTTTGGTATAGGCCACCGGGTGGTGTTCGGGAGGATAGATGCAGACAGTAGCATCGAGACACTTCTTACAGACATCTTGGACCCCTCCCAGATACCCATGGACTACCTGCCAGTGACAATGGGCATAGGAGGGAAAGGATTGGGTACTGGGAAGGACGGGAAAGGAGGCATGGGTGAGGCAGGAGGGCCAAAGATGAAAATGAAAGGAAGCAAGATGGGAGGTGGATCAATGGCTATGTACTGTAAGTATCTAATATGAGTCAAATCAAATAATTTAGTTTTCATCGGGTTCATTTTCAACTTTTTGAATCTCAGAGTTGTTTTTATTCCCTTTTGAACCTTGCGATGAACCCAATAAAAATTTTGTTCATACACTTCGCGCGTAATAAGGTCTTGTTTCAACTAATTTTGTCAATTTCTCAGGTAGCTCCCGTTCTTGGAACGTTGAAATTCAGGGTTCGTGTCCGGAAAAGACCGGTAATTTTCCCAACAAGTGTTCTGCTTCAAGATCCAATTCTCAGACTATTGTGTCAGCTTATTGTTCATCTAATTACCCGATACCTTGACATTTTTAAACATTTTAGATACCATTTCCAACATTTCTAATGGTGCACGTAATTGAGTTCCCAGTTTACCCGGAATTTTTGTTTTTTGAACTCTTCAAAACAATTTTTTTGAACACGTAAAAAATTGATTCGTCGATTCATTTTGCCCGTAGTCATTACACAAGCAAAGCGTTGTGTATTGTGACGAAGATTTTTTCTAACCTAATAAAAGTGCTCATTTGGTGGCACTTTTGGTATATTTCAATTTAATCATATTTAAGCATAGGCTGCTTTATTTTTATTATTGTTAGGTCCTGTTTGAAAAAAAAACAGGTATTGTGAAACTGTATGGGTTTTGTGTTGTTTTTCGGCTTTTCGGAAAATTTTTGCACTTTTCGCTGAAATTTCGCTTTTTCTCAGAAACTACTACCAATTTTCAAAAAAAAAATTACCGATGGAAGAACCGGCTGCTCTTCTGTGTGCCTGCATATTTCGCTAGGCTCTTTTCATTTTACCCCACATTGTACGGCCTTCGAAAGTTTCAGTATAAGGATTTTTGACCCATTTGTTTTCAAGTTTTTTAATTTCTCGAATATTAAATGCTTAAATCTGAGATTTGGGTTTCAATCAAAAGAGAAATTTTGGGGATATCCCCTCCTCAAGCGGCTATTTCATAAATTCGGTAGAAAAACGTTTTGCCCTCAAACAAGCCCATTTTTTGACATTTTGTTAATTTTTAAAACTAACCTGCTAAAGCGGAGATTAAAGGTTTAACCGAAAGAAAAACAATCAGTTATGCGAGTTTTCCCTGCAGTAGCGGCTATGCCCTGCGTTTTAAAAAAACATGGCCTTAGAATTGCAATTTTTGAACTATTGCCGGTTTTTTGGAAATTTATTTACACTATTCTCGAAAACTGCTAGCTAAATGTGATATCAAGGGTTCAATTTTTTCCATGCATAAGAGGGTATTCCGATGAGAAAAGTTTATAGCAGAGAAAATTTTACGGATTTGAGAAAATTCACGTTTTTGAAGTTTTGATTGTTTTTTGGAATTTTTTAAACTTTTTCGAGAAGTACCTGACCAAATCTGAGATAAGACTTCAATTGAAAGAGCGAGTAGTACTTTTCTCCTTTGAATAAACGGCTAATCACCTATTTAAGCAGAGAAATCCCTAGGGTTTTGCATTAAATCCATTTTTTGAAAATTACCTATTTCCGTATTAGCACAATATATGAGCATTGGACAATTTGATAGAAAGTAGCTGCTTTATTAGTGGCTAGTGTTAGTAAAAAGCAGTCGTAGAGCAGATGTGAGAACTTCACTAATTTTTTCTCAAGGTTTTTTTCTAATCGTTGCCTTATTTCGATTTGTGCCTGTTAAGAGCTCTTTTGCATTTTCCTCGCTTGTGTTTGCAAAGCGCAGCTTCGCCTCTGTATAAGAAATTACAAATTTTGAAAGAGGAAAAAAACGAATTCCAATGACTTCTTCGCGTGGTTGAATTGATGGAATGGGCATTTCCGAGCTTAAACTCCTATCGAGAATAGGTTGCCGTTAAAATACTGAATATGTATCTTTTCACATATTATTTTACATTTGTCATTTTCTTTTTCTCTAATTTTCTTTTTTTTTTCAATAAACGAAGGGATATCGAATTGGTTTAATAAACTGCAAAAATGAGTGGTATAATAATTTTAATTTGCAGTTGATTTAAATTAATAGTTAGTTTATTAACGTATCGTTTATTATTTTGTGTCTGAGTAACGGAAAAATATTCAATTTTTTTTTCTCGAAACCGTGCCAATTTATTGAATGTTCTATGAAATCAAAATCATGGAAATAACAAAAAATTTGTGAATTAGTCGGAACAATAAGTCATTTTTCTTGCTGAAGTTTTGGCTATGCCTCGACAAGTTGAGCAGCTTTTTTAATGTCCTTGAACAGCTTTTTGTTATTGAAATGTAAATGAAGTTACATATCTTTTACAAATTTTAAATATATCACCTAGATGAATTCAAGTTCTAGGCTATCTTTGACATTTTAGCTCCCCTTTCACAGAAAATGAGCAAAATAGAGCAGAAGAAAAAGACACTGGAGAAGATGAATATTGCATTCGGCCCATCAGGCGGAGTGTCCAAAATGCCTCTGGCAATGCTGAAGCACCTGGCCAAGTTTCCCAACAGCAGTTACTGGACTGCAAAAGTTAAATCACATACACAAGGAGGCCAAACAAGCAACTCGCAACAGAGTGTGGGCCATGTACAACAGGCTGCGAATAAAAGTGCCGATGACTATAGCAGAGGTGAGTAAATAGGTTTTATTATTCTAACCTACAGAAACAGTTGTTCACTTAATTAGGTCGTTTTTTTTTCAATTTAACCTGTATGTTTCTTCTATTCACGCTGGGATAATTGTAGGCTTAACTGCAAATCAACCTGATCTTTGATTTCAGGCAGAAGGGCTCATCGACGTAAGGTGTTCCGTTTTAGCTCTGCTGTTTTATCAAATTATATGTTTTACCATATTGCTCATTTTACCATATAGAATAGAGGTGCATTTCTAGGAATGTTTCTACCTGTGAATAAACGTATTGTGACTACGGTTTGAAATTTATCTAATAAAACTAAGAAAGATCAATTTCTTTGATATTGATGTAACGTGAAATAGGGGTGAACAATTAAGTGAATGATGCACCAGAGGAAAGTTGACGAATCCGTAGATATCACATGTTTTGCTTCTGTAGTCTGAAAGGTAACTTCCCAAATGGCATAATTCCCAAATGGCATAAAAATAAAAACTTTTCCCAAATGGCATAAATTTCAAGTTTTCATTGTAATTTAAACGTTTTCTATCAATATCTAATTCTAACATTTTGTCAGTAACGAAAGCATGTGAACAAGATTTGGAATTATTTGCTTCCAAACAAATTTACGCAACAAATTTGTCGAAAAAATTGACCACAAGAAGCTTATTAATAACCGCAAGCTTGTGCTTCTTGCTTTAAATAAAAAGTTCTACAACTTTTTCAAGATAAAATATCAATCAGCATTTGAATTGACAATTGACTTATTTTTTCACATCGTTCACGAAAAAATTGATCTCGATTTTTTCAATGCAACTGTTGCATGAAATTTATGCCATTTGGCAAATATTTCATTTTTATGCCATTTGGGAATTATGCCATTTGAGACGTAATCACCTGAAATGAGCTAAACAGATAAGTTTTGATTGGTCAAACTCAATTGTAATTTAAGTTTATTTAACATGAAAGATGCATTTTTGCTAGTTCATTCAAGTTTACCCTGAAAATGAGAAATTCTAGTGGGTTTAGGTTAAATGGTAAACTAAGTTTTAAAATCAGCATCAAGTATTGAGAACTATTGATCTACCTTAATTCTTATCGATGGATTGACGAATAAGAGAAAGTGAAATTGAGAAATTGGCTATTTTGCCGTTATTGGTTTAGGAGGTGGTAAGGTGTGGCGGTGTGTGCACAAGACAGTGGGTAGCGACTGGCTACCGAACACTCTCTCCTTCCGACAACTAACACAATGCCTCAAACAGATGCAATCCAGGTACCATGTTTTAACTCTCGTGAAGGCCTGCGTCTTTTTCTTGCAAACAATAAGTTGAGAGGAGGGTGTTTCAGAAGCATAGAACAGAAATGTTGTAGATGCATCGACTATCTATAAGCATTTTTCATAAAAATCTTGTTTTTCCTGCCACATCACAAAATGACGGAAACAACTATGTCGTAGCTTTTTTGCCCGTTTTTAGGTCTATCAAGGAAAACTTGTTAGAGGATTTGTTGTAGTATCATATTGAAGCACTTGATTTAGACTCCATTTTGAAGCTTGCGATTTTTAAAGTGGACTGGGTCGGAAATGTTGTCCTTGTGTGTGCTCTGAATTTTTTTCATTTTTCAGACTAATTTGCAAAGAGAGATATTAAACTTTTTATCTATAAGTACCATAATTTTGCAGATTAAAAGCTGCGCATTAGCCCACTCCCACCGTCTAGAAAGAAAAGAAGAAAAACTTAAAAATCCCACCTTTTCCTTGCTTTTGAATTGCTTGCGAGCCTCTATCATTGTTTAAAAAATTTAGTGTATTGTTTTACGTTTGGAATCCAGGTGCTAACTCGGCACGTAGGGAAATTGAATGGCTATCCGGATCTTGCTTACTACCCTCCCTATTGCAAAAAGGATAGAAGTTCTTTACAATTTATTATTTTTAGGGTTGGCACTTTACCACGGGGGGGGGGGTAGGTAATGGGGTAATAAACAAGATCCTTGCTCTCTTGTTATAGGGACATAGAGGAGGGATTTGTGAAGTTGGATCTGATCGGAGTTAGTTCAGACGAGTTCGAAGAGATGGAGATGGCCATAGCTGAGACTCTAGAGGCCATGATGGAAACCAACTATGGACCCCAGCAGCAGTCGAGTGGACAGCAGCAGAGCACACAGCAAAGTACACACTTGAGACCTCCGCAGGTTATTTAAAGACTTATAAAAAACTATTTGAGGAATAGGGCGGAGAGCGCTTATAGGTTCTTCATTGCGCTTTCAGCTTATATTCGGCAAATCTAACTCGAATATTCAAAAAAGTTAGTCCACAACAAGACTGCATATTTTTCAAATCCAAAAATCATGGAATTTGCGCAGCAAAAAAGCAGGTTACTCACGAATAATAGCCATCAATGGGCGCGGAGATAGCAGACAAATATGTATTTTTGGGTTTTTCACTTTCATTGGGCTTGCATACTCAATCTACAAATCTTAACTGAACTTCAATTAAAGTATGTCGGTATCAAAGTCATATGCTTTGTGCTCACAGGTACTTACAATCAAGGATGCGGTTAGCTGACGGTGATTTCATTCTGAGTTTGTCATTTTCATCAGGCCTGCCTGCTTCAATTGGCAAATCTGAATTGAAATTTCATTGAAATATGTCCGTAACAAAAGGTCATATATTTCCAAATCTAACTCAAATGAAAATTGCTAGCCATCATTGGTGGTGTAGGATGTAGACTTCGAAAATGAAAAGGAAGATGACACCAACCTTGCTGCGCGTCTGTTCGCAGCTAAGTTTTCCTCTTCTGATGACTGCAAACCATTTTGGTCATGTGCCCCGTCTTAGCTTCCTGCTTTTTGAAGATTGAGCCTGCCGTTTCTGTGGCACATTCGATTTTTCGTCTTTTTGCTTTTTTTCAGCCATTGTTTTAGAGTTGATGAAAGTAGTTCATACTCTTATATAGGTCGTGATGGTTTTCTTTGTTCGTTTTTTTTCAGCAAAAAGTCTTAAAACGCTTTAATAATGATATTATACATGAAGTGCATGCATACATATTAATGCATTTATGAATGCCCTTAGTTAGAATTTATTTCAAGTTCATTTGCTAAAAGTAATTTGAATTGCGCTCTCCAATTTTGTTCAGACTCAAAATTATTTTTCGCGGTTTTGCGTTTGATTTCTTTTCAAGCTCAGTTTTTTTCTTTGTTAAAAGGAAAGCAAACTCCACAATCGAAAGTGTAAAGGCCACGAAAAACGTGATCGACTTCTAGTTTCGATAGTGGAAAATAGTTTTCAGATTTCGCTGCGAATTAAAAATTTTATTAATGATCCAGTGTTTACACTTGCGCGCTTCAACGAGCGCTGTGTAATAGCACGACTATTTTTTTCCAACCTGAATTGCACATTTCGGTGGAACCTTTGCGGCTTTTTCGATAGCATGTGCCTTGACATTAGATAGGAAAACCTCGCAATTTTTTAAGTGCATATTTGATACATGATTTGGCTTAATGATTTTCTATATCATATATACAAGGAAAGTTAGTGCGGTTGCCTTCAGTTTCTTATTTTCGAAAATATTACGTGCAAAATTGTGTCTATTTGTAGTTAGTGCCACTTTTGCTGCATCTCATTGGCATTTTGTTAGCATATGTAGCTGTTTTTTTATGGCTAGTGTTAGAAAATTTGTAATGCTTGTGGCTCAGATGCGAGGACAGGCAACTCGTAATCTTCTAGTCGTAGGATCGAATCCGCCAAAGCGAAAGTTTTGTTTTTCAAGGTTTATTTGACCTTTTTTTCATCTTGTTCAGCTGTTTTTGTCGATTTCTGGCTAGTGTTTGCAAAGCGCAGCTTCGCCTCTGTGTCTCAAATTGGGTTAATTTTATCGAAAAAGTGCCAGTCGTAAGTTGTTTATGAAATTCAAAGAGCTTCAAGGGCAGCGTCTATTTTTTTCTTTGAAATTCAAAGTGTTTTTTTTTTTTATAAAATCATATCAGTCAGTTTTTTTGTTTACTCGCGTTCATTGACTCTTTTCCAACTGTATGTTGGCTCTATTTCATCATTTGGATTCTGCAACATCGCTTTTTGTCAAGCTGCAGTTGTTAGTCAAATATGACGCTCCGTTTTTGCGTTCAATGAAAGGCCCAGCCAGTGATTGATTTTGGTAGTTAAGCCATCCGGCAAGATATCACGCTAAGTCCCCGAAAATTCCCGAAATCACTTTATCGCTTGAAAGGAACTGATAATATTTCATGGCATCGGAGAGTCTTTCTAGATTATTCGAGATAATTGCCGTTTTAAATGAGTTATCCTTAAATAATTCGATAATATGGCCTTCTGTTTTTTCAAAAGCGTCTTCAATAACATTGAAAGCTTTTTTCCTGGCAATTTTGTAAATGAAAACTGCGTGAAACAGCGTGAACTTATGTTTGTGACTTTTAAATTTTCGCTGCGAAGTTCCTTTTGTAGTCCTGCAAGTTTCGAGCTTTCTCAAAGCAATTAACTTTCAAAAATCTTGACCTCGAAACCATCTTCCAAAACTTTGACCTCGAAATCATTTTGGAGTCATAAGTTGTTTTAGAAATTCAAAGAGCTTTAAGGGCAGCATCTATTTTTTTCTTCGAAACTTGAGTTTTTCTAAAATCAAGTCAGTTCGTTATTTTTTGTTTGTTTGCGTTCATTGTTTCTTTTCTTAATGTCTGTTGGCTATGTTTTATCAACTGGCTTCTGCAACATTGCTTTTTGTCAAGCTGAAGTTATCATTTGAATATGACGCTCCGTTTTTGCGTTCAATGACAGACCCAGCCAGTGATTGATTTGAGGTTGATTTCGAAAGTTAAGCGACACAAAGCCTAACGTGGTGTTATGCCATCAGACAAAAGCTCTCGGTAATTCCCCGAAAATTTCCGGAATCACTATATTTGCTTAAGGTAAGCAGTTCCTCCATTCTGATAGTCATTCATGGCATCGGAGAGTCTTTCTGGGTTTTTTGAAATAATTGCCGTTTCAACTGTGTAATTACTTGAATAATTCAATAGAATGGGCTTCTGTTATTTCAATAGTGCCTTCAATAATAGGAAGTTTTTTTGTTATTTTTTATTATCAAAATTGCGTGAAACAGCGTCAACCAATGTTCGCGAGTTTCAACCTTTCGCGTCAAAGTACCCGTTGTCGGTCTGCAAGTTTCGAGCTTTCAAAGCAAAAAACTTGCTAAAACTTTGACCTCGCAACCGTCTTGCAAACTTGCAAATGAATACCTGTCCCCCAAAACTATATCAGTTTACAGCATTGAAAACTTTTCATCGAACATTTTTTGCTTTCGTGGGACTTGCTTTCTCCAATCCTCAAAATTTTGAACTCAAAAATTCAATTTCTTGCACCATCAATGGGAGCGGAGGTAGCAGAGCGTTAATTCTTTTCAGGTTTTTCATTGGGCTTGCCTTGCCCATTCGAAAAATCCAAATTGAATTTTCTTTAAAATTTATACGTAGCAAAAAGTCATTTTAACACAAATCTAACTAAAAATGTCCAGAGTAAATTAGAAGTTTGTTCAAAAATACTAAAAATCATTAGTGGTAGAGGAAGTATACTCAGAATATGAAGTGGAAATAAACCAATCTTGCTGCGCGTCTCTTCGCACTTGAGGATTCGTCTTCTGATAAGGGCTTCAACCTGTTGTAATCCTGTGCCTTCTCTTCTTTTTCATGCTTTTTGTCGATTGCGCGTACCGTTTCTTTGAAGCTTTTGATTGTATTTTTAGAGGTATCCTCTGTCAGCTCAAAAGTTAAACGAAATTTTTCTTCTTGCAATTTTTGATTTCAAATGAAAGATCCGACGCTTTGAAAGCTCAAAGATTAAAGTAATGCTCAAAAATGAATTAAACAAAAAATTTTCAAGTTTCATTGTGATGGGAGGGTCCTACAAACGTCATTTTTTTCAAAAAAAATGCTCCTCATTGGCAAAGTTTTGACCCTTTTTAGCATATTTCAAGAAAATCTTTTGCAGAAAGCCCCGTATCTTTAGATGAAATTGACCGCAGTCTGAATTGCAATTACTTAATACAATTATTTTTCCCCGCAGATTTTTGTCATGCCTGTATCGATGTGAATAAAACGCATATATTCGAAACTTGTTTGAATCAGCTCATGCCATACGATTGGACGGAAATATGAACCATGCTTTTTAAGATTAATGAACGTAGTAAGTACTCTTATATATGTGTTGCCGTTTTTTTTTCAGGAAAAAGTCATAAAGTTTGTTTACGCTCAGTTTTGATTTTTCGCTGTTTGACTTGTGATTTTTTTTTCAAGTTCAGTGCATTTCTATTGTCCAGTATCGAACAGCAAAAGTGTAAAATTCACGAAAAACGTGATCGACTTCTGATTTCGAAAATGGAACTTAATTATCACATTTCTCAACGAAATAAAAGCTCACGTACTGATCCAGTTTTCTCGATTTGGGTTGATTTTGGCAAAAAAGTCCATCATAAAGTGTTTTACAAATACAAAGATATTTAAGGCCAAGTATCTTTTTTTCTTCGAAATTCAAAAGTTGAAAGCTCTTGAAAAATAATAATCAGTTTTTTCTTCAGTTTCATAGCGTTCAATACTCTTTTCCAACTGTTACTTGGCTATGTTGATTTCGTTCAATTGACGAGTTTATTGAAACCTACCTTTAGGAATATTACAATAGAGAAATGGAAAAGTAGCGATTGTTCAATTGTTTAAACATCGTCTGCTATGAAAGCTTCTGAGCTTTGCGCTCGCCAAAATTAAAACATTGGGTACAGTTAAAGCTTAGTGAATACTTGAATGTAGTGATGAATACTGTTCTTTAGGTCTTAGTGTTTTTTGTTTTTTTTGAGGAAAATTTGTTTACGTTAAAATTAGATTTCTCGCGGTTTGACTTTTGATCTATTTTAAAAGTTGTTCTTTGCCTTTTAAATTTTGTTCTTTGCCTTTCCTTTGTTGAAAAGAAGGAAAACTGCATTATTGAACATCGAAAGTGGAAAGGTCACGAAAAAAGTGATTGGCTTCTAGTTTACAAGGTGAAATTAAATTATCGAATTTCCCAGCGAAATAAAAACGTTACTTACTGATCCAGTTTTGTCAAATTGAGTTAGTTTGAGAAAAATATGTCAAATATAAATTGTTCTTGAAATTCAAAGACCATCTTTTTTCTTTGAAAATTGAAAGTTGATTTTTTTAAACAGTCAGTATTTTTTTGCGTTTACTCAAAGTCCATTCATTAAAGATTCCTGGAATTCAAAGAGCGTTATGCTGATTCCGAACTCGTTTCAGGTATTTGCGAGTGTGGGCGGATTCACCAAACTGGCTCTTCGCATCCCAGTTCTGAATGCGGACTTTGTCAAACTCATGTGCACCAACAGCAAGGATGCCAACTCAGGAGCTAACGTGTCCTCGTCTGGAAAAACAGCAGTATCAGGTCTGTGTGTGTGTGTGTGCGTGCGTGCTTGTGTGTGTGTGTGTGTGTGGAGATATTTGTGGTGATTCTACAAATATCTACAAATTTGTGGTGATTCTACAGAATCACAAATTTGTGGTGATTCTACAGATATTTGTGGTGATTCTACAAAGATTCAAAGAGATATTTGTGGTGATTCTTTGTTTTTAATATGTTGAATCGATATTCAAATCGATTGAAAACCTTGTTTTTTTTTGGATTTTGACTGACGGATATGTTAATCGTGATTGTTTGAGTGGATCGCAATATGTTTTCAGGCCTGGGGTTTCCTGGAAGCGACAAGCTTGATTTGAGTGAATGGATACTCATAGATCAGCACACATTCGGTGGCTCAGCTCCAGGTGCTGACGGAGCTGGTCAGTATTCTAGATTGTGAATTGAATGATAGCTATCGAATTTTAAATTTCAAAGAAATAATACTTGATTTTTAGTATGAAACATTTCGTTTTATTGAAGTCAGAAGAGTGAATCGGTTTTCCTGGTTGAATACGGTTCCACATCTCATTTAGCTGTTTAATTTTAAAAGAATATTTTTAAAGTAAATTAAGGTAAAATAAAACGAAGATTTTAATATGATTAGGCATCAAAGGCAACTCTTACAACTTGATTGACGTGGAGAGCAGTGACGAGGAGAACTACTCTTCTCTGGACTGGGCTGATGAGACAGGATATATGACCCCTCATCCACCTGGAGCCGGTTAGTTGAACAGCTACAAATTACTTGTAATTAGAGACCGCACATTCGCAAGAACTAAAACTATAGAAATACCAAGTAAATATGAGGTCTCATTAATTAAGCTTGGGATGACAATATGCTTAGTTGGTTCTTGTGATCAGATTTGTGGATGCAATATTTAGAAATTTAAATAACATTATTGTATGCAGCTAGAACAAAAATAATTATAAACGAGACTGATCGCATATCAGAGCAAAGACCTGAATGTTCCGACTGCCGCTTAATCCATATCGAATGGTTTTTGGAAAAAAAATATTGAAAACTATAAAATTTGGATAATATCTAGGATCAAGTGCGAAAAATTGAGTCGTACGAATTTAATACGACCGATCCGACAGCTAGCCTCAATTCAATTTGGAACAATTTTGTTGCGCAGGATAATTCGCCACGAATAAATAATTCGTGTTACGCTTTCAGCATCATGAATAAAATCTTCAAAGCGCTCATAAATTAGTCCAGAGCGTGGCCAAATTGGGACTTTTCAAACTCCGAGAACTTGGCAAAAAACGATCGGAGGGAAAATATATTTTTTACATTTGATTTCAGGGAGACGATATCTTCAATGGAGTAAAAAATGTTTGTTAGAAACTATTATTTCGATCGTCGTAAATTGACTGAATAACAAAAATCAGACCAAGCATAAGTATTCCATTTTTGCGAAATTCGGAACAAAAAATAAATTGGCCTTGAAAAAATCAATTCAGTCTTTTGAACATGTCAGTCTTTGGATTGGAAGCTCCGGTCAGTAAAACAGAAGCTTCCTGCGATTAAAACAGTCCTTTCACATACATTAATGCATTGAATAGTTCAAACGGTCAATTATTGCAGGTCCTGGAGCAGTTGGTAACTGTGCAGGAGGCGTGGCCGTCGTGGCGCCCCACTGTCTAGCTCTGTTGGGACTGACTCTGCAGTTACCATTATACGTGGAAGTGTTGCTGAGGGAAGAGAGGAAGGCGCGATTCCTGTTGCGGATCCTATTGGGCGTCAGCGACGTAGGAGACTCAAGTATGTGTACAATTAGTATGTGGACCAGTAGGAATCATGGAGTTTGACTAATTTCTCAAACTTGAAACTTTTAAAATTAGGCGTCAACCTGACGCATGTTGTATTTTCACAGAAGTCGAAAATGATTGCTAACATTATTTAAAAAAGGGTTAAAGCGATAATTTGTTAAATTATTTGTTGTGCCAGGCGTGTTTATGTGCTTAACTTTGTTCGATATAGCTACAAGTATCTTATCGACTCCGGAGGCCAAGAACCTCTCCACCCTGCCTCTCGAAGCTCTGAGGAGTCTTTTCGACCAGTATCCGGTGAACACTGAGCTGGGATTAGTCATCAGACAACAGTGTGTAGATGCTGAGATACTGGACCTGCTTTTCGGATGTCTGGCTGTTCTAACTCACAGGTACGCTCTAGTTGAGTTTATTAGACTAGCGGGATTGCGAGCGTTAGTGTATTAGTACGAACCTTTTCCTTTTTTCTAAGCTAACTCGCAAATAAAAGTGTTCATTATTTGGTGGCGCTTTTCTATAAAAACGAAGTGTAGCATTGGAAATTTCATAGCATCTGTTCTCTGCTTTATTTGAGGCGATAGTTTGTGATTAATGAATCGTCCATGGCTGAGTGGTTAGTGCCTGAGACTCATATTCCCTAGGTCGCCGTAGGTTGTAGATCGTATCGGAGATCTATAGGACTTTTCATTTATTCGAGGCTTATTTCTACTTTTTTATTGCACTTTATAGAGCTGATTTTTGTCTTGTTCTCGCTAATGTTTTCGAAGTTAAGCTTCGCCTCTGAACTACCCTTGCGATAATTAAGGTTATTGCAATCGGGAACTTGACTTTTTTCCCGTAATTAACTTTGTTCACAGGACTCATCTACTGGACTCATTCATCTTCTTGCTTTATTTACACTTGCAAGCTTTAGCGAGCGTACTGTTATAGTATGACTGTTATATTCTTTGTTTCCAACCTGTCGCAAATATTGGTGCCACTTTTGGGGCACCTTGGCGGCTGTTTGATATCACTTGCTTCGAAATTTCGATTTGTTGTAGTGGCCTCGTCTCCTTCATAGACAGCGGGTTACGTTTCGTTTTTGTTAATCCGTCATCTCCGGAGGCGATGAAGGTTCGTTTGAGTTGCTTCGTCTCATCCAGTGTCGTGGACTTTCGATTAGTTATACGTTGACACCGTTGATGCATTTTTCATTCATCAAAATAACCAAAAAAGCTATTGATACGCAAAAAACAGTACAGTAAGAAAAACATAAATTTTCCGACTCAATATATCTCGCAATATTTTTGAAATACATAATTTATGTGTATTTGGCTTTTAGCTTTCCAATTTATTTGATGAAAAGTTTGTTAAATTTACACTAACGATCAGCGTAGTGAAATAGTACGAACCTTCTTTTTTACTAACTCGCAAATGAAAGTTCTCTGCTTAAGTTGTGGCCGGTGTTTGTGATATTTTAAGCGTGCGTGGCTGAGGCGTAAGTGCGTGAGAATCATAATCTCTAGGTCGCAGTAGGTTGGGCTCTTAGCGCAGATTCGAGGACAGGGAAGTTTGAATATCTTGGTCGTAAGATCGATTCCGCCAGAGCAATTTTTTTTTCAAGTTTCCTAAATATTTCATTTTGCAGAGCTACTTTTTGTCGTTTTCTGGCTAGTGTTTACGAAGTGCAGCTTCGCTTCTGTTTGCGTAGAGGTAAGGTAACACACCTGCTTGAGACGCCGAAGGCTTGTGGTTCGAGTCCAGACGGGACTCATTTTTTTGCAATTTATTTCTATGCTTTTTCGGACTATCTTCCGTCTGTTTACACAAGCAACCTTTTTCCAACCCTTTTGTTGTCTAAATGGAGATATTTTAGTTGGTAATTTTTATTCAAATTGACTTGAACTGCTAATGCATCATCATTGGCTGGTGTCACTTTGAAATTAAGTAGACTCATATTTGGCGTGCGTCACTTAAGAAATTTTGTAGATTCAAAGTTCTACTCATTCAGTTTTTCTCAGTAGCCGTAATCTGTCATATTTTTGCTTGTGTATGCGAAGCGCAACTTCGCCTGTGTTGTTTTTTGCCGGCTTAATTCCCGTAGCCCATTTTTTCCCTGAAGGTTTAGCTTTCTTCTGGTTTACTGTTACACCCATGCCGGAGACGATAAAGCCCGGGCTTGCGATTCCAGTCGGGTCGGGACCTGTTTTTTTTTGCTAATTGAAAATTTTCGGCTATTTTTGGTCTGTCTCTTATTTTTGCCGGCTTAGTTCTCGCAGAGAAGAATTTTTCAAAGTTCGTTTTCTTTCTAGATTTCCGTAAGCTCGTTGTGAAGTTTTTAATAGTGCTGGTAATTTTGTTCCGGATATTTGTGCAATTTTTATAATACTTAAATGATAAAAACGATTTTCTGAAAATGTTTTTCAATTTTTTCTTTTCATTTGTTTGTTATCATAGTCATTCATTTTTGTATCGCAAGTAGCGCGAAGCAATAATATATGAGTTTTAAATAAAAACTTTAAAACTAATAGCTTGCATGATAAAACGCATCGTGACTGGTCTCTGCACTAGTTTCATGATAGTAATAAATAGGCAAAAGTACTTAACCATTATTAATTTGATAACTAACGAATGTTTAAAAGAGAGTTTCCTAAATTTTCGGATTGTAAAAAATTAGCTCGTGATTTTTATTGTTAAGTTTATTTGTAGCTAGCAATATACATGGTCTATTCTAGGAATCCTGAGAGTGCGGATGTGAAGAGCTACCAGTTCTTGTTTCCGCCTTCCTTGTTTGGAGTTGGATCCGCGTCGGCTAAGCAGACCAATCAGAGAGACAAGTATGCGGCCCACATGGCCCAGCAATTGGACCCTATGGGTGTGGGGGTCGGAGTAGGCATAGGACCCAGTGGATCTAATGTGATCGGTGAGTTCTTGAGTGACCATTTTCTGGACTTATCTCACGCTTTATTAAGAGTCGATGAACGTAGTTCAGAATCTTATATAGGTCGAGATGCATTTTTGTGTTTCTTCAGAAGTCATAAAATTTGTTTAGGCTTGAATTTATTTTCGCGATTTGACTTTTGATTTCTTTCTAAGTTCATTTCATTTCCTTTGTTTAAAGGAAGGCAAACTCCACTATCGAACAGAAAAAGTGTAAAGATCACGAAAAACGTGATTGACTTCTAATTTCCAAACGAAATTTAATTTTCAGATTTCTTAGAGAAATTAAAATTTTCTTATTGGTCCAGTTTTCTCAAATTGGGGCAGTTTTATCAACAAAGTGCCAACCATAAACTGTTCTAGAAATTCAAAGAGCTTCAAGGGCATTTTTTTCTGTGAAATTCGAAGTTGAGATTTTACAAAATTAAGTCAAAATTTTTTTCTTTCCTTGCGTTCATTGACTCCTTGAAAGTGGAAAGGTTGAGATATAATTGTGATATGTAGGCGGCAATAAGCATCAGTCGAACCAGTACTGGGCCAAGGGGACTGGGTTTGGTACTGGATCCATGCAGAGCGGCTGGAACATGGAACAGAGTCTGCTCAAGAAACACTTCGAGGAGCATAATTGTCAAGCAATTCTGCAGGTCATTTTTTAGCTCATATATTTGCTTTTTTTATCATATTTGTTGGTGTATGCCCCGGCAAAGATTAAAATGTCTTTTTGTATAAATTGTCAACTGTGTTTTGGATTCAGGTTGATTGAATTTTCAAAATGTCTAGGTTCTGTCTTCGTTCATCAGTGGAGCATCGAAATCCTCCATGGAAAATACAAGTGCGGATAGCTCGTCTAACTCGTCAATAGTCTCGTCTTTCTCTGTATCCTCACTCTCCCGAGTAGGGTCAAGTGTCAGTGGAGCTATGGACTATCAGAACATGAACATGGACATGTACGCCCAGCAGCACACTGTGGTACGTATTGTTTCATTCTTTTTGAGGGTAGTTAAATGTTTTGACCAGCATGAAGAGTTGTTCGAAGCTAAGATTTTTTTCGACTTACTGCTTACTTCAAAAATGCAAACCAAATTGACGAGCTTTTTGGGTTTTAGCAAATTGATTTTTGGTTTTTGATTTGTTTCTAAGTTCATTTCTAATTAAATTGCTGAAAGGAAGGCACACTATACACAAAATCAGAAGGCAAATCATAAAAATAGTAAAGTTCAAAAGATTCCACGGAATATATTGGTTTCTCCTAAATTTCAAAAGTGAAAAATTTTCGACTATTTCTCGGTTTTCTGGAGTTAATTGACGCTTTTCCAACTGTATGTTGGCTATGTTTTAGGTCTTGTGTAGTCATGTTAATTTTTGTGACTTTTCAGGGTAGCTCTGGAATGAGTGCTGTAGTTAATTCTGGAACGGCTGGCAGTGGTTCTGGTGCCCCTACTGTCTCTGTGACTGCTAGTGGGCCTGTGGACAGCGTATTGGTGGACATGAGTAACTTCAGCTGCAGACTTCATGACCTGATCTGTCGCAGTTGTCTCATGGAGGTCCTCAACACATACCTGACCAACGACAGTGTGCTGGACATGGACAGGCACGTGGCAGTGCATCAGGCTGTGCTCGACATCATCAGGTAGTGACTATGATTTTGGCTCATTCGCCTTCTTCACATTTTTCTTCGGCTAACTGACATGCTGTTGTATCTCAAGTGGTGCGTAGCTCCGCTTTGCCTCTGTGATTAAATTTCCTATTGTAAACTATTTTAAAGAGTCGATCAATGTTGTTCCGACTCTTATATACGTCGCGATGATTTTTTTCAGGAATTTACTTTTTAGCGGTTGGATTTTAATTTTCTGTAAGTTCAGTTCATTTCCTTTGTTAAAATGAAGGCCAACTCCACTATCGCACAGCAAAACTGTAGAGGTCACGAAAAGCGTGATCGAATTCAAGATTCGAAAGTGGAATTTAGTTTTCGGATTTCCCAGCGAAATATTTATACTTATTGATCCAGTTAAATTGGGTTAGTTTTATCAAAAAAAAGTGCCAATCAGAAATTGCTCTAGAAATTCAAAGAGCTTTGAATTCGTATATTTTTTGCTTTGAAATTCGGAAATTCGAAAGATTTTTTCAATAAGTGTTTTTTCTGTTTTCTTGCGTTCATGGACACTTTTTCAACTGTCTGTTGGCTATGTTTTTTTTGCTCTTTTGTTGAAGACTTTCCCCTTAAACTGACCAATTGAACGAGATCAGCCTCTACCCCCGCCACCTAAATTAATTTTCAAGTTTATTGGTTGAAAAAAAAATTCCCAGCCAAATAAATCTCTCCTCCCTAAATTTTTTTGGAGGGGAGTGTTTTTTTGGGCTCTTGGTTGACCCAGTAGCTCAGTGTAATGATAAGTTTTCATTGTGCCATTAATTTGTGTTCTTTTGTTTAGGGCGATGGTGAGTCACGAGGAGACTGCGAGTGAGTTGATGGGGCTGATGGAGGAACACAAGATAGTGGACAACCTTGAGTCCATCCGAAATAGACACTCAGCATACCACGCGCAACTCAGCAAGTCAGTACAACCACTATTTTTTTTAGTGATTGAAGTCAATGCTTTAGTTGAGGAACAAGATGACGTCTAGAATTCATAAAAATAGTCCAGGTTGTTACGGTGCGACATTTAACAAAACTTTGGCCTAGTTATTTTTCTGAGGTGTTGAATTCTTCGTCTTGTAGTGTAGTTAGTTGCATTGTTCAAATTTAACAGTTTCTGAATTGTATTCAGTTTCAATATGTATCTTATGGTTGTTATAAGAAACCTGCGCAAGCTGACCAACACTGGTTCTTCGTCATCTAAGGGTGCAACGGGAGCGGATCCGGCTGGGGCAGTCGATGGGGACCCGGAAGGTGTGAACAAACTGGGGGAAGAATTGGACTATGTTTACCGATTGGTGCAGAGGGCATGGACCAAGTACCAACAACACCGCGGATCAAGAAGGTGAGATGAAGTCAGAGTATACAATGAAAGAGTTATTACTGCCATGATAACGCCGCATCGAATTAGAGCTTTTTTGCCATTTTCGCAATAATTGCTTTTTACTTTTTAAATTAAAGAAATAGGCTGTTTTCTAGTTTTGCACCCCCTCGTAAAATTACAAGATAAATTTGCGTAGTGTGATACTAGCGTAGTGTGAGCTTTGTTGACTCTTTTAGATATTTCTTGGCAGTTTTTGCTTGTGTTTCCTAAGTGCAGCTTCGCTTCCGTAAGTTTTTAATACGGAAATTTGCATTTTTGTAATAATTTGTTCGCGCTGACACAGTATCTTGGCTGCTCAAAAGCGTGTGACTAAAAGTCGATGAGCGTAGAACAGATTCTTGTACAGAACGTGATGAATTGTTTTCAGAAAAAGTCAAAATTCGTTCGGGCTCAAATTTACATTTTACACTTAGCTAAGTGTTATAGTACGAGCTTTCTTTTTTCCAACCTCAATCGAATATTGTTGCGACTTAAAGCATCAATATTTGCTTCATCGAATTGACAATATGTTGTACCTTTACAGCTTATTGATAATATGTGTTTTGACATTCGAATAGTTATAAGTTTACACAGTTGCTGCATTTTTAATTCATCAAGTGCAAACCGAAGAAAGCTGTTTGTTTCAAACACCATAACAACAATAAAAGCTCGATTTCAGAAATTTTCTAACTCAATATATCTCGCAATTTTTTTGAAATGCATAATGTGTACATAATATGGCTTTTTGATTTAATACTGCTTTATACATAATATACATAATACTTCTTTATGATTACATGCAAAATTGAATCTTTTTGTATTTGGTGTTACTTTTGCTGCATCAAATTGGCAATTTATTAGCATATGTAGCTGCGTTATTGGTGGCTAGTTTTGGGGGATTCTAAGCATCCGTGGCTGAATGGTTAGTGCGTGAGAGTGCTGAATGGTTAGTGCAAATTCGAGGCTTATTTCTACTTTTTCTTATGTCACTTGATAGAGCTGCTCTTTTGTCGTGTTCTCGCAAGTGTTTGTGAAGCGCAGCTTCGCCTCTGTGTTGACTTTTGATTTCTCGACGTTTGCTATTTGACTTTTGGTTTCTTTTTAAGTTAATAGGAGAACATAAAAATTGACGAGATCACGAAAAACGACTTTAGTTTCGAAATTCAATTTTCAGTTTCACCAAATTGTTTCCTTTTGTCCTGTTCCAAGAGTATTGAAGTTAGTGAAGACTCTTATATAGGTCTTGTTGAACTTTTTTTCAGGAAAAAGTCATAAAATGTGCATAAAAGTCTCTAAAAACTACAGATGTGCATTCATACATATTGATGCATTTATGAATGCACTTTTGTAGTTTTGCACTTTTGAGTTCAATTGAGTTTCTTCTGCTGAAAGTGACGAAAAAAGAACTCTCCAAATACGGACGTGGAAATGCCGTGAAAACGCGTAAACGATTTCTAGTTTCGAAAGTGGAATTTATCGTTTAGATTTCCCAGCGGAATGAAAACTTTATCGATTGACCCAGTTTTCTCTAGTTTGTTTCATGTTAGCAAAAACGCACAAATCATAAATTGTTCTAGAATTTCAAAGTGCTGAAACGATATCAATTTTTTTTTTGAAATTGGAAAGTTGAGATTTTTTCAAGAAAGTGTTTTTTAATATTTACTAGCGTTAATTATTTTTTTCCAATCTTCGATTGGCTATGTTCTCAAATTGACTTAATTTTAGCAAATAAAACGTCAATCATAATGTGTTTCAGAAATTCAAAGAGCTTTGAGGCCATCTATTTTTTTCTTAGAAATTCAAAAGTTTTCAAAAAACCAGTCAGTATTTTTTTTCTGTTTACACTTGCGAGCGTTAATTTAGTAAAATGAACCTTCTTTTTTCCCAACCTAACTCGCAATTAATAGTTTTAATTTAAAGTGGTCTTTGATTGGTGGAATTTTTGCTATATTCACGATCTGTAGCATTGGAAATTTCATAGCATCGGTTCTCTGATTTTTTGTGGCTTGTTTTTGAGATTTTTTAAGCGTCCGTGTCTGAGAGCTTTGTGCATGAGTTTCATACTCACTAGGCCGCAGATCGAATATCAGACGTAGTCGAATTTTTGCTTATTCGTGGCTTGGTTTTTCGTCTTGTTCTCGCTAGTGTTTGCGAAGCGCAGCTTCGCCTCTGTAGAAAGGGTGTATTTCAGATTAATATTCTAGTGTTTCCCACTATTGCGAATTTGAACTCCTCGGCGAAATGTGAATTTTGGTTGGTTTATCCTATTGGAGTTCCAAAAATCAAGTCTTTGAATCATATCCTTCACCGCTAGGTGCTTCACTCTAAAGTTGAATTTTAGTATTCTATTCACTCAAGGCGTTAGACGGCTCTGGTATGATTCATTTCCTCAATTGCTCTAAAGGGCTGCTAAAAGGGCCTTGTGATCCGTGGTAGTTTCGAGCTCGTACCCATGAAGATAATTCTTGTAGTGTTCGACAGCCCAAGCTACTCCCAAATTTATTTCTCTCGTGAGTACTTAAAAATCTGTTGAATGTCAGGGAGTGATATTCATACCATATGAAAAAGTTTTTTGTTCAGAGCTTTTCCCAAAGTAGCTAAGTTGGGTACAAGCTTCATAAACAGGTTGAGCGACCTAAAGAATGGTCTGAGTTCTTCGATTTTTCGAGGAGTTGGTAGGTTTTTTTAAAGGAGGTCTTATCTTCCATGGAGAAGTTCCTGAGTTGGTAATTTTGAAACCTAGCCAATCCATTGTTTTGAAACACTGGAGTTGTGACCGTTTTACTGCGAATTTCTGTTTGTCTGAGCTGAATAACATGATTTACTATGTCTTTGCATTCTTTGAGAGATCCTTTGGATCCGATTAAAATGTCTTCTATGTAACATTTTATAAAAGGGGCTGATCCGATGATCGTATCCATGACTTGTTGAAAATCTTTCGGCATGTCGCGTAGTTCATAAAATCTGTTTGAAAACTTAGACGTTCCCGTGATGCCGCCGGCTGTATTAAATTACATTATTGGCTTTTCGGATTGTCTAAAGCTAATTGACTGTACGGATTTGTTAGATCCAATTTTGTGAACCAATTTTTCTCGGAGACTTCGTGTTTTGTTACAACCTTGTCTGCCAATTCGTGGATGTTGGCATCCGACATTGGTTCTTGAAAATTTGTTCATATTTTAACGTTGTTTCTAGTGTTAGCTTCATTTATTTGTCTCTTTAACGCGTGATTTAATTGAGTTATAGTTTAGTCTTTGTCATGGTTTTTATTTTGTCCAATACTTGGAAAAAAGTTTTTAAAGTTGAAATCCAGGTTTTTTGTCCTGTTATCTACCTTCTCGGTACTACTTACAGATAGTATTGAATTACTCTTTTGGGAGAAAACTGATTTGAAATGAGATTTTGGCTTCTGTGTCACTTCGATGCCCGTTTTTGGCAAGTTGTCGTTCATAAAAAAAAATATTTCGCCAGTGTTCGGTAATGAAAAATGCCGTTGATTTGTGGAATCAGCCGTTTGATCATATTGGTAATTTCACTTTTGCGATGATTGCTATCGTCGCATCTGTAAAACCGCAATGTAGGTCCTTCTTCTTTTGATCTAATGCTACTATCTTGAGATATAGCTCTCCTAACTTCAACTCTGGAATAACGTTCCTTTTCAAAAATTGACAAGCTTGCCGAATTCACCTGTATACAGTATTCTCCTGTCCTAAGCTGATTTTCAATAATTTCTTCAGTTCTTTTCTTTCGTAGTCAAAAATCGTTGACGCTTCAATCACCTTGTTAAAGCGTTGATTACGCCACAAAATTTCTTTAGATTATCTACAAAAAATTATCCAGAGTGTTGATAAGGAGATTGTACAGAATTATTCACAGGGTTAACGCTATCGGCAATTGTCAGTTTAACGGTTTGATTTACATTTTTTCGTGAAATGGCCTTTTCAATTAGAGGATACTCAATATGCGTCTCTTGCATGGTAAACCGCCTGGTGGCCTTTTCAGAATTTGCTTTGCGTCGATTTTGCAAGCAAGAATTTTATCTTTTGATTCTTAAGACTTTGATATCCATTTCACGTTAAAGTTTCAATCGATGTTAGAAATATGGCTTTGAGAGTTGGACGTATGAGTCATCTTCAAGTGGTTAGAAATAATTTTTTTGTATAGCAAAGCTACGTTAAAGGCATCTAGAGGGGCTAGGATGTTGGTTAATGTAATAATTCCTCATGATCTTGTTAGAAATGTTCCGAATCCAATTGTCTTCTCAACTGGAGATATCGCTTTTTTGCCATCTCTGCGAGTGCTTCTCAAAACTGTTCTAATTTTTCCTTGTCGCGTTGGCTTCTGTTTAGTTGTTCATGTCTGTCAAACGTGATGTTAGATTTTAATACGAAGGCCAGGTCCAGGTTCAGAGAATTTTCAGCGAATGGCCGTGTTCCTTTGTTTCCTTGAATCATTTGAAGGACGAGGTAAAACCCTTAAATTGGCATTGATCGGATTTTCTTATCGAGGCATTGATCTGATTTTCTTATCGAGGCATTGATCTGATTTCCTTATCGGCTTCTTCAATTCTCATCCCTCCGAATGCTTTCACTTCTATCTTGACTAGTATGTTCTCTTTATCGTCACACCATTTCATCCAGATTTCTCGCCGGTCTTGCTGTTCTCTCCTGGTTAATTTCGTTCTCCGGAGCTTTTTTTTGTCGGTGTCGCAGTTTTCTGGTTCGAAGGGTTTATCAAACTTTCGATAGTAATATTCTCTGTGGCTATCAAAGTCAGTTGGAAAATGTCACTCCAATCTTTTCATGGAATACTAATAAAATTGGATTACTAATAAGTTAACACTATTGGTTCATTTTAAATTCTTCAAATGAAACAAAGTAAGCTATTTGTGTCTTCAAATGAGGAAAACTCCGAAATTTTCCAACTTGGTATAGTTTTTGAAATTGCACAATTTGTTTTTATACCTTCCGATTCATTACCTGCAAAAAGTTCGATTGCTTTGTTTTAATCATTCAAATTTATGTTGAATTTGTGTTTTTGTCCATTTTTAAGCTCCCTCACGCCAGTTGCACAATTGTACAATGTCGCCTCTGTTAAAAATTGTTGACAGAAATTTGCATGGAATATTTTTAGTAACAATTAATTTTTCCACGCTGACACGTTATATTGCTTTTATGAACGTCAAAAGTCATTTTAAATAGCCTTTTGTAAAATCAATTCCACAAAATTTACGAGGGGCTGGCAAAGAGCCTTGAATTAAGAAGTGTTGTCTTCCTGAGAGTTTGAATGGAAAAATTTGTTCTATTTATAGTCATGACTGGCATGATTTTCAAGGTTTGTATATTGAATGTTTTTAAGTAAATGACCAAGTGCATAAAAGGTAGTTCAGAATATCCTTTACGCAGCTGAAATTTTCAAAATCCAGTCTATTGTTCTAGGCAGAACCAGGTGAGCGATTTGGAACCAGGACCCAGCGGCAGTGGAGGTGTGGATCCAAATTCAAATGCAGCAGTCCAGCAAGACGGGACTATTGTCAAGACACCTCGGGAGATATACTGTGATGCCATGAAGCCCTTGCAGTTCCGTAAGTTGTGACACATTTAGTCCCTTGACAGTCCCGTCCCATTTTAATTTCAACAGATTTCGTCCCATTTCAAAGCGTACACAGATTTTGTCCCACAGATTTGAATATGGGACGAAATCTGTAGTAGGACGAAATCGTTCAAATAGCGCTTAAATAACTCCTTCATCAAAAGAGTTAGTACATGGATTGCATTTTACTATAAATCACAAAACTTGGATAGAACTGAACCATGCGTGTTTCCATCTCTCGATTAATTGAGCATATTTGCCATTTGCGTTTAGTGAGCTTCATGTTAGTGAAGGAGGGCGGAGGTGCGGGGGGCAAAAACATCTCATTCGCAGTTCCTTTCCACTTCGTCACAGAGGCCAAAATGGCCAGTGACTCACTCAACACGAAGAGAGCCAAGAGACTGGCACAGGAGTCAGTATCTCTATCTTCTGCTCTTCCACTCGATTACAGCTCCTCAGTTTTCATCAGGTGAGTCAAATTAGGTAATATAAAAAGAAAGGCACGGTGCTCCAAAAGAGTCGGACTGTTACTCGGAGGGCCGTGTTGGAACTAATATTTTAATCTTTCAAATCAATCTTTTAAGATTCACGAATGGAGTGAATACTCTTATATAGGATAGGTCTTGAATACTGTTTTATAAAATTTCTTAACTTGTGCACGCTAAAATTTAATTGAACGCGGTTTGAATTTTTGATTTCCTTTTAAGATCAGCTCATTTCATTTATTTACACAAGCAACGCTTGTGTTATAGTATGAACTATCTTTTTTTTCAACATAAGTAGCAAATATTGTTGCGATAAAATTTGTTCATTTTTAAAGTGTTCATTTTGATCAATAACCAGCTATTAAGTACAACCAATGCTAAGGATTTTAACACAGACTTTTATTTTTCCGACTTTCGTAACAAAAGTAACGGAATATTTGTGTTATTTAACACAGACTTTTATTTTTCCGACTTTCGTAACGAAAGTAACGGAATATTTTTCAGACAAATTTCGACTTTTTAACTGGCCATTTTTGACAGAATTTTTTTATATAATTCAAAAAGTATTGTTAACCTGAGCTTGAATTTGGAAAGATGTTTCACCTGTGATCATTTTTCGATAAAATATGAGGGTTTAAAAATTGCCAATTTGAGACAATTAACGCGCGATATATTTCGCGGTATTACGCGTAAGCGGAGATTTAATCCGTCATAGAAATTTTTCCAAATTGGTTGAAGGAAGCTTATTTGCCATAATTGATTTGTTACTAGGAGCGAAATGTATCACTTTGTACTGAATATGGTTTGTGGGGGGATGATTTTCTCAAAAATTCTCAAATAAAAAAATTGTCATTTTATTTTTGTTGCATTCAATTTTTTCATGTTATTACTACTCCATAGACTGCTCTATAAATTGAGGCATGTTAGTTGGTAAATATCTTTGTTTTCAAATTGACTGGTAAAGCTAATGCGCCATAATTGGCGAGCGTCTATTAAGAAATTTTGTAGATTCAAAGTTTTACTCAATCAGTTTTTCCCAGTAGCGTCATCGGTCATGTTTTTCCTTGTATATGAGAAGTGCAACTTCGTCTCTGTGTAAAATGAAGACAAACTCCACTGCTGGACAGTGTAAAGGTCACGACGAAAAACATGATAACTGCTAGTTTCGAAGGTGGATTTCCCAGGCGAATAGAAATTTTACTTGTTGATCCAGTATTTCATAAAGTTTTTCAAAAAAGATGAGTTTTTCTGTTTCCTTGCGTTCATGACTCTTTTCCATCTGTCTGTTGGCTATGCTTACACTAGCCAGTTTGCGAGCGTTAATGTATTAGTACGAACCTTCTTTTTCTAATCGAACGCGCAAATAAAAGTGTTCTTTAAACCTGTTCACTTATATGGTGGCGCTTTTGCTTTAATTACAATCGAAGCATTAGAAATTTTCTAGCATCGATTCTCTGCTTTATTTGTGGCTAGAGTTTGTGATGTTTTGATCGTGTTTAGTGCGTGAGACTCGTAATCTTTAAGTCGCAGACCGAATTCGAGACAGCCGAATTTGTACTTATTCGAGGCTTAATTATACTTTTTCTTATTAAGAGTAATGAACGTAGCTTATATAGGTCTTGGTGATTTTGCTGAAGAAAAAGGTCCTAAAATGCTCTGATAATTATTAACTTTTTGATAATATATGAGCTTTTTGAGTGCAATTGAAATTCATCTGCAGAAAGTTAAGTAAATAGCACTCTCCAAATACGAACGTGGAAATAACATGAAAGAACGTGAACAGTTTCTAGTTTCGAAAGTGGAGTTTAATTTTTAGGTTTCCAGCGGAATAAAAACTTCATCTATTGATCCAGGTTTCTCAATTTGTGATTGGCTCTTTTTTAATGTTATAAAAAAAGCGCCGATGCCGATCATAAATTGATCTAGAAATATAAAGAAATTAAAGAAGGGCTTCTATTTTTTCTTTGCAAAGTTGAGGTTTTTCAACAAAATCAGTGTTTTGTTTTCCGTTCGTTACTCTTTCAGTTGGCTATGTTTGCACTTTATAGAGCTGATTTTTGTCGTGTTATCGCTAATGTTTAAGCAAAGCGCAGCTTCGCCTCTGCGCTTAAATTATCAATGAACATAAGGAACACACTTGAAACCTTTGCTTATACCAAAAGTATTGCAACCGGGTACTTGACTTTTTTCCACAAATATCTCCGTTCCGGGAATGGTCATTTTAGTAATTGAGCATTTCTAAGTTCCCTATAATTTACCACATAAATCTTACATGTAGTTCTAAATAAGGGCTCGTTATGGATTTTTGATTGGTCCGTGCAAGTAATGTGATTTTTCGACAATTTCGGATCATTTTCAGTTTTTTGGATGTCGGCCTTAATTATGTCGACTTAATAACGTAATGTTTTTTCTTGGTTTTAGTTTAAAAAAAAATTAGCTCAAAATAGACTCAAATTTGACAGCTTATGTTCATAGGCTTGAAAGACACTTGTCCGACTGTTTAAAAAACCAAAAAACTGTATAATTTTTATTTTTTTTTGTAGGCTTAGTTGCCGCTGCACCAAATTTGTTGCCTAAATTTAAGGCATTTTTACTCAAGTATTTTTTGGAAGTTTTTAAGAGTAATGAACGTAGTGAGTACTTCTATATAGGTCTTGGTTTTTTTTTATGTTTTTTTTTTCATGACAAATTCTTAATAATTGTTCAAGCTTAATTTTGATTTTTCGCGGTTTGACTTTTGATTAATTTTTCAGATCAGTTCATTTCGTTTGTATACTGGAAGGCAAGGTACACTACTGAATAGCAAAAGTGTAAAAGTCACGAAAACGTAATCAATTTCTAATTTCGAAAAGGGAATTTAATTTGCAGATGTTCCAGCGAAATAAAGATTATTCTTTATTGATCCACTTTTCTCAAAATTCTCAGCGAATCAAAATTTAACCCATTTGTCTGTTTTTCTCAAAATGGGGCAATTTCATGAAACAAAAACAATTCATATTTTGTTCGTGAATTTCAAAAAGCTTTGCCTTTATTTTTTAAGTATTTTTTTGTGTTGCGTTGCGTTCATTACTTTTTATCAACTGTCATCAGTTGGCTAGGTTTTTCTTCACAAATTCAAGTAATGACCTGTGCATTTGGTACATTGTCGATACCCATGCTTGAGGCGACAAATCCCAGAAGTCCGATTCCAGTCGGGAACGTTTTTTTTGGAAACTTTTATTTTGAGTTTTCATACTTTCTTGTCGCTTTAGGTTTTGAAGCAAGGTTTTGTTTCTCTTTAGCCTTTTAAAAGCATTTTGTAGCATTTTAATGGTGCAGACAAGTCTTAACATTTGTTCACGTTCTTATCCGAATTTTTAATCACAGTTGATGATTTTTAATCACAATGACCTCAGTTGATGCTTTTCTTAATCCATCATTTAAACCGAAAAAAGCTATTTGTTTCATAAAGCAGTGTAATGAAAAAAAATCAGAAGTATTCCAACTCGCGTTTATTTTGCGTAATTTTTGAAATGCATAGTTAATTCAAAATATGACTTAACACTTTCCAATTTATTACATGATTTTCTCTGACTTAATGCTTAGTCTTGTCATCAAGTGTCAGTGAAACTTTTTAGGTCGTGCGGTTTTTGCTCTGTTTTTTTTTGTAAAAGTTTTGAAAATTGTAAAAGCTCAAAGTATTATTTTTTGCTGTTTGACTTTTGGTTTATTGGTTGGCTTCAAATTCATTGGCCGCCCGGAAGGCACATTATGCTCTTCAAATCATTAATGCAAATAGTGTGGCGCCCAGGGGAATAAATACTTTACCTATTGGTCCACTTTTCTCAAACTGGGTTATTCTAGCTAATTATTCTGAACCCACTAATAAATGCTGAAGAGGTTCGAGTTGATAGTGTTTCTTTGAAACCATGAAAACCAGAAAAAAAACTGGACGCGCGAAGTTTTTGCTGGTTATCGTGGATTCATTGACACTTTTCCAACTGTCTTTTGACTATGTTTGACGTATGTTCATTTTTTGCCGATATTTGTTTCTTGGAGATATTGATATAATGAGCCTAAAACTAAAAAAGATATTTCACCTGTGATCGATTTTTGTGTGGCTTAAAATTCATGGTGGGTTTAAAATTGCCAATTTGATTGAGGTGAGATTTTTATCAGTCTTCGTTTAAAAAATAGCGTAGGCTCGTAAATCATTGCAATTTTGATTGAGGAAAGCTATTTGGACTTATTAATGCGTTTCGAGACGAGAAATTTAGCTTTTAGTATAAGCATAACTAAAGAAATCTGAGAAATTGATTGGCGGCAACTATTCACAGTCGATGCAGTTCGATGGCTAATTGGAGTATATTCACACTTGATGTAGACCTTTCTAACTTTTGTTCGATCTTATCGAATTTAACAAACACAATTAGATTTTGATAACCGATCATATAGTTTGGAAATAATTTTATGGTAATTAATTGGTTGGTAAGTTCTCTTCTTCCTCTGTAGGTATGACGAGGACAGACTGGACATAATGAAAGTGCTGATGACTGGGCCAGCAGACACTCCCTACTCCAACGGCTGCTTCCTCTTCGACATTTTCTTCCCCCCGGAGTACCCCCACACTCCCCTGCTGTGTAACTTCACCACCACAGGAAATGGAACAGTCCGTTTCAACCCAAATCTGTACAATGACGGAAAGGTCTGTGTCTCTATATTGAGGAGCGGCGGGCAGTTAGCTAAGGTTTCCGCCTCAAATTCGAAAAGTCAGTGGTTCGAGGCCCACCGGGAACTGTATTCGTTGTTTACACTAAAGAGCTTAGGGAGCGTAGTGTAATAGTACTACTGGTCTTTTTTCCAACCTAAGTCGCAATTATTGGTGACCCTTTTGAGTCACCTTTACGGCTTTTTGATAGCATGTGCTTTGACATTCGATTTGTAATAAGTTAACTCAGTTGATGCATTTTTCATTCATCAAATGAACCGAAGAAAGGTTTTTTTTTCAAAACACTTCAATAATTAAAACTATTTCCAACTCGACATATTTCGAAATTTTTTCAAATGCATTATTTATACATAATTTGGTTTTCTGCTTTCGAATTTAATACATGCTTAGTTAGTGTGAACGCCCAGTTTGTTATATTCTGAATTATTACATGCAAAATTGTGTCTATTTGTTTTGGGTTACCACTTTTGCTGCATCGCATTGGCAGTTGATTAGCATATTTAGTTTATTAGCATCAAATTGGCAGTTTATTAGCACCTGCTTTTTTGGCAAGTATTCGCAAATTATCAGGGCTCGTAGCGGAGGGGCGAGGACGGGACTATAAATCTCCTGGTCGTAGGATCGGTTCCGCCATAGCAAAAGTTTTAACGGAAATTTGCATTTGTAATAATTTCTTCGCGCTGACATATTGGCTAGTTAATAGCGTGTGTTTGAGAGTCTATGAACGTAGTTCAGGCTCTTATATAGGTCCGGGTGCTTTTTGCGTGGTTGGACTTTGATTTTTTCCCTTTGCTTAGTTCATTTCCATTGTTAAAAGGAATGCAAATTCCATTATCGAACAGCAAAAACGTAAAGGTCACGAAAAACGTAATCGACTAGTTTCGAAATAATTTCCTGATTTTCTAGTGCAATAAAAATTTTAACTATTGATCTAATTTTACCAATTGGGTTATTTTTATAAATAGTTCTAGAAATTCAAAGAGCTCTAAGGCCATCTATTTTTTTCTTCGAAATTTGAAAGTTGAGATTTCAAAAAATGAACTCACTATTTTTTTGTCTATTCGTGTTCATTTTCCTTTCTTCGATTGTCTGATGGCTATGTTTCAAATTTAAAACGTGTTTTATATAATTGAAATTTGTTTTGTAAATCTTAAAACTCTGATTTTTTTAAGTTAGTTAGTTTCTTTTGTTTACACTTGCGGAGCAAAATGTATTAGAACGAACTTTCTTTTTTTTCCTATCTAAGTCGCAAATGTTAGGGCCGCTTTAGGGACACCTTTACAGCTTTTTGATAGCATGTGCTTCGTCATTTGATTAGTAAACAAATAACACAGATAGCGCATTTTTAATTCATCAAATGAACCGAAAAAAGTTATTTGTTTCAAAAAGCAGTACAATGATAAAAAATATCGATATTAGAAGTTTTCTAACACAAAGTATCTCGCAATTTTTTTGAAATACATAGTTTATACATAACTTGTCTTTATGCTTTCCAGTTTATTACATGCAAAATTGTGTCTTTTTGTATTTGGTGCTACTTTTGCTGCATAGAATTGGCAATTTATTAGCAATATATTAGCAGCTGCGTTATTGGTGGCTAGTTTTTGGGCATTTAAAGCATCCGCGGCTGAGTGTTTAGTGCGTGAGAACTAAATTTGCTAGGTCGTCGATTCGAATCCGACACGTAGCCGAGTTTTTGCTAATTCGAGGCGAGGCATATTTCTGCCTTTTCTTATCTCACTTGATAGAGCTGGCTTTTAGTCGTGTTCTCGCAAGTGTATGCGAAGCGCAGCTTCGCCTCTGTGTAAAAGGAAGGCAAGCTAAATCACGAAAAGCGTGAACGACATCTAACTAGATCACAAAAACCGTGAAGGACATCTAATTTCGAAAATGGTGTTTAGTTTTCACATTTCCTAGTGAAATGAAAAAATCAGTTAATTTCATCAAAAAATGTTGTTCATAAATTTTTCCAAAAATTCAAAGAGCTGCGAAGACATCTGTTTTTTCTCTGAAATTCGAAAATTGAGATTTTTTCATAATAAACAAGTCACTATTTTTTTACTGTTTCTTTGAGTTCATCAATCTTCTCCAGTTGTCAGTTCACTATGTTTTACTTAGAAAAAAGTTTTGAAAAATCAATCGTTTTTTGTTTTCTTGATCACTGACGCTTCATCTGGTTGTTGGTTGTTTGACAATTGAATATCCTATCAGGCTAAGATATATGCCTCAGTTAGAGGTGAAAATTGATGTTGCAGGTGTGTCTGAGTATCCTGAATACGTGGCACGGCCGACCAGAGGAGAAGTGGAATGCGCAGACATCTAACTTGTTACAGGTGAATTTATTGTCAGTTTTTTAAGTTTTTTTTTTAACTAGAAAGTGTTCGTTCTCTGTGAAACTATTTCCAAGGAAGGTTGCCAGTTATATTTCAAAATTATGATAATAATAGTTTACAAATAGAGCACAGTAATCATAAATCGAAGTAATTTATTATGAATGTACAATTTTTGTAGCGCTGTTCGAATGTTGCCACTGTTTAAATAATCTTTTATGTTCTTTTAGGTTCTGGTCTCGATCCAGAGTCTGATTTTGGTGAGTGAGCCATACTTCAATGAGCCAGGCTACGAGAGGTCGAGGAACACGCCTGCTGGGCAGGAGAACAGCGACGAGTACAGTGCCAATATCAAACAGGCCACAGTTAAGTGGGCCATGCTGAACCAGCTGAGGAACCCACCGGCATGCTTCAAAGAAGTCATACACACTCACTTCTACCTGAAACGAAAAGAAATTCTAAAACAGGTTCGCGCAACAATAATCATGAATATGCGTATATTATTACGTATGAATAAATGAATCGTATATGAATATTCGAGTATGAATAAATTTTATTTTGAAGTTTATCCATGTCTATTCAGTACTAATTTTGTCTCATACTTTTCAGGGCAGTAAAATTAGTCGAAACTAACCTTGCTGATACCTGAATATCAGCACTTGATTGCAATTGGTTGCTTGGAAGAACTAATTTAGGTTCTTTTCCACCCCCACCCCCCTACCCCCGCACATTCGAATATCAAGTATTAAAAACTATTTTAACGTTGTCATAATGCAAGTTTGCATAGTGAACAAAACAACAATTTTGAACAGATTTGGTCTTCATACTTTACATCGTAATATCACGCATTTAGCAGTTATTACACGTAAAACGACTATGAAAATGGAAAATTTGAAATGTAAGGGGGGGGGGGGCAAAAGAGCCTTAAGTTTTTATCAGGCTGCCTTCTTTTTTCTTACCTAACTCGCAAATAAAAGTCTTCATTAACATTGTTCACTTATTTGGTGGCACTTTTGCTATAATCACAATCTGTAGCATTGGAAATTTCGTTGCATGTTTTCTGCCTTATTTGTGGCTAGTTTTTGTGATTTGTTAAGCGTCCGTGGCTGTTAGTGCGTGAGACTCATTATCTCTAGGCCGCAGTAGGTCGTAGATCGAATCTGAGACGTAGCCGAATTTTTACTAATTCGAGGCTTATGTCGACTTTTCATTATTGCACTTTATAGAGCTGCTTTTTGCAGTGTTCTGGCTTTTGTTTGCAAAGCGAAACTTCTCCTCTGTGTTGAGATATTTTGAGATGCACGTTGCGATATTTTAATTAAAGTGAAAAATAGGAGTTGGCGATTGCTTAGGTGCAAGATTGGCTCGCAAACATGGAAGCACTTGACATCCACAAGAGATATGCGAAGAAAGTTTCCAGTCACGTGCAGTCTCTGCGCAAGAGTTTGAACGAACTGCGTCTAGAGCTGAACAAACTCAAGGCTCCCGAGGGGCTTGCTGATGTAAGCGAGGATACTTCATCTACTCCATCGACCTCTGCTGTCCACACAGGTTAGAATACCTCAGATCAAACTTGCGTTCGTAAATTGACCTTTCACGAGAATTTAAATATCACAATCTCTTAAAATGTTTTGCATTTAAGTGACATGAAAGAAGTGAGGTTTCTTATTTCAGTCCTGTTATTTTTTCAGAAGTTTTGTATTTGGCTTACGCTCACAAGAGATTTTTTGTGGTTTGACCGTCGATTTCTGTTTAAGTTAAGTTCACTATTTTGTTGAAAGGAAGGCAAACTCAACTATCGAACTGCGAAAGCGTGGATATTAATTTTAAGATTTCCCGGCTGTTGGTCGAGTTTTCAAATTGCGTTAGTTTCATCAAAATTCTTGAAATTCAAAAGAGCTGTACAGTCATATATTTTTCTTTAATTTTGCAAGATGAAGATTTTCGAAGTATTCTTTGTTTCCTTGCGTTCATTGATTATTTTGCAACTCCCTGTTGGCTATGTTTCTTGTTGGAAATGAGTTCAAATTAATCGTCCAAAAGGAAGTTAAGTAATTCCCTCCGATAATGAAAGTGCAAATGGTGCAAAATAACGTAAATAACTTTGTTTCAAAAATTGACATTAGCTATAGAATTCCCAGCCGAAAAAAGGTCTTGTTGACCCTATTATCTCAGTGTTTAATGAAAAAAAGGTAATCATAAAAGATGCTTGAATTTGAAAAAATTTGACGTGATATATTTGCAGTTTGATTGTAGTCTCAAGTGTCGTTGATTAACTCCTGTAGTTTGTAAGTTTATTAACCCTTACTGGGATATTTTTCTTTGTTTTTCGGTGTATTTTTCTTTGTTTGTCTTTATGATTTTTGCTCGTGTTTTGTCGGTGTAGTGTTTTTTTTTGCATCAGTTTAAGGGTAAAAATTGATTATTATTGTTTTAAATGTTAGATAATTTTGGTCGGTTGTAGTATAAAATTACAAACTCAAACTATCTAATCCCTCATTTTTTATCACAACTTTTCCTTTGGGATTTTTCTGTTTGATATAAACAGGTGTTATGAAAAAATTATTGGGGTCGGGTTTATGATTGTTTTTGTGACGATTTTTAATAATTTTACCAATTTTCAAATAAAAAGTAGGCCCACTCCCTTGTGTGGTTGCATTACCCATTAGTCTTTCTTTTTTTACCTTTCACAGCTGTGGGGGGAATATTGAGTTTTCGATTTCAATCGAAAATACAGGTTGTGGGAAGCTGCTCTGCATAAGCGGCTATGCCCATTTTTTTTTTTCACAAAAAGTTATGACCCTCGTAAAAGACAAAGTTGCGTTTTTTTACCTTTTTTCAAACTTTTTTGATTTTTTCAAGCACTACCTTCTCAAGTCTTAGATATATTGGGTTCAAAAGGGAAAGCAAGTCGTGAGAAGCTCCCCAAAATTAGCGGTCCTCAAAAAAATCAAGGGTTTTTTCAAAAGGGGAAAAAGAAGGGGTTAAGAGAAGTTCCCCAGAATAAACGGCGGTATCCAAATTTTTTAACTAAAAAAATTTGTTTCAATTTTTTGCCCGTTTTTTTTCAAAAAAAACTTTTACCCTTCTCAAAAGCTACCCACAAAAATCTGAGATTTTGTGTTCAATGGATAAAGCAGTTTGTGGGAAGCAAATTAGCGGTTACTCCCAAATTTTTTTCTACACAAAACGTTTTGGCCCTCGGAAAAATCAAATATTAGATTTTTTAAACCTTTTTCTGAAACTTTTGGAATTTTTTTGAAATCTACTGTCCCAAGTCTAAGATTTAAGAGTCAATCGAAAGAAAAGGTTGAGAAGATGCCATGAATAATTGGCGACTTCCTGATTTTTTTTAAATTAAAAGAAAAATGGCCCTCAGAAAAGTCAATGTTTTAATTTCTTGTGCGTTTTTTGAATCCATTCGGCTCTTCTCGAAAACTACTCAGCCAAATCTGATCTCAAAGTTGTAATCGAGGCAGCAGATCGTAGGAATTATCTTTGCATAAGCGGATACGCCTTAAAATTTTCACGAAAAATGTTATAATTTCGGAATTTTCTAATTTCTAAAAATTTCACTCTAATTTTTTTTACAGAAAGTATAGTTTTAGGTAGAGACCATCATTTTGAAATTATCTATTTAATCCGCAGCAAAACAACAAAATAAAAAATAGCAAACAAGTAGCTCTAGCTTTCCGGATCAATGGGCGCCAAACCACGTGTTGTTGGCTTGGTGAACCCTCGGAAACTTTTAAAAGCTTGTTTAATGCTAGTGGTTCTGTTTCTCGTCTGTGTTTCTGAAACGGATTTTTTCGTTAATTCAAATAATACTTGTTGATATCTTTTTTTTCCTACTGAGTTATTTACACAAGCAAAGCTTGTGTTATAGTATGAACTCACTTTTTTACCAACCTAAGTCGCAAATGTTGTTGGGACGCCAATATTGTTGCGACAAAATGTGTTCATTTTGATCAATAACCAGCTACTAAGTAAAGCCAATGCTAAGGATATTAACACAGACTATTATATTACAAAAGGCACTTAAGCTTCAAGGTATCATGGATCTGTAGCGTAGAGGTAGGGAAGCAACAAAATAAGAGGGTTCGAACCTGGGCAGGGTCGGATGTTATAATGAACTTTTTCGTATATTAGCTAAAATGCGTCCGCTCTATAAATTGAGGCATATTATTTGGATTTTTTTTTTCAGATTGACTGCTAATGCGTCATAATTGGCTTGTGTCGTTTAGCAATTATGTAGACTTATAATTGGTTCGCGTCTTTTGAGAAATTTTGTGAACTCAAAGTTATACTGATTCACTTTTTCCCCGTAGCGTTATCGATAATATTTTAGCTTGTGTTTCATCTCGTTTTCTATTTGAAAGCTCGCAATGCTACGCTTTCATTGTATCGCAAGGGATGCGAGCTCTGCTTCGCCTGTGTCAAAAATCATTTCTGTATTTATGTAGTCACAGTGAATTGATTGTGTTGGCGCAAGTATTAGCTCAGCCTCTGTTTTAGGCGAGAGCATTTCAATCATGGATAACAAAAATAATCAGGAGACTTCCAGCAGCCGATCACAGAGTCCCTCGAGCAAAGCGGCCCACGAACTCCTCAACTCAGTTCTGAATTCAGTTTTCATGAGTCCCGCGATGCAACCGGGTGGCTCCGCCGGCGGAGTCAGCTCAAATTTGCATCATCCATCGCAAAATATAATGTCATTGGGCACTTCGGAAACTTATTCGACCGATGATTTGTTCTTGTCTGAAAACGATCTGTTTGGTAATCAGGAGAGCGGAGATTTGAGTGTTCTGCTGGAAGAAACCGAACCACCTTTGACCACCAGCAATTCTACCCACGAAAATGTGCCAATGGATCACTCATCTATGGATGAACATGAATTGAACGAGTAGTGATTGAACATGATTCGAATTAGTTATAACGAAATCTTGTGACAAATGAAAAGGTGGTCTTGGCTTTTAATTGAATAGAAAAAGAAGCAGATGAATGAAAGTAAACCTAAATCCAATTTATCTGCCGCAATCACAATCGAACTTTTTTGTTCTATTATCAAAACAATTTATATGCACTTTACTCGTTGGTTTTATGTTATGGCAATGAATTTGTTAAAATTAATGAGATCCACAAGTGTTTTATTTTGTAACTCTCTCAAACCCATAATTGTTAATTGTGGCTATTTCCCTTGAAATGTACTCCAATGAAAAGTCTGAGACCTAATTGATATTCCAATTTCTTGGGAAAAGCTTAACTTACTATGTAAATGTTGATGACTACCAAATTACTACATTGACTAACTTCGATTTAATTTAAATTATCCAGCTTTTTTTAAACCGTTAGTGAGAATTTCAATTTATCCTATTTTCTCGTCTAATAAAATTGAAACCTTTTTGGTACACAAGCAAGCGTAGTGTGATGCTACAATGCCACTTACTTTCCGACTTAAGTTGCAAATTGTAATGGTACTTTTGATCGCACCATTATTTTCACAATAGTGGTGGAAAGACAGACTACTCCCCTGTGCACCCTTATTTCGCCAGTCTCTTTTTACCGCACCCGACGGATTTTTTGTTAGCTTTTTGTATTTTTTCTTTCTCTCAAAAATTACTCTACTAATTTAAAAATAAAACTTCAATTATGAGAACCTGTTCTGGGTATCTCCCTTGCATACGCTGCTTTGCCCCTGATTTTGTAGAAAAAGAGTTATGGCTTTAGAAGATGTCCAAACTTCAAGAAGATGTCCAAAGGTGTCTAAAACTACACTGCCAAAGCTGAGCTTCAAGGTGCAATCGAATAATAAGCTAGCCGCATCTTTTTCTGCAGCAGAAGGTACATATAAATTTTATATAGAAATTTAGTTTTGATTTTGGGTTCTGACTTACTTTTTGAAATTGTTCCTGTAAGAACAGGTGCTCGGATTTTTCGAAAAGTTTTATTGAAAACAACCATGCCAAATCTGAGAGTAAGGGCTCAATTGAAAGAACATGTGCTAAAAGTTTCTTCTAGATAGAGGCTACATCCTAATTTTTGTAGAAAATGCAATGTGGAATTTAGCAAGAGTCCATTTTTTGAAATGTTGACCGTTGCTGGACTTTTCTTGAGAACTACTCAGTCAAATCTAAAATAATGAGTGTAATAAAGCGCCAAGATTTTTCTGGATAATGGTTACGCCCTAATAATTGAAGAAAAGCAATGTTGGACTTAACAAAAGTCCGTTTTTTTTGAAATTTTGTTCGTTTTTGATTTTGTTTTTTGAACACAGCTTTGCCAAGTCTGAGATAAGGGGTTCAATCGGAAGAACAAACTCTTGGGATATCGCCTGCATCAGCGAATTTTCCCAATTGGGCACAGAATCTGTTATGGCGTAAGAATTATTTGACCAATTAGTCCATTTTTGACTTCATTCGATTTCCCAAAAACGACTGCGCATTCTTAAATAAGGAAAGCAACCAAATTCAGATGTATTATAATTTCCCGAATAAATTGCATAGTTAATACAAACTAGGGGAGATCAAAATACATCTTTCCATAGTTTTTGAAATGCATAGTTCATACACATTTCAATTTCAAGCTGTTACACCCAACATTGCGTTTGGTAGCACTCGAATCTTAGTGCTCTCTCGCTTGTGTTTGCAAAGCTGCAGCTTCGTCTCTGTGTATATATTTTCTTAAAATAACACATCATCGATCGCATCTAAACATTTGCTGGTAAGTCGGTGAATTGCTGTATCAGAAAACTGAAAGCGAGCAGACAAGATCTGTAAACCGAAAATGATGTTTTAATTTATGTAATTATATGACATGAGAACACAAATTGTACAACATGACTAAACAAAAAATGAAAAAACTAACCGTGAAACCCACTGTTTGCAATTCTTTATTCCAGCCCAAGTAAAGTTGATTAATTGATTCTTTAATTTCACAATTGGTTAAATATCACGTAATTCGGTTTCCTGATCAAATTAGTGAACGTACGCAGAAGTTTTTTAAAATTTTATCAGGCCGATACCTTGAATTTAAGCTGGTCCTTTATTTTTTTGATGACCGTGGCTCAGATGCGAGGACTTGAAACTCGGCATGTTGGAGGCTCAATTCCGGCACTTTGAATTAATTTTATTTTTTATTTGGTGGCGCTTGTGCCGAAAGGCATTGGTAATGCAATAGCCACTGTATCTGCTTCATGGGTAGCTATTGTTGAATAAAAAAGCTTCCAATTGTCTCCAGTTTAGCGGTTTGTTTCTGGCATAACTTTTTTAAGGATTTCTTTCCTTATTTCACTTCGTTTTTGGGTTTCAGAGCTACTTTTTTTCCATTTTATCGCTTGAGTGTGCAAAAAGCAGCTTGCCTCTGTGTAGGTCCAAAAATTATACTAGTAAAAACAATTGAGAATTGAACTCCTACGTTAAGTAAAAGGTTTAAAAAATTAGTGTAAGGGGTGTGTTAAATAGCACTCGCTTAGCATTCGCCTCGTTTTGTTTTTAAGCCCTTTTCTTCTCCTACTCATCTAGTGTTTTGATGCTCATTCGGTTTTTGTTTTGTTTCTGATATTTTCAAGCTCCATTTTGCAAGTATTGTGCTAATGTTTGATGGACAGTTTTGATTCTGCGTCGGTGCCACAAACTATCTTAAACTGTTGAGTCAGGTGATCTTGAACCTTTTTTGAGTTTTTTTCCAACCCAACTATCTCAATTCAGTGTTCACTATTGGCAATTCAATTGCATGTGTTATTTTTGTCTTTTTTGTCGGTTCGAATATTGGAGTTGGTTCGAATCCTTCATTGCTAGTTCAAAATGAAGTTTTTAAAAAAAAAATTTCGCATTCGAAGTTTTCAGTGTAAAAGAACGAAATTATTGTCATTGATGTAGGCCGTGATGATTTGAAAAGTTTTTATATTTGTTCGTGCTCAAATCGGATTTTTCGAGGCTTACAATTATTTTTCTTACAGGAAAGCAAACTCCCTTATCGAACAGCTAAAACGTGAATGACTTCTAGTTCAAGTGGACTTGAATTCCCAGTGGAACAAAAAATGTAGTTATTGATCAACTTTTTTTTTCGAAAAGTGATGATTAAAGAAAAAATGCCAAGTTTCTTGAAGTTCGGAGTTTTAGTGTGATATAGTTTCTTCGCAATTCAAAAGTTGAAAATTTGTTGTTTTCCTTGTTCTTTAAAACTTTTCCAACCATCTGCTGGCTATGTTTTTTTTTCATAATTAGTTCTATTGAATGAGCAAGCGTAAATGATCGAGTTACGTTTATTTATTTCATGTGGCTTTTTGATCAATTTATCAAAAAATTGTCAATCATAATGTTGTTTTTAGAAAATCAAAAGTTGAAAATTTAATAGGTTTTTTTTTCTGGTTTGCTTAGTTTATTGAACCTTTCCCCCTTTGTCTGTTGGCTATGTTCGCAAATTGGGTGAGCGAGATTTATCGAAAAAGTGTCAATTGTAAGTTTTTTTCCTGAATTTCGGAGAGCTTTAAGATCTTCACCGGGCTATTGGGAATGTGCGTACATTTATAGAAATTGTGTAAAATGCTAAGAATGATGAAGCGTTAATAAGTCGAGCCATCTTTGCGTTGAATTTTTTGCAACCATTTGTCTCTTGCGTATTGCATTGAATCTTAAATGTTCAACCTATTAGTTTACTTTACTACTGTTCCATGATTTTTTTTAGATCGATATGGTCAAACAAAATATATCCTCGGGCCATGTTGCATGCTTAAGCTTGATTGACGCTCTCTTATAAATGAATTCTGCTGACTTTTGAAGTGAACACAGTAGTCTCGATTGGTCTCGGTCTTCAATAGAATCAAAATACTAAAACATATCATTCCTCTCAGCAGGTAGCGATTGGTAAAATTGAAATCATGGTTCCATTTGGTGCTGTTATTTTGCTTACTACATTGGGATTGTACGTCGGAGTGATTCTGTTCCTGATATATGTGGGATTCTGCTCAACAGAGAAGTCCAACGCACCAGTGAGATTCACTCATTTCTACCTTTTCGAGGTCAGTATTGAATTCGAGGTCAGCATTTTGTGAATTAGGCTCTCTCTCGTTTAATTTTTTAAATGAATATACGTTATACATACCTTCAATGTTACGAACGACTGCAATTGTTGTACACGCTCAATTTTGAAAAGCAATTATAAAAACTTGGATCAAATCTGTGTACGGACAAGTTAATTTTTTTAAAATCATTTCGGAAAAAACTCTGTTTCTTTGTTTCTTTGGTGAAGCTTTGTTTCTTTATTTTAGTGTGTTCTGCCGAAACTGAAGATACGCTTTTGCTTACTACTTCATAATTACAGCAACGTCTTAAATCTTAACACTGAAATTTGTAACTATCAAATTTTTGGGTGTCAACAATCAAATCGAGGCAGTTTAAAGGCACTTAATTCGGCTTGCTTTTGCTACTTTCGAAGAATTTTACAGCTCGGAGCTCGGCGTAGTTTTTTCCTATCAAGTTTTGAATTTTTAGCTATTATTTTTTAAATAGTTTTGTATGCCTTGAGGTCAAAATTAAAATTCATTTCGAACTTTAAAAAGCAATTGGATCATTCATGATTTCGCTCTGACTCCAGCAGTATTGTTAAGGTTATTGTGACTATTGCAAAGAATAGGTTCTAATTGAATTGCATATTCATATTTTGTAGAAGCTGCCTAAATGGATACAGGGATTCTGTCCTCGTTGGTTGCTGAATGCATACAGTTGCTGCACTCTATACACTTTCCACCAAAGGTAATGGAGATAAAACTAGAAGGTAACGAAATACGAAAAAATGTTGGAACTTAGAATGTTTGGCTTTCTTTGTTAACGTTTAAGATTCGCTACTAAATGCGCATTGCCGCGATAAGCATTAGTTTTTTGTTAATGATTGGTGAAGTTTGGTGGTAATGATAGTGTTTATTGCTGAAGTCCCGCATGAACTTTAGCTACAGATTTACCGCAGCCTGAATAAGTAACGAATCGGTTGTGGTACTGTGTGAGAACTCTGGGCAACATAATACGGCAGTGAGCTGCTAAAAAATCGGAATTCCTTTTTTCAATCAGTGAAGCTTGTGGGCGTATGCAAAACGATGATTTTTGGCAGGCGTTTAGTCATCCTAGATTACGTTTGGTCAGATGCCAGTGTAGTTTTAAAACTGTGATAGGATAGTGAACATAAAACATGTTGATGTGTCGTCGGGTTCGTTTAGGAACCGACTGTTCTCTTCGACGTTTCTGGTGCTTCAACTGCTAGCTCTTCTCCAATTCGTAATTGACGTCATACCTCTGTCCAATAAAGTTCGTTCACCTAGCTCGGAGAACATCAGTGGCAGCAGCATGCCCGCTCCCAACATCAGACTGGCAATTATGTGCTGGATGTTCAATATAATCACGTGGACGGTGTGTCTGTTTTCAAGTGAGCGTTCTTATTTGACTAAGATATTAATAAAAATGTTTGCAAAAAAAGTGTAGCTTTAAGCGTTAGATGTGCAATATCATCGGAAACAAAACCTTCTATTTTTTAAAGTATGGTCATGTAGAATTAAATTCTGTCAATTTCAATCAATGTGGGGTTATTGTATCTTCAGATCCCGGAGTGATAAATAAGAAAAACTTGGATCGTCTGAAGCCAATGTACGAAAACAGAGAGCAGAGACACCGACTGCACCTAAGTCTAAAATTGGGCAATTCCAAAAAGCCAGAGATTAGTTCAAATGACTACAAGCAGTGCACAAGTTGCCATCTGGACAGAATCAAGAGATCCAAGCACTGCAAAATGTGCGGGGTAAGTTTTCCATGTCGGATTTGGAGTGATGTCTTGAAAAAGGACCTGAAATTCTAGCAACACCTCAAGCTATCATCTTACATTTTCACAAAATATTGAAAATTACTCACGCTTATCTCGGTTTGAATTTATGAGCTCAAAATTGGACTTGAATTTTTCAGCAGAGTTCAAATTTGGACTTAAATTGGAGCTCACATTTTGAATAGCAAAGTTGTTAATAGCAAATTTAGTACGCTATTTTTTTAAAGTTGATTTTATTGATTTTCTGTTTCCGTGGCTCCATTAACTTTTGTCTAACTCTTTTTTTTCAAATCTTTCTGTTGCGCTCTTTTTTTAATATTAGCAAGATTGATGCTAAAGTGATGGAGCAAATTTTTATTCCCATCTTGTTTCAACGGGAACGACTGATTATTACAGTCACGGGACATAGAAGTTCCAACTTTTTAGTTTCATCGAGCAAATGAATGAGTTTTTTCTTCACATTCTCAGCAACTATTCAAGATATAGAGTTCAAGTTTTGACACATGCAATATTGCCAGGTCTTAGACGGGTCAAGTTTTGAGAATTTAGTTTTGAAGGTGTAAAAGAGCTAGTATCTGATAATTAGTTTTATAGGTGTTCTTGCTGTGGAAAGTTTCTCGCAAACAATGTAAGGAATTTGAAATTAATGGGCTCTTAATTTAAGGAATTAGTTATTTGGGAAGCTGTTGAACTTGATTACACTTTATGCCGCCAAAAATGACAGATAACAGAATTGAAAGAGTTATTCGGCCCGGCGTCGAAAAACAGTCAAATTCTGTTTGACGACACATACATAAAAATCGTTTGGGAGCTTATACTGGAAAATTGGATGTAATTACTCACTACAAAACTGCTAATGTGAATCCTCTGCATGGATTTGAGCAGAATGTGCCAACAATATTTGCTGGAATGTTCCTATAACTTAAATAGTTGCAGAGAAAACGACAGAAACGTGAAAAAATAAATGATTCATTTGATCTTTGTGCTCAAATGTCCCTCTTCTATGTCCCGTGACCATATTATAAAACAAACTGTGCATTTAATTATGAAGCGGAGCACAAATTTTATAAGCTAACGTGGGTTCTAAAACTTACGAAAATGTATTTTAAAAAACGATCCTTCAAGTTTATGAAATTGGCCTGAAAGTTTATTACACTAGCCAAGTGTTATGCTACGACTTTTTTTCTAAGCTAATTCGCAAATATTGGTGCCACCTCATTGATAGAATATGCTTCTACATTCGAATATTAATGAGTTAACTCATTTGATACATTTTGAACCGAAAAAAGCTATTTGTTTCAAACAACATAAAAATCATAAAAACTCGGTTTCAGAAATGTTCTAACTCAATTTATCTAGCTATTTTTTGAATTGCCTAATTTATTCATAGCTCTATGCTTTGCGATTTATTACATGCAAAATTAGCGTAGATGCCCTCAGTTTGTTATATTCTAAACTATTTGCTCGCAAAATTGTGTTCATTTGTATTTGGTGCCACTTTTGCTGCATGGCATATGCAATTTGTTAGCATATGTAGCTGCTTTATTTATGACTAATGTTTGCCGGTTTTCAAGCGCTCGTGTCCGAGAAGGCAGTGCGGGAGACTCCAATTCTCGAGGTCGCAGGTTCGAAGCCCATATGTAGCAAAGTCTTACTAATTCGAGGCTTATTTCTATATTTTATATTTCACTTTATAAAGCTGCTTTTTTTTCCTGTACTGGCTATTGCTTGCGAAGCGCAGCTTCGCTTCGGTGTAAAAAGTTTCTGTTCAAATATTTTTTGCGATGATGATGACCATGATGATGATACAGGTATGTGTGTTCCGCTCTGACCACCACTGCATCTGGGTGAACAACTGCATAGGGGGCAACAACACCCTCGCCTTCCACTGTTTCCTCGCATCCTTCGTCCTCGAGAGTCTCTTCGGCGCATACTGCATGTGGGGCGTGGTCATGGACGCCGCCTCTTTCGCTAGACTGTGGCAGCTCAGCTACAGGGACAACTACACGCAACAAGTACACCCTGTCAATTCATTCGTAGTCGCACAGGTAAATCAATTAAACAGGCGTTTGAACCTGCATCGACCAGAGGTTTTTTCTCTAACATACACCCACCCCAGATTTTTCTTAACCTTTTAAAAATTGTCCAGGTTGCACAAGTCGCTTTTTCTTAAATTGTTGGCAAAATAATGCTTGTCTTCCATCAACTTATTTTGCTTGGCCTCAAAAAGATCTGCAATCTGCAAACTTTGAAATTGAGCCGCCCCTAATATCAATCCGTCTTGCAGTACTCAATGAATCCGTCTTGCAGTGTTGGAATTGAGCTTCCCTCATCATATCAATCCGTCTTGCAGTACTCAATGAAAAACTCCTTGCCTTTAAAAAAGTCGCCAATTATCGGTTCGTACAATAGTATAATTTATTGTATGAATCTGATCTCTCGTATAATCTGTTACCGTATAAGAGTTCTGTCGCATAATTTGTCGTATATCGTAAAACTTGTAGCTTAGCTTGTAACCCTAAGGTCTTTGGTTCGAGTCACGGTAGATCAAATTGAAAATCATTATTTAGCGTAAGTGCGTGTTTTTGATTTACTGCTGTAATGTGTAAAATTAATGGCCTTGACGTTCTATGTTTTCCGTTGTTTTTTTTCGCTGAAAAGTTTTATTCGGCGTAAGTTTCAGCTTATGTTTTGTCGGCTTCAAGCAAAAATGATTGATTGTTTTTGAGAAATAAAGGTAGTTTGTTTTGCAAGTATTCAAAGTTTAAAAACTTAATTGTTCGAAATTTTTTATGACAACAATTTTTATAGCACTTTTTTGTTTTCGAATCAATGATTGTCTCACCAATTGTTGTAGGCATAGTAATTTCTAAAAACTTATATAGATTGGTTGAAACTTTTTTGGGTATTATGCACGAAGCGGTCCAAATTCATTATTTCTACGTCTCTTCAACTGAAATTATTGTGGATGAATTTGATTGGCTAATTAGCCAATCAAGTTCCATCGACATTTTCTGCTATTTCAATTGAAATTTAAAGCAGATAAAATTATTAATCTTTCTTGGCTGGGCAAGGTTTCACAAGTGACTCAAAATTAATTTGATATTTGACTCAAAGTTCCAACTTTTCGGCAATTTCGGCTAATATTTTTTATCTGCTAGAAAGGTTGATCGGAATGCCTGACCGTGTAAGTTGAATTTGATTGGCTAAAATTACCCAATCAAATTCGATCGCATAATTTCCAGCTTACGAAGTTGAAAAATTGATTTTTGGCCGTTTAGAGCATAAGACCCATTTTTTTCAATGTTTCCCTAATTTTTTTGTTTTTTGATTTAGTTATTTCCGTTTCATTACTATTTGCTCGCTTGTATGCAATGCTGTGCTTGCGTTGTATCGCAAATGATGCGAAGCCCCGTGTCGCTTCTGTGTCAATTATCTTAATTACGCTCGTTGTAACCTTCAATAATTTGTTTTTCAGTACATGTTTCGACAGTTTCCTCGGATAGTGGCATTAAGCTTATTCTACTGTCTGCTAGGTTCAGGACTCGCTTTCTTCCTAATTTTTCATCAGGCACTGATGCTCACGAATTACACAACGCGTGAAATGTTCAAGCGACAGATGGCTAGTGCTCCTGGCCGAAAGGATTCTAAACCGATCGAAAATACTTGTACAAAAGCTTCCTCGCGATCCACGAATTGCCGCGAGAATATTGAACCTGATATAAACACTCTCAGTAAAGAGAATGAAAATCACGAAAATCGAGGCGACGGAAGAACAGTTAAAAAACGAAAGAAACCTTCAGTTGTTAAACATGGATCCTCGATACATAGTTTGCTCCAAGACGAGACAGAAGAAAAACTGCTATCTGCCGAGCGGAGTATGAACGCAAACTCTATCATTAGAATGCTTACCTTTTCTAACTCACCATACAATTATGGATTTTTTCTAAACATGCTGGATGCGTTTATGCCCAAGTTGTGTTATCAAATTAGATTAAGGCTGAAACTATAGTCTTTAATTTTGTCTTTAACGCAGCCAATGCTTCTATTCATTGTATAATTAAACTACACACCTCTTTTCTTCCAAACTTGCGGTCAAAATCTTTCAGGTTATAGTCGTTTAATCCTTACGCCTCAAACAGGATATTTTTTGCTTATTTATTTTCATTCGTATAAATCACAACAGGACTGGATTTTTCAAACTTCAGCGAAGCAACAAAAAATAATCAATTTTGATTTTTAGATGCTTTATAGCAAATATTAATTGATATTATTTAGTATTGAAGTCAACCAAAGTTTCGAGTGTATCTTACACCACTTGCAATTGGCAAGAGTTTTTGTAATCCGAAACTAAGTTTTTCCTGAACAACTAGTTAAACAAGCCGCAACTACTAGCAGCTAAATTACTGGCTCATTAAAACTTGGTGTAAATAGGCTTTTAAATAAAAGCTACTATTAACGTTTGAATTGCAGATAGTAATCTGAGCTCGTGGTTTCTCTTTTCCCAACTGTCAGTTGGCTATCTTTCTGATGCCAATTTTTATGCAATGATATGCGTAATTAAACAGATCGAGCTAGCTATATTTCTTTCTTTGCAAATTTCTCTCTTTTTCTCTGGAAAGACTTGAGACTCTAAGCTACAAGTTTGATACTAATGGTAAATACTATTTACACAAGCTAACTAGCGATTGTAGCGTATAATCATTAATCTTTTTTTGAAACCAAAAAACCTAAGTCGCCAAGAAAAGTGCTGTTTGTTATAATCACAATTTGTAGCAATTTCATAGCATTTGTTCTCTGCTTTATTGGTGGCTGGTATTTGTCGTTTGTCAACGAGTGAAGGACGAGAGATTCCTAAGCTACTTATCAGAGGTTCAATGGCGCACTTAGCTCACTAGTGTTATATATAATTGGTGGCATTTTTGCTAAATAGCATTGGCAGTATATTAGCAGCTATAGCTGCTTAATCGGTGGCTAATGTTAGCGAAATATTGGCCCGTGGCGCAGACTCGAGAAAGTGAGATTCCTAGTCTCAAATTTGCTGCTTCGAATCAGACATGTTTTTATTTCACTGTTTTTGCTTTTTAGAGCTACTTTTTGTCGTTTTCCCCGTTTGTTTTGGCGAAGTTTGCAATGGTAATTTTTCTTTGTTTGATCTGAGTTTTCAAATTAATTTCACTTATGATTTTTAAAGTATAACACTTAAAATAATTTTTAAATATTGGAAATTTAAAGCTTTGAATGTTAAGTAATTGCAGTTGAAGAAATTTTCCATTTCATCGGTTGAAAATTTTTCATTTCATTGGTCGGAGATATATATTTACGCTAGCAAGCAGCTAGTGTTTTTAGTTAGAACCTCCTCGCAATTAAAAGTGTTCGCTTGTACGCCTTTTAACTATAATCACGATCTGTTGCATTGGAAATTTCATAGCATCTGTTCTCGGCTTTGTTTTTGGCTAGTGTTTGTGATGAACTAAGAGTCCGTGAATGAGTGGTTAGTGCGTGGAAGTCATAATTTCTAAGTCGCAGCAGGTAGTAGGTTCGAGTCCGAGATTTCGCCGAATTTTTACTGTTTTGAGGCTAGCGGTCAAAACTGGAAAATTGGGCGCCCCTGACTATTTTTGCACTCCAACTCGAAACTTTTTTTCGAAAGTCTACTTTAAGTCTATAAAAAAAATTTCTGCACAAGAATGCCAAGTGCTTAGAGAAAAAAGCCTAAAGGAGTGTTCAACAATGCCGAATTTCAACCGGGCCAAAACGATTTTTGAGTTCTCTTTTTGAATTCTTGGCAATTTTTTTCATGAATACTGTTTTGTTTTGGAGAGAAACCGAGAAAAAAAGTTTGAGAATGGAGGGACCCATTTTTAGAATCTTTTTGTCAATCCCAATCATTAGACTTTCTTATTGGCCAAAAGATTTTCGCACAAAGCCGAAGTCCTTGTTGAAAAAAATGAATTATAGCACCTCAGCATATATTCTGTACAATTTGTGCAGATATACAAAAAATGTTTTAATTCAATTTTCAGGAATCCGTTTAAGGTTTTTCCGATACTCGACTTCGATTTAGCAATGTTTGAAAATTGATGTTTCTGCTTAATCTTTACTCGGTCAATTTTAATTTTAATGGCCTATCTATATTCGCTTGTTCTGAGATTTTTGTGATATCTGTGAAATTTCGGAGGACTCAATTCTGATTGGCTGAAAATGACCAAAAACAAGTTTTCTTCATTCAGTCACTTCATCAAATGGGATGCCTTCCAGTTACCAAGCAATTATTGTTGTGTACGTAACCAACCGATAAATTAAATTTCATTACATAATGACTTTAAAAAAATGTATTTTTGTTAACATTGTACAAAACAAAAATACGTTAAGTTTGATCTTAATCAGGAATCATAAGTGCTGGAAGTACAACAGTTTGTGCCAAAAACAGAGGTTCGCCAAAACTTGTAGGCTTAAACACAAGTGGGGACTCTTTCAGTTTTGATTTTTACCCTTGCGCTAAGCAAAGGTAGTTCAATAGGTTACTAGAGTTCTTTCCCGGGATAATTTTTTCAATTTTTCGCGAGTTTTCTCTAAAAGCAGTGGAATGTGTTTCAGCGCATTTTTTCCGCAAATAGAAAATTGTTCCCTACAACACTTTGAAGTCCTTTAGTTGTTGTTCCTTTAGGTTTTCTTTAATTTAGTGGCTCTTCTTTAATTTCCTGTCTGCTACCTTGCTGTGCTGTTTTTTTGGTATCGCAAGTGATGCAAAACTCAGCTTTGCTTCTGTGTGAAATCAACATTTTTTATTAACGAACACCTGGAGGTAACGAATTCGCCTGAGACGGCAATGGTCCTGGGTTGGAAACTGTCAAGGCCTGTATTTTTTCAAATGCGAAAATTTCCGTTCCAAAAAATTGTCGGCTTTTTGTCTGCTTATATTTTGTCAACTTACTTGACAGATCATATATTTGTTTTTTTTCTCTTGGTACTTTTCACAATGTAGTTGCTAGTAATGTTTTGATTTACTTCGGCTGTTTGTAAAGTGTTGACTTTGTATAAATTTTTGTTTGTTTTTTTTTCGCTTTAAAATTGTATTCTGCCCAAATGATTTCGGTTTACATGTTATGAACTTGGTGACATATTTTCCTATTTTTGAGTCGTTTCCAGGTAAAAACAATTTTTATGCTCACTGGATTGCTCAAACTGCTAAAAAATTTTGGAAATAATAACTCGACGGGAGGACTCAAAGTTTTCAAAGGCAACTTTTTTTCGGCTGTCTCGCTTTTTTCGAGGCTTGATAGATTTCGGGTCCAAATTATATCAGCCTAATGGCCTCATATTGCCTCTTTTGAAGCAGGAAAAGACTTTCAGATGCGTGTGTGTGTGTGTATTTTGAGGGGGAGGAGAACGTCTTTTGAGTCTTAAGTCTTTTAAATTTTTTTCCTGCTTAAAGGGTTTCGGCTGAGGTGTTCTCGGCTCTGTCACTTCTTAGTAAATTTTTTTCCAATTGGAGCCTCACTTTATACAGTCCTGATTCGTTATGATAGATCTATTTTTTCAACATTGTCGAATTTTTTAAATTCATTTCATTTCGACTTAGCGGCTTTCTCGTTTTGTATCGCAAATGGTGCGGAGCGCAGCTTCGACTCTGCGTTGAAAAATTCAGATAAATACTTTTTTCATTTCTTTTATCATTTACATAAAAACGGTTGTTCGAATATCAAGTAGTGAAAATTTTGGTATATAAAAGCTTGATGAACTACAAATTTTAATTTTAATGGCCTATCTATATTCGCTTGTTCTGAGGTTTTTGTGATATCTGTGAAATTTCGGAAGACTCAATTCTGATTGGCTGAAAATGACCAAAAACAAGTTTTCTTCATTCAGTCACTTCATCAAATGGGATGCCTCCCAGTTACCAAGCAATTATTGCTGTGTACGTAACCAACCGATAAATTAAATTTCATTACATAATGACTTTAAAAACTGTATTTTTGTTAACATTGTACAAAACAAAAATACGGCAATTTTGATCTTAATCAGGAATCATAAGTGCTGGAAGTACAACAGTTTGTGCCAAAAACAGAGGTTCGCCAAAACTTGTAGGCTTAAACACAAGGGGGGACTCTTTCAGTTTTGATTTTTACCCTTGCGCTAAGCAAAGGTAGTTCAATCGGATACTAGACTTCTTTCCCGGAATAATTTTTTCAATTTTTCGCGAGTTTTCTCTAAAAGCAGTGGAATGTGTTTCAGCGCATTTTTTCCGCAAATAGAAAATTGTTCCCTACAACACTTTGAAGTCCTTTAGTTGTTGTTCCTTTAGGTTTTCTTTAATTTAATGGCTCTTCTTTAATTTCCTGTCTGCTACCTTGCTGTGCTATTTTTTTGGTATCGCAAGTGATGCAAAACTCAGCTTTGCTTCTGTGTGCAATCAACATTTTTTATTAACGAACACCTGGAGGTAACGAATTCGCCTGAGACGGCAATGGTCCTGGGTTGGAAACTGTCAAGGCCTGTATTTTTTCAAATGCGAAAATTTCCGTTCCAAAAAATTGTCGGCTTTTTGTCTGCTTATATTTTGTCAACTTACTTGACAGATCATATATTTGTTTTTTTTCTCTTGGTACTTTTCACAATGTAGTTGCTAGTAATGTTTTGATTTACTTCGGCTGTTTGTAAAGTGTTGACTTTGTATAAATTTTTGTTTGTTTTTTTTTTCGCTTTAAAATTGTATTCTGCCCAAATGATTTCGGTTTACATTTTATGAACTTGGTGACATATTTTCCTATTTTTGAGTCGTTTCCAGGTAAAAACAATTTTTATGCTCACTGGATTGCTCAAACTGCTAAAAAATTTTAGAAATAATAACTAATTGTTAGTGGTAAAATTTATTTGCTTTGGACCAATCCCATATTTAAGAAGAAAAAAAAAGTAAAAATGCATGATTTTAGAAACACTGCTTCGATTTATAACAAGCAGAAAACTGACAAATGCCGAAAAACACACTTTTGTTGCCGAAAACGTTAGTTTAACCGCTGCAAGGCTAAGTTTTGCTAAACATTATGGTTCCTTATCATAAA